GTTCCGTCGTGTGCCATTGTTACGTTATCCAATGGTTCTGGACCTGTCAAAACCTTTAACGAATCGTTCTTGATGCGTTCATACAGGTCCGTGGATATCATGTAGACGCCTCTTGTTCCTTTTATGGGGTCCTCATTTGGGCGAACATTGAACAGCTGACTCCCCTTTAACCTGTCCTCAGTGGGGTGGGAGTATGGCTTAGCATCTTTGGCATGCAACCTCCGAGTCAGTATGCGTCCAATTCAGCACAAATGGTTGATTTTTAATTGTTTTTGTAGTTTGGTAAGGGAAAACGAGGGTGATATGAGGCGAATTTGGGAATTTCGGGAATCCACCCCCATCGAAAGCCAAAGGTCTGGCGGCAGGACCGTGGCAACAGGGGTGGGCTCTGTCGCTTCGTTTTTGCATGAAAGAGTGTTGGCAGGAACCTGGAGGCGACCCGCCTGCCAGGAAAAGCGAATGGGGTAGGATTGCACAGTGGCAGCCCAGCGAGCTTGTCGAGGAGTGAGTTGTTGAGGCTCACGATAGTATTCTAGGTTCTTGTGATCTGTGAAGACCACAGTCGGCTCGACAGCAGACAGGAGATATGGTCGGAAGGCTTTCAGGGCGCGGATGATGGCCAACATTTCCAGATCATAGACCTGGTAACACTGTTCGGCGCCGACAAGGGACTGGGACAGGTAGGAGCAAGGATGCCATTCACCGTCCATTCCTTTCTGGGCGAGCACTGCACCAGTACCAAGTTTTGAGGCATCGGTGAACAGTGCGAAGGGTTTTGAGAAATCAGGTATAGAGAGGACCGGAGCTGAGCATAATAAAGACTTCAACCTTTCGAATGCAGAGTCTCGTTCGGGGGTCCATTGATATGATGCTCCTTTCTTTGTAAGGTCATGGAGCAGGCAGGCAATGCTTGAGAAGGAAGGGATGAACTTGCAGTAGAAATTGCAGAATCCAAGGAACCATCGAAGCCCTGTAAGATTGTTGGGGGCTTCCCAAGTACTGATGGCATCGGTCTTTGTTGGTGAAGTCTTGATACACCCCTTTCCTATTATCATCCCAAGAAACTCAATTTCTTCGGCTTCAAAGACGCATTTGCTGATCTTGAGCTGTAAACCTTCCTTTGCACAGATTAGGAGGAACTCCCTGACACGCGAGCGAAGTTCTTCTTTTGTCTTCCCATGGATTGCTACATCATCCATGTACCCAACCTGCTTTCCTCTTTGGGAAGCAAAGGTTTGGTCCATATACCTCTGAAAAGAAGGAGGTGAGTTACACTGCCCAGAAAACATTACCGTAGGTTCAAACAGTCCTCTTGGCGTAACAAAGGCTCCTTTCCATTCATCTCCTTTGCGAACACAGAGGTTTGTAAATCCCCATCATATGTCGAACTTGGTGTAGTATTTTGATTCGACTAACTCGTTGAACAGTGCCTGTGCATTGGGCAAGGGATGCACATCTGGGATTGTGAAGGAATTCAAGTAGCGGTAGTCTTGGATTAACCGCTTCTTTCCATCCTTTTTGGCGACAAAAAACACCGGAGCTGCTTGAGGCAAAGTAGATGGTTGAATTTTTTTGCACCTGAGGTTTTCGTCCAAGAATTCATCCAAGACCTTGAGTTCGTCTGGGGACATCGGATATACTACTGCCTTCTTGGGTTTAAAGTCATCCTGCAGCCAGATTTCATGGTCCAGCCCGGGTCGGTGGTGCAGCAGTGGGATATCCTCTTCCGAGAACACCTTGGCAAATTCTTCATACTCCTTTGGAAGTTTAACTTCCTCCTTAGTTGAGGATAAGGCAGCCTCAAGTTCTGTGGACAAAGTAGTCTTGCAAACACTACTTACTGGTGGTTCCTGGATGGAACCATCATCGTTAAATGATATGGCACTTCCTTTGTAAAAGGGGGTGAAGTTCCTAATAGCGACGTCAGTTTCCTGGGTCGGTACATACCCGTTGTCCCAACAAGTTATTTTGTTGTGTTCCCAATCCATCCAGGGCTTGTACATCCGGAGGAAGGGCATCCCTAGAAGGATGTGTTCCTTCCCTACTAAGGGTCTGACGTAGCATTTGATGCAGACGATGCGGTTCTTGATAAGGAGTTGTATGGTAACCTTTCTTGTGACCCATTTGACATCTTTTCCGGTAAACAACATAGTGTTGAACCTGGTCTTGACCCGATACGAAGGAATTCGTAACTTTTGAACAATTCGCTCCAAGATGAGCGAAACCTCTGTGCCTGAGTCAACACAGACCATTACTCCTGCCATAAAGTCTGGCAACCATGCCCTTCCAAGAGGTGAACCAACTCTCATGCACGATTCATCGTCTATAGAAGTACAATTTGTGGACAATATCAAAGCGGGACCTGCCTTAGGAGTCTCGGCGGTCCCATTTAAAAATCCATCCTGTAGGCCTTCCTTTCTTCAGCTGTTGCCAAATGGTCTCCCATATACACAGTTTTAGTTCCATCAGCAGAAAGAACAACTCGTATACTGGGGGGGGTTTTGCCTTGGGACTTTGTACAGTCACGTTTGTAGTGACCCTTTGCTCCACATTCGAAGCATGTAATTTTGGAGTTAGAATGTCTGACGTTCCGTTTGCATTTGTCGATGTCCATTGCATCAGGATCTCGGGAACCTCCGCAGTAATGAATAAACTTGCGTTCATACCGAGATTCCTTCCCTTCAAGGATGTGCTTCGTCATGATCGCAGTCCTTGCTTCTCCCATGCACTGGATCCACTCGATGACCGTGGATGGGGCACATCCTGAATTGAGAACCCAATCGCGATATTCCTTATTCAATCCTTTTCCGAAGAAGATCCCTGCTTCACATGATTCTTCTTTAAGCTGAGCCTTGTTGACAAGCCTGGTGAACTCGGCAATGTACGACTCGAGTTCTCGTTTCCCTTGCGAGATGTCGGAAAGGTGAAGGATGGCCAAGGCAGTTTGATTGCCAGATTCGAAGGTAGCTTTGAGACGCTCAACGAACCTTTGGAAGGTGTCTGAATACCAAATGGTTCCATCGAGAAGCTTGTTTTCATTTTGGTAATTTTCAGCAAACGAGACGGTGGCTCCTTTCATCATATATGTAAGGGTGAACGAGATCTTGAGTGACTCTGTGTTGTAGACATGCTTGTTAAGGTTCAAATATCCTTTGACTTGCGTAACCCAAGTCTGAAGCCCATTGTGGCTTCCATTGTATTCTCTGGGACACCCGACATTAAACTCCCTTCCTCCATTGGGTGGGCAGACATCATACGAGTCGTCAGGATCTACTGAGGCCTTACCCTTACTGGCCCCTGCTAGGGGGACCTCTGGGGGAATTACCTTTCCATAGTTTCTGGTGTACCAAGCTCGTAGAGCCAAGTCCGTAGGCATTCCTGTTGGAAAAGGGTCGCTTGACTGTCCACCGGCTATCTTGCGCCAGTCTTCCGCCAAAGAGCACCTTTGTTCTTCCAACCTTTCCTTCAGCTCCACTTCGGAGAAAACCTTCGGCAGCATCTCAGGGGCTGATTCTCCATGACTAATTGTCATGGACATAATGGGTGATTTGCATGCTTCTTGTTCTTCCTTGAGGACTGATCCGAAAGAAGTATCAGACTTCTGATTGTCTTCTTCTTCTGAGCTAAGCGCAACTTCTGATTCCCTAAAGCGGGACAAATAGGATAACTGGGGATTACTAGCTGTGGCTGACAGTCTTAGTCTCCCAGGTATCAGTGGTAGAGGCGGGTTCCTTCCAAGTCCTAAGGGGGTATTTTGTGGAGGGACTGGAGGTCTTGACTTTTGTGAGTTAGACACTTTAATGGAAAGTGATAACGAAGACCGAGGGAGGATTTATTTCTCGAAAGAAACCTGTTGGTGGATGTTTGAGGATAGCGCAGGTGGCTTTACACATAGGGAGACACGAGTGCTGGCTCTAGGGAGGCGATCTATTAAAGCCTAGTGGCTGCCTGTAGAGTGGTGAAGTTGATTGAGGGTAGAAGGGTGCTTCTCAATTTTGTTATCGACTTGTTGATCAAGTTGAGGAGCAGGAGAGAAGGCAAGTTAGTCTTTACACTGAGGGAGACCAATGAGCCTTTGACTGGGTAAGATGGTTTGTTGAAGTTCAGTAACTGAGGATGAGTAGACTTTTGCGAAGAGGTCGACAAGTCCAAAAGCTGTGTAGAGTTTTTCGATTTTGTTATGCCTGAGCGCAGTGACTTCTTCAAATGGAATAGGCACGAAGTGCACAAGGTGGGAGTCTATGGGCCGAACTTGTCATAACCCCTATGGCTGAGTTATTGTGATGATCCAACAGAGGTTCTGTCTTCTGGCGAGTCCCTAAGGTTGTTTGCACGGAGAAAGAACAAGGATTAAGGCGAAGGGATGAAGCTCAGTTGCAAGCTATCAAAAAACTGCTGATACAGGACAAAGTATGTAGGATTATATACTCCTAAGTATGAGTACTGTAGCAGTTGCGAGTGATGTGCATCCACAGCAGTCAACGAGTTCATCAATAAAATAAGAGGAGTCATATGGTGTCAAAGATGGGGGTAGGCAAGGAAACGAAGGCTATACTGGCTGTGCAATCAATGCGCAGCGAGGAGCCTGACACTGGATCTATAGTACAGCACAAAGGCAACAAAGACGAGTCAGAAATGAGTCACCGGAACAAGAAGTAAACAAGTCATCCATCAGAGAGGGCAGTGGAATACTGGATCACAGTGACAACGCGGTCTCGACAGGTATTGGAAATACCTGTGATGATGGGGATCCTAACATTCCCTGGAGCATTCGAACCCCTAGGATGGTGACGGTTATTAGAGATGCGACAAGGCACGTGACGCACATGACCATGAAGAGTCGAAAAAGGCAAGACCCCTGATGGAAGCGTAACACAACACACAATGATACTGCAAGAAAAGTTTGAGTTGCAGTGACTTGGGGTGTAAAATAACTCACCATGGCTGTGACAAGAGCCAGACAGGAAAGGGGAACTGAATTATTGAAGGACTCAGGACACTTATCCACGATTTGATAGGTCCTGGTATAGTAGAATTGTATGACAGCTTCCTTGAGGGTGGGGTGAGTGAAATTCCTGGTTTTTCCCTGATAAACCAATCTGTTAGTAGTGCAGACAACGAACTGTGTGAATGTACATTCTTGTCAAAACCATCTTGCAGGAAAAGTGAGTTGTCAAGGAGCTTTGTGGCAGTGGTCTCTATCCATTGTACATGAACCCATGGTGCAACATCAGAAGGAGGGATAAGGTTGAATGTGGATGGTGTGGTTGCCAGTGTAACCAACTTCAATTCCAAATGCCAGGTAGACATATCACCAAGGAGCTACTGGCAGTATGTCAGTAGCTGTAACCGAAAGATGGGACTACTTACAAGGCATGCCATATCTTGCTTGTGGTCAGGCCAGTAACCTATAAAGTTAGGATAATGAGACATGTATAAAGTGAAAATATTGTTACTCACCATCTTCAAATTGCACACTGCATTGATTCCACTCAATGATGACAGTGATGAGCGCCTCTGTTGTGGAGAGGCTGAGGTCATGAGATTTTGATGGGAATGGGTTAGAAAGTGCATGTGCAGCCCTGCATTCTCACTTAGCATCTTCAAGACAGTCCTTCCATACTGCCTCATAAAATCTCAATTGTGAAGGCAATGGGCCCTCATCCTTAGCTTTCTTGGAGTTATGAGGGGCTCTGGTGTGCTGAGATACTTTGTTGACCGAGTCATGCACAAGGGTCAGAAGATCATGATTGGGAACAGGATGGCTGTTAGTGTGATGGTGGCATTCAAGAATGTCAATGAAAGTGCCATGTTGGGAACCCTAAAATAACAATCTGAATAAATAAAGCTAGCAGGAATGGCATTTTCATACCTCTGGCTGAGCCTTGTCCTTGGATTGTAAGCTTCGCAGAGCTGCATTGTCATCCTTGTTGCATGAGTACTGAAACTCGTGGTCAGGGGGTAAGGAATTGTGGTGAATAGGATTGCTTGTCATCATTTCTTGGGAGAAGCCTAACAAAGAACATTGAGCCAATACCATAATAACCTCTGACATGTACCAGGATGAGTTGATTGCCTAAGATTTGTTGCACCCCATCCAAATGCATCATCCTCATCATTGTCAAACTCATCACTGGAGACCTCACCAGCCTCTGTGTCTGATGGGTTATTACTTGAGGACTCTGACTCTTCTGAGGAGCCCTCTGATGACAGCTTCTCTGAACTCTTGTGGCAAATGTCAGTGGTTGCCGAAGTTTGTCTCAATGAGAGTGAGCTATCAAGGGAGGGGTCAATACAAGAGTCAGGAATGGTAGCAGGTGGCTGGTGGGGGATAAACCGAGACTGGTAGTTGGGCTGGGGTGTTGGTGGATGAGATGTATTACTGGGAACTTGGTCTCCCTGAATCACAGCAATATAAGGATTATTGAGCACTTGAAGGTCAGGTTCCATCCCGGGAGGCATGATATGACCTGGCTGTTGAGCCAGAACACTGAAACCAAAGTGATGGGAGTCTGTGGGGTGCTGATGGAAGACAGGTGTTGCTACTGCTGTTGAGGACTGAGGGATGGGATTCTGAAATGAACATTGTATATCAGTATGAAAAGACACTCACCAGAGGCATATCAGCTGGGCTAGGACCATTCACAATGGGAGGCATGTAGGGTGGTGGGGTGACATTGGACTTTGCAAGCGGTTAGCTTGATATTTGCAAATAACTAGAACTGACCTTCAGTTTTGCATTCTGGCCAGCACTGCAGCCCCCACCCTTTTTCTGCTGAGTGGGCAGAGGTGCAAGAGGATTTACAATGGAATTGTTGGGGAGATCTGTCGACTTTCGCAGCTGTGTAGCTTGGCCTTCAAGGGCAGTACCAATCTGCTCCGATTGCTTGGCCCTTCCACCTGAACCTGCCCCTTCCCTTTCACTATGATGAAGTCCTGCTGTGGCAACAGACTGAGACTCTTTGAGATTGATGGGTGGGCTTCCTAGATGCTTGTTTTTTGTGGGTTGAGTGCTTCCATCAGCCTTTGGTCATCATTTGGCTTTTTTGCTATCCTTCTTTTTTGACGGGATTGTTCCAGATTGGGTGGACATCTGAAGGTACAAGCAGTTAAACAGAGAACAGTATAAAAAGGAAGCCTGGGGACCATGATGAAATGACATCTTGTGAATCCATATAAACATTGACAGGTTCATTGTGAGATGTAAAATGAAATGATGCACAGAGATGGTTACCCACTGCAAATGAATTGAAACACTTTACACATAACATACAGAACATGAACTAAACATAAAATTCATGCTCAGACTACATGCCTTTGAAGCATTTATTGGGTATAGGAGGGTTATCCATGCTCCTTACCTCTTCACAAAGGCATTTAGAAGACATAATTGCTGAAGACATAACATCCATATTGTTCTCCTGACTCAGACACATGCTTGAATTAAGCACTTTGTGCTGGGCAATGATCTGCTGGAATGCATTCATCATCTCTGGTGGTTTCTTGTATGGCATGCTGGCCAAGAAATGATCAAAAAGGGAGATAACATCAGAGAACTGCACTGCAGTTCTGCTCAGCAGGGACTGCCCAAGCAATACATGCCACTCATTAGCCAGAGGGATTAGATCTTGAAAATATTGCAAGACCTTGGAATCCAGCCTCAATTTGGATGGGTCATTAAGGAATGTGAACTTGGTGCATCTGGCAATTTTGAGATCTTTGGCCACCTTTTCACTCCACAAGCCAAGAAGTGTCTTTTCATGGCTGATATCTTGATGCTCATGGCCAAGTGGCCCATCATAAAGGATGAGGATCCAGATGAAAATGTAGAACAGGGATTCGATATCATCTGCAAATGTATGGTGTATAGTAGTAGGGTGATTGATGAATACACAGGTGAGAGAGGCACTTTTCCAGATTGATGGGACATTAGTCTTTCCACTTCTAGTGATGGCTTCCTTGAGTTGGCAAAGGATATTCACTGAAAGGAAGGGGACTGTCCCCTTTGCATACTATCAGCTTCAAGTTCCAAAATGTTTTGCATAGTACTTACTGTGCTGCCCAAGTCATACTCCCCCTGTAATGTGACCCATACAGCAAATTCCCAGTCAAGGAGAAAGCTGCACAACCCATTTGCGAAGTCCTTGATCATTGTATTGTTGATGCTACAATCTCGATGGAGGACACCACTCTTGAGAGCCTGCTGTTGGACTGTTAAAGCAATTAGTATTGATTTTACAAGTGGAAGAGGATATGTACTTCATAAAATATCTCAGATGCATGAAACAAGTTCCTTTTTTGTCTTGAACATTACCATTGGCCTTGCACATGGTTTCATAGCCAATTGCACATGAGTTCTCTGAGACTTCATGCATGATTGCCACTTCTCATCATGATATTGTTCAGTTTTATCAACAATGCCCAGCTTGACCTTGATGACCCAGTAGTGTTGCAACTTGGGAACTCCATCAATGTCCTGGACCAGCTTCATCATGTTGACTTTGTGCAGGGCTGTCCTCTGCTCCAACTCCTCCACCCAATAATCCTTGATGATGTAGTATTCCCCATTGTAGCATGCAAGGTAACAAACAGTACCCCTTCCTAGAAAGCCTGTGCTCGAGAATAATACATCAAGCACCTCATAGAAGGTCTTGTTTACTTGGATCCTCCCAATTGCTGGGATGTGTTTGGGTGATACAGGAGTCAGGAGTGGGTTTGCACTGGGGAGGATGCCCAACTCCAAGTGAGGAGAAGGTGTTGCAGGAGAGGGGAAAGGGGAGAGAGGTATCGCAAGTGTTGTGCATTTGCAGCTGTGTGCAGGATGGGGGGATATCTCTATGGTTGAATCAAAGCCAAGGGTTGAGCAGGAGCCAAATGCAATGGCACATACAATGTATATGAAGACTTCTGCATCAGTGTGGATATTGATAGAGGGTGAGATTGCACCACCAGAGTGGTTGTAAAAGTGAAGTTGAAGAAGTTCACTATCAGTAATTGATAATCCAAGGACATAGCACCTCCAGGGCTGGTCAACGAGGGTTAGATATGCCTTAGTGTCCATCATCTTCCCAAGGTGGGATGCTGGCTTGAAAGACTCCTTTGAGTACTTGGCGATGACTTTGGGACTTAACCACATAATCTTGTTGAGGGATACTGGGGTGTTATTGACAAGGATGAGGTCAGGCTTTTGGGAATAACCTGTAGAACCTTGCAAGCTGGTTCTGCTCCAGTCCACCATCCATTGATGCTGGGGTTTGCTGGATAGACTGGGCATTGTGGATTTGGTGGTGGTTCTGATAGCATTGAGAAACAGAGCAACTTGCTTTTCAAAGCAGAGCTTTTCTGATTCTACTGGCAGCTCTGAGGCAAGTGGCCCAGGTTGCTCAGGATGTGAATCAGAGACTGGGGGTGGACGAAGCTCCCAGTTCCAGCACTTTCTATCATTGTCATATAGGCTGACCAGGCTGTCCTCTGACAAGCCACCCTGGTTGAAGGAGGCAGAATAGCTACGGACACATGTGGGAATTGTTTTCAGAGGGACAATCAGGGACCTGGGAGCTATGGAGGTAAATGTATCTCTGAAGGACTTGAAGATAATATTTGTAACATAACCAAGGCTCTGAGGAGAGCTAACTTGTATCCATGGTTCATGGATGATGTGCACAGGGTGTTTGGTTGGCTGCAAAGGAGTAATCTCCATTGAGCACCAGTGCAGCCTGCCAGGAAGTAACTCAGCCAGCCCACGAAGTGCTCTGGCTGTACGAAAGGAAATATTTAGTAGCTGTATCTGGTGCATGTCAATAATGATCTTCAGAGAGAATAGGGACAGGCTTACAATTGACAATGACAAGAAAGAGTCTATAGCTCTCATGCTCAGGCCTGAATGAACCATGATGCCAGCTCCCATTCATTGTGGGAGTTGAAGGGGTAGTACAGATTTGATGCCTGTAGGTTGCTGAACTGGTTGCTGTTAAATTTGTCCATAAACATTGGGCCAAGTCCAAATGTTTTAGCTGTGCCCTCAAAGTCATCTGTGGTTGGCCCCAACATGTCAAATGCCATATGAACAAAATCCAGGTAATCATGAGTTGCATAGTCATCGGGGTCAGTGCTCATCAGGACATCTTCTAAGTGTGTTGGGTGTTGAGAGTTATGAATGTTCAAGCTCAAAGGTTGGAGAGACTTGTGAAGGTGGACTAAGTTGTTGACCCAGGTATTGCACCCAGAGGATGGCTGGCTCATGTGCATTGTGACAGTGCTGTGACTCTGGAAGCCACCTTTACTGCAACTTGGACAGTGGGGCATACTCTAGATGGTCAGGCAGGCTGATTCCATGTTATGTGATTATCACTTCAGTGTGAATCAGGATGTTGTTCAGATCACTATGGAGTGTATTTCTTATATACTACCCAATCACATCCCATTCACGAACATAGTCACTCATGTCCATTTATAACCTCAATCACACACACCTTCATGCTGGATTGACCATGCCCATGGTTGAGCATCACCCAGGTGGCAAAGGACTGCCCCATAAGCCTCATGATGGTGGGTTCTCTTCCTGCAACGGTCCCTCTAGCAGTGCTGAGGTCAAAGCAGAGACAACTGGTGTCTTAGCTGAGATGTATGGAATATTGGAGTCATCCACTCACACAGTAAGTTCTTTTTTTCCTTCCTAATAACTGCTCATTGATAGGTTTTCAATCTGCAGCATGAATCAAAGAGTCAGCTGAATCACAAGGCACTTCTCCTTCTTGATGTAGCACGTGCACAATGCAAAGTCTTTTGTGCAGAACAAGCTCTGGCCACATGCATCACCCATGAATACGAATCGATGGCCAAGTTGTACAAGTACAAGGCAGGCAGTGGCAAGGTGAGAGTCCATGAAAAAGATATGGAGGTTGGCTCATTATGTGTAGCAATGAAAAAACACAGACTGGGGGAGCCTATTTTCAATGTTAGTGTTCTGGCTGGTGAGCTGCAGCCATCTCTCAAGTCCAATGGTATGCTATGCTCACTCTTTTCTTTTGGGCCACTATTTTACTTATGCCAGATCTTGATAGGCACAGTTATTGAGCATGCTGGTAGTTGAATACTCACCATTCATCTAGACTAGTACTATCCATTACTTTCCTGTACTTATCAAAAAATGCTGTACGTTATGTCTGTGTGTTGTTGCCTTCATGCATAGGAACAAAGTTAGATCTACCAAGTTCTCTACTACAGTGGGAATCTAGGTTGCTGTATTAGCTAGGTGTGTCTGTTCCCTTGTATGCTAGGTAGCTATTGGTCTTTGGATTGCTGGTATCACTGGTGTGACTTACTCAGGTGCTATGAGTTGCTTGGATGCTGGCCACTACTTTGGGCAAGTCGGGTGTAGTCTACTCTGGCACTATGAGTTGCTAGGATGCTTGACATTGCTTTGGACTAATATGGAATTGTGCAAATACTATGGGCAGCTATGAGTTACTAACACATTTTTGTGTTCTGCTGATGAGTATTACATTATTTTGGAAGTATCAAGCAAATAAATGACAGGCAAATGCATGAAGTTACAGTGGCACTGCAGCACAAATGGTGTATTTGAGCCATCCAGATGTAGGGTCACCATGGAGCATGTCATATTCAACTGGTAGAGGCTGAGTATGCACTTCAAAGGCACACTTGCAGCATGTAGATACTTGAGTCTTTGAGTGATAACCACTTGGTGGATGAGAGTCCAGCTTTGATCATGCCCATGGATGGATGGCACCACATTTCAGGTACCCCATGGGCACCAATGGCTGTGGTAAATAGATTAGCCATGACACATGGACAGGCCTGAGGGCCTATAGTGAGAGCAACATATGTATGGGCCTGTAAGTGCAATTCCACAACATATGGGAGGGCCTGTGGAGGGTAAGGATGCTGCAACATATAGACAGGCCCATGACCAAGTAAGTATGCTGAGCTACTGTAAGACATGGATGGGCCCATCCATGGTAGGGTGCACCCCAGTCACAATATCAGGACAGGCCCACCTATTGTATCATGAAGAAGGTCACAACATATGGACAAGCCTGCCCATCATATGCTTTATAGGGTCACAACATAAAGAGGGGCCCCTCTATGATAGATTACAGAGTTGGCAACATATGGAAGGGCCCATCTTTGGGATAATATACCCCTGTCACAACATATAGATGGGCCCATCCATAGCAAGATGTACGCCTGTCACAACATAAGGACAGGCCTGTCAGTAATATCATTGACAGTGTCACAACACATAGACTGGCCCATCTAGTAAGATGCATCCCTGCCACAACATAAAGACAGGCCTGTCAGTAATGTCATTTATAGCATCACAACATATGGACATGCCCTTCTGTAATACCATTTATACCATCACAACACATGGGCAGGCCCATCCATAGTAAGATGTACCTGTTGCAACATAAAGACAGGCCCTTCAATATATATCATTTACAGGGTCACAACACATGGACAGGCCCATCAGTAATATCATTTACAGTGTCACAACACATAGACAGGCCTGTCTAGTAAGATGCATCCCTGTTGCAACATAAAGATGGGCCCATCAGTAATATCATTCATAGCATCACAACATATGGAAGGGCCCTTCAGCAGTATCATTTATGCAGTCACAACATATGGATGGGCCCTTCAGCAGTATTATTTATATGGTCATAATGTATGGATGGGCCCTTCAGTAATATCTTTTATATCACCATAAAACAAGGATGGGTCCATCTAGTAAGATCCACCCCTGTTGCAACATAAGACAGGCCCAACACCAATAGCATGTGTAGCATCACAACATATTGATCAGATCACAGCAAAATATTGAGGCAAGCATCCTGACATACTGTAATTTTCCAACAAGCTGCAAGTGGCTTGCCCACTATACAACTCCGACCTCATCCACCCCAAGCATGAATACTACACAAGACATGTCTGAAACCCCCCACAGATGGCAAATGGAACTAACAGACTGCATTGTGTCATACATGAAAGCCAGATTTCAAGAGGAGGTATTCAGTGGACCTCACACCCTTCCAGATATATTGATTCTGTTTCCAGTGTTATGTGAAGCAGATCACATATCACCAGTAATCTCACAGGCCTATCATTGCCCAAGTAAGTCCATCATAATGGTGCGATGGAAGTTTTCATCTTTCTGCAGTCAATGTTGGGAAAAATCAGGGTGGAAAAACCTGCAATGCAGAAGCTGCTGAGAGATATGCAGAAGTGACTGAGCCATCCATTCTGGTGACTGACTCAAACACCATCCATGTTTGGTATTTGCTGGACACTCTCAGCCCAAAAAGAAGGGTAAGGGAATGCAGAATCTCATATTCTACTGACTTAATGCAATGGCAGGCCAATGTATGGAACTGCCTTCATCTTCTGAGGGAACCACTGTGGGAGAGCATAAAGGCTTCCCCACAGGCATGGCAGACGGACAAGTCATATTTCCATGATAATGCTGAGTTGAAAGGTGCCATCAACCTGTCACCTGCATGGTTTCAACAGGGTCATGGGGTGGGTGATCATTTCTTTCCTTGTGAATAAAGCACTCATCTGTCTTGAAGCCCCAAAATGGCTTCCTGGAAGCCTCACAGCTGCTCAAATCCAGGATGGAAAACACTTCTACAAGGGATTGGGTCAACCAAATGTCCAACACCAACGCCCTGTTATCTGTGATCCTGCATGTCATCCATCCATGAATGTATGAAGATGGCAGGGAGGTGTTGATCCACCTTGGTGAACAGGCAGAACAGCAGGCAGATTCAGATATGAGCTCCATACTGCTGATATGGAGCTCCATGTATAGCAGCATGTCCATGATGGCAAATCAGGCAACTTGTTACCACAGGGATATCAATGGACAGGATCCATGGTATGACATGCTGGTAACCATGGGTGACTCCCTGCCCTTGGACATTGTCATTCCAACATTGAATCTGCAGCTGTGCTACAACCCAGGGACAATCATTGCATTTTCAGGTTCAGCATTGGAGCATGGGGTTGGAGCTGTAGATGGTGACAGAGCATGCCTGGCATACTACATGTGTGCCAATGTACATCAGTTGGTGCACATTCCCATGTGTCAATCACCATGGATGGATGACCTACTACCTAGACCAGTTGCAACTGGAGAACTGTTGATTTGAAGCTGCAAAAATTAATGTAAGATTTAGTAGGTGATGCAGATCTCATATTTTATTAGGATATGCTGGCTCTTGAACTTTGGATGGGTGGTGTTGCCAAGATTTTGCAAATGGGCAGGTGCTTTGACATCATAGATTGGGCAGGTACTCAGAGCTAAAGGGTGTGCATCATAAACTGCAAAAAAAATAAACCTACTCAGGCCATCATGCAGATGGGCAGATTGTCAGACATCACACAGATGGGTGGGGGTTCAGACATCATGTGAATGGGCAGTATCTCATAATTGATTGACATTCACAGCAATGTATATTCAACCAACTCCACAGTCAAAAACATGTAAACTATTGAAGTGGCATGCCCAACAACCCATGCAATGCCCACCACCTAGCATAGAAATGGTCAATTTGTTGACCCTGACCATTGACAACATTGGCATATTTCTGAATATTTTCAATGCAGTGGTTTACCTGCTCCTTGATATGGCCATTGAGATGGTCTGCAATTGGCACCTCAGGCAATGGCCATAAGCCCTGGGCCATCATCAACTATTTGCAGTGATGAGAGTAAGTGGCATACCTTAAAAAAATCCCAGGCTGCAGAAAACAATCCCTTGGCTTGCAATCTTTGGGAATCTGCTGCATATTCCTCAGAACAATATAGCCACCAAGGGAATGCAAAGCCAGAATTGGGATCAGCTGCATGTGGGGTCCAATGCAGGATGATGGCACTGATATTGTTGATTATGCAAAATGTGCTAAGGGGAATTAGCTGCATTTGATTGTGGAAGCTAACCTCATCATCTTGGTGTCTGAGGTATGCATGGTAGCACACTGGGAGGGGAGGAGTATAACTGGCATGCAACACCATCACCAGAATCAAGCTATTAAGCTGATTTTGAAGGAATTATGTATCAGTCCCACATTGTGAAAAATTGATGTAAAACCTACCAAGTCCATTGCTAGGATTGCAAACCAATGCATGTGCCATCCTGTGATATTGGCAGTCTGCTTCAGATGTACAGAGGCCACCTCAATCTGGCATGCCAAGTAGAGGATACCCATCTCTACCACAGACTGGCAAGATGGGTGTGATTGGCTGGTGATGAATGGCTCAGGACAATTTTCAAAGGTGGAATGCAGATAACAAATGACTTCCATCAAATCAAGCATATTGACAAGTCAAAGGCCCTGAGAGGCTGCACCATACTGGTCCCTTGCAGCTGTGACCAATTCTCTCACAATGGCATTCACAGCCCACACAAGGTGCCTATCAAGGGTGGGATTGAACAGTGTGTCACTGGGAGTGGTGTTTCTGCAATAGCAAGATACCACAGTGTGTAAGGTGCACAGGACTAAAATTATCAATGTCAAAGGTGTATCAGATTAAGCCCATGCCCATACCTTGATTGCAATGTGGAACAGGTGCCAATCCCCATTGTTCCATTTGAAGAGATTGCTGTGCAGATGGAAGTTCACCTACATAATCAATGGATATCACCAATCACATGAATAGAACCAAATAAATGCTCACCATTGCATATTTCCTCAAAATGATCCCTCATCTCTGATCGTTTGGACATGCCAAAAGTCAAATGGTTTGCACCATTGTCCTCATCTGCTGCCAAGTCAAAAGATTTGATGGGTACATTTGAAACAAGTGGGGGAGGCATTGGTTCCCTCATATCCTGCAATCGAGCAAGCAGGTTAGTTGGAGAATCAGGTCAAGGAGATCAGTCCACACATTCTGCAAGTCTGCCAGAAAATCGACCTGCATAGTAATGTCTTGTGCAGGTGTTGAAGACCCATCCATCCTGTTTAATTTCTCATGTGTGACTGGCAGTGCTGATGGTTCCCACACATTCAGCAATTGCTTGAGTAGATCCATGTTCATACCGTCCACTGGGGGAGCAGTTGGTTCCCATTCATTCAGGAACTGATTCATCACGTTGTTGTGTGGATCTATTACTAGAAAATTAGTTTGTTCATTAGCTTGAAGGGCAATCATGCCAACTCACCAGCCATGATTCCACCCTCTGCCAGAGCAGTTGGCTCCCTTTCCTGCAGGAACTGATCCAGCAAGCTTTTGCATGAATCTATAGTGAAAGAACATTTGTTGTTTAGCTTGGAGAGAGATCATGTTCACTCACCAGCTGCAATATCCATGATTGACCCTGCCACATCCACCCTTCCACTTGAGACAATTGGTGGAGGGGTTGGCTCTTGCAACTCACACAATTGTACTAGTGTCTCCTCCAGATTTTTGGACTGCTGCACACAGGAGCTAGATTGCCTTGGCTCAATTGGTCTTACATTAGCTGTGGATGGCTTAGGTTGCTGGATCCAACAATGAAGACAACCACACCTTGATGATGGAAATGAACTTGGCAGGATTGTTTGGTAGACATATTTGATGATGATGGGTTCACTGATAGGTCAATGATCAATCAAGATTTAAACTTATAGGAACAATGGTGAGAATATCATTCACACCATGGGAAGCAAGGTTGGACAATGGTGGATGGAGCCAAATTTTGGGTAACAGCAATACATGGGAGATGAGCAGCAATATCTCCCTACATAGATAGCTACCAGTTGCTTCCACATGGCTAATATGTAGACCTGTCCTGCTCAGCTCTCTGCTCAATTGTCCTGCTCAACTGTCCCACTTAACTATCCCTCTCTCTGATATCAAAGATGCCTCTCACAACCACCATGGTGTCATGAGCTACTGTACATGCCATACACTTGTATTCTAATGTGTCACACTAGGCTAAGCCCTCTATAGACCATACACAAGTTCCAAAAAAGGTTTCCACTCTGACTGTTTGAGGGATTTGACAACTACTTCTGCTTCCGATTGCTGCCTGTTTGCTTGTGCAATCTCTTTGCATCAGGAGATGGAACATCTGCATCTGGCCTTGCAGGGGCCTTCTGACACAGGGTGACTTCCAGGTGCTCCCAGGGACACCCTGTTTCACATTTGTAGATGCTGCATTAGTGGTCACAGATCCATTGTGGTTGGACTTGGATGAGTATTTGGCCCCAGGTTGATGTTGATTCATGTCTGGCTCACTCGATTCTGACAGAGCCTGCTTAATATACAGTGCAAACTTGTTAGCCATAACAGCTGATTCAACATGACTGAACTTGCATGGTGTGTGTGCTTCAGGGCAGATTTCAGCTTTCCACCTTTTTTTCTGCTCATTGACCCCTCCTCAGTTGGGTGGTCAGTGAAAGGAATGCTCTCCAATCCATCTTCATCTGCATATTCTGAGTGGTCCTGTAGTTCAGTTGTGTACTTGTTCCCTGAGTGCAGATCAGGGTTTGCTGCAAATACAAGTTACAGTGGGAATCTCACTATTCAGGGATGTTGCTGTTTTCTTTGAATTGGATAGGGTGGGCAAATAAGTGTCTTCATCAGCTTCATCATCAGAATCATGGCTGTTGCTTTCCTGCCCATTATAGTCAGTTAGTGCTTTATTTTGTGGATGATGCACCAGGGTCTTTGCATGGGCTGGAGGTGCAGAGAGCTGCTTACTATGGGAACCATCAGCTGGTGGGGGATTTGAGCAGGAATGAGAAGGGAATGGTGTCTTGGCACAGTTTTGCCTCCCACCAGATACCTGATGACCAGAATTGCATTAGTGCTGATCTGTCATGCATGAAAATCACACATGGCACACCTTTTTAGTGGAGGGACCATCTGTTCCAACATTGCTCACCTCAGCCTCACTTTGATTGTCCAAGCTGTCATCTGCACTGTTGTCCATGCTATCATCTGCACTATCATCCACTACTCCCTCTTCCTGCACTTTACCCTTGCCCTTGACATGTTTCCTTCCAGGATTCTTTTTGCATTTGGGGGCAGGTGTCTTTTGGTATTTCCACTGCCTCACAACCTGGAGGGGTGCCAAAGTTCTATCCACCAGTGGCTGCAGCTTGCCAGATCGATTGATCCATTTCTGAAATCCAAACACATCATTTGGATGGCATTCCTGTCACTTGTGCCAAAAGGACAGCAGCTGGGTAGCTGTTGTTGTCCACATGTGACTTGGGTCATGGTTGAAGGTAAATCCTTCAGGAAGATGGTGGGCTGCTATCATGTCTGCTTGATGATGACCAAAATTCTTGAACAGCACTGCTGACAAGGGATTTCTGCATGCTAATCCTGATAGCACTCATCAGAGATTGAGGACACTAAATACTCTGGCCACTCATGGTAGTGAGCAGTCACAAATCTGTGAACCATTTTTTGTAGTTGGTCCTGGCTAAGGCCTGTGATTCCTCCTATCCAAATCTCTCTGTTGGCATTCTTCACCAATTTCATGGAGTCAACCTTGCCAGTGTCACACACCAAAGGTGTTTTGTGAGGTGGACATGGATACAGCTGATGAATGGAGATGAAGACCATAGCCCTCATGTGAAGAAGGACAGCCAGGAATGTTGGCAGTCATCCCTCACACAAGAACAAGTCATCAGTGCCAGAGAAAAAGAAAGGGAGCAAGTTAAGTGCTGGCTAAATTTCTTAAGTGCCCATGTACAGCATTCTGGTTTTTGACATATCTCTGCCATTTCTGCAGATACCAAGACCATTCCCACACTTGCTTGTAGTGCTCAGCCATGCGATCTTACCTTCCAAAATTGGAAAGGATTTGCACACTCCACATGTTTCTACAGCACTCCCTCCAAAAGATGCTCATTTCGCTAAATTCTTCTGATATGGCTGCCTCTACATCAATCATTTTGCTTGTCCCCTTTGCTAGAGACCATGGCTACATATATCTACCAGGAGTTCCTACCAGCTTCTGTCCTGAAGCATCCTGGTACATCCCACCCATGTCTGTGCCCTCTCAGCCCATCCAGCTTGGACAGCATGTTCTTTTTGTCAGTATGACCTCTAGGAGGACATTCTTTGGTTGCCTCAGGTCTGTCATTCGCTTGGAAAGGTCTTATGTGGTCATTTCAGTCTCTCCAGTCCAAGAAGCATATGGATCCTTCCTCCCTGCTCCCTGCAATGTCTTCATACTGGTCTTGTCCATCATTCTTCCAAGATTGCAACAGCTACAGTATAATCTACTGTTCTCCACTCTCCCTGATTGCATCCATGACAAGTATGATGCACATCTTGCCTCCTTGTTGCAAGATACAGCAGAAGACACTCCCCATTCATCCTCTCTTCCAACAGAGCCTCATTCATGAAGTTTTTATTTGCTTCCCTAAGAGGATGGTTTGGGGGGGAAAGTTGTGATCCCCTATGCTCCTGTCACCCCACAGACCCCCAAAGCTTGACCCCTGTTGACATCTGACTCACCCTGTCCACTTTTGGATGTACTATATTGGCATCAGATCAGTGCTGCCTCTCTGTCATCCCACCTTGGCCTAGAAGCAATCTCTTTGAGATGTGACATGCACAGCCTCCCCCTAATGTGATTCCAGTGCACTTTCCCAGTTCCTGACATTACTTGACTCATACTTTGATGTTCTGACTGTCTTTGACTCACCTATTGCCAATACTTACCAATCTTTTGACTTTGCTTACTGATTCTTCACCTTTTGGCTTGCTAATCCTTACCAATGCTTACCAATGCTTTCCAAGATGATTACCCATCACTTACATTCCTTACTCATCAGTTACCAATCACTTACCAAGTGTTTGCACCTTGTTTTCCAAGGGCAACACCCCTGTACTGTATATAAATCACTGTACTTAAATAGCAAAAAAAAAAAAAGACATCAGAGAGCCCCTCTTGCTTGCATTTTATCATCACTCAGTAATTCATTCAGCAGCTTCAATAGTTGAGACTTTATTAAGGGTCTAACTATCATCTACTTCACTTATCCTTGTCTATTATCAATATACTTTGCTCCAAGCCCTCCCTGAGCTCAGTGCAGCTTAGGACATCAAATTAAGTTGTCATCCATCCTTCTGTTTGAAGCATTTACATCTACAAAGTTCTTTCTTCCCAGAAAACTTTTAGGCTACCAAAGAGCATGATCAATTTCTTCATGTCTAAATATTCCTACATGCTAGGAGGATTCCTTCATGCATTGTCACTTCTGTAGGGGAATGCAAGAGGTGGGGCAAGTTGGCAATGTATGTGCTGCCTAAGGCAATGGAGAGCATATGGCTTACTGCCAGAGAGAATGAGTGGGTGTTTAGAATTGGGTCTGCTGGAGAGGCATGGGTGAGTCGCTTGTAGTTGGATTTGTAACCTATAACCCTCCTCAATAACTCTACAATCACAGCTGACTGCAGTAGCGATGGGCATGGTGATGGTGATTTGCTCACTTGTACTTGTGAACATGCCTTGCTGACAATTCTTTGATTTTCCATTTAGTGCACATACCAGGTCAGCTGCAACTTTCCTTCATCATTTTGCTCATAAGTTTATGTATGCAACCCAATTCTAATAGAACGACCCACAACATATCTCTAGTCTTGTGAGACGCATCCTATACCAGTTTATCGGACCAACTTAAGGTGCCATTCACCCTGCAAATGCGAAGTCCAAGTTTTCGACTTCAGCTTCAGTTAAGAGGGTCACGTGATGTGTCTAGAACTGGGTTGACTGGAGATGCATTGGTGAGTCGCTCGACATTGAATTTCTAACTTCATAACCTTGCCTATTAACACTTGGATCACATCCGACTCCAGCAGCAACCGGTATAGTGATGGTGAAGTGTTTTCTTTTGCCAGCCGTATTTCCAGAACATGCTATGCTGACAATTTTTGATTGGGCGTTTAATGCATATACTAGGTCAGCTTCAGTTTTCCTATATACTACTGCCGACGTCTTTTTGCTCACGTGTTTATGCATGCCACACTATTCTAATAGAACGAGGCTCATCGGGCCAAATTAAAAAATGATCTTGGTAATGGAAAGTTGGGGAAAGAATTCATCTGCACACTACCTGTTGTTTTGTTTATGCTTTTGCCTACAAATTATGTATCAATGCTTTGTATAGCCCTGCCAGTTATATAGTGAAGTCATGTCAACGGCGTTCATCACGAGTCGTTGACATAAAACATCTGCGAGGCTGGTATTCATACTGCGTCTAGCTGTGAATACTAGTATCTGCCCTCCTCGAGTCATTTACAAACAGTTGATAAAGTTATTCCAACTGACTGCTACTCATCAGCTCATCAACAACCAGCCTGAACCGGTGACAGACCCAGAAATTCGTCAGAAAGAAGTCTGAGGTGGTGCTTCATGTGCAGCTGCGATAGCTTGCTGCAGTCGGCCACGCAAGTCCCTTGTGTGACGACAAAAAAGACTCTGCCATGGCGGGCGTCCCACAATGAGAGATACACGTAGTATCTTGAAGGGCGCGTATCGATCGTCTTTGCCCCGGCAGGGAATGCCCAGATTATAAAGATAATCAGAGAGTGAATGGTGGAGAAAGTGTCTGTAAGGAAACTCACCCAGCCAATCAACCAATCAGTTGACTGGTCCGGTCCCTCATGCTACAATCGCTAAGGTTTGAATCAGACACACTGATCGGATGTATGCCCAGGAAGCATCTTTGGTGGTATGGTCAACACAACGCCTTTGGGTCCCCTCCTCCCAGGTTGCTCGTAAGCTCCATCGGAAAGCGTAGAAGAGATTGGCGTGAGCTTGAGACCGGTTGGAGCTCCGAGTCTCGCCTTTGACTGCTCTGGCAGGTCAGCTAGTCAGGGATGACCGGTGACTTTTCGAAGCTGTACCGTGGTTGCACCTTGATGACCTGACGGTAACTTGACGATAGAACCCTACTGATTCCGGCTCAACGGTGGAGGCTATGTAGTGGGCGTTTGCCGGCAGTGGAGGTCTGCGGAGAGCAAGTTATCGATTATCCTCCTGCGAAAACGGCCACCATAGTCATGAAAGACCCGGGCTTGTGTACACCCCTGTGTACCTGAGTTAGCCTACCTTTGTGTTTCGGGACGTGCCATCGAAGACGAATGATTCACTTGATTTCGAAAAGTGATCCGGGTCACACACAAGTAATTTGAGACACAAATTTAGGCTTCAGGGCATGTCACGGCCGAACACCTCTCTTCCCCAATCCCCACACCATTGCCATGCCCGCGCAAGTTGACGCTCATGGCGAAGGACCAGACCCTCCACCGCAGCCGAAACCGCCTCCATTGTCGCGAGTACCTTCATACATTCAGTTTGCCCCGCGGCATGCGATCGAATCATTCGAAAACCTCGTTGCTTTAGCAAATCACCAGGAACGACTCCGAGATGCTCGTAAGATCATATGGCGGGATAGAGGCGAACCCGTCGTCGAGTTGGAGGACCTTTGGGAGTGTTTAGAGCATGCTGGCAGGGGTGGAATGCGTATGTCATATCTCAATTCGTCATATAGTCTCGGACTGCGACATAGCGTCTTTGCAGGAGCTGGCACTATTGCATTTATGTTGCGTGCAGGCCTCAACATAATACTAGCCACCCTTCGACTCGGACAAGTTCCCAAGTAAGTTTGTGAACTTAGTATGTAGTGGACATTCATGCACCGGACACACAGGAAGATGCGGTACGCTCTTATTCGCCACGCCATCTTTGGCAAAGATTCATTTAGGTTTGCTGCGATGTTGGGCAAGTCGAAACTCTGCACTATTGCTCACCGAGAGATTTTTGACCAAGTTCTCAGGTTCTTTCGTGGCACTTTATAAATTCACCCTAAATGCTTTCCCCATCCTTCTACCCCAGCCAGCTGAACCGCCACCTTCTCCGTTCGAAGAGTCCGAGGATGAAAGCGAACCCACCACCCCTGACCAAGTCATGACTTCACAAAAGCGGGTAAGATTCTCATTGTCTGCCCATGCGCAGGAGGTTTGGGTCCGCAAGCGAACGTATCGTTGGCATGCAGCGTTGGCTGGTGCTGTTGCCGGAAGTCTTGCTGTTATGTTCGAAAAACGCTCCCGACGGATAGCGATTGCTCAACAGTTGTTTGTAAGGTGAGTTTGGCCGCGGATATGCATGCATTTTAGGAATTGGTTCCACGCCCTCATCCCAGAGGGCTGCAAGGCTCGTACAATGCATTTACATCTAAAAATGGGTTCCACATACCTCATGGAGAAGCACTGCTGTTTTGTATCTGGTACGTTATGGCCTCATAACTCTTAAGAAATGGTCTTCCGATCACTTTTGCGTTAGTTCCACCCAGATCGTACACGCGCTGTTCTGCCGACCCGATACCCTTGCAAGGTCTTACGAGATTTGGTAGGAATTACTTATTCGTATCCCCGTTCAGCGTCTCATAGTTGGGAAGGCTTAGTAACGCCTCCGGAGCTTCACGCCAAGCAATCAAGATGGTTCGAGATATGAATTTAACTGGCTCTTTCGACGTTCAAGATATTGATAAGATCCTCCAACGCAGTGTAGACCTTTAAATTTCGTTTTCGGGGTTCGCTGGTTTGACTAACGTCTCTGCAGGACGTAATACCTGCCAACCGCACTGCCCTCCTCGCGGTCCAGGCACTGGCTAGTGGCGATCCTCCTGATTTTGGCTTATACCCACCATGTAATGCTATCCACCCATGGGTAGAATCTTGTCGAAGAGTCCCCATACCACGATTGATGGCGGTATTCAAATGGGCATTCCCAATATATGGCGCGCTGCACTTCCTACCGATGATATTATTTAAGCGGAAGGCCTTTCTCTCGAAACCCATCCACATGCTGGGGAAAGCGGGATTGGGTACGATACGGAGCTCGGCGTTTTTAGCAGCGTTTGTGGCTTCCTTCCAGTGTGAGTCCCTTCCTTTTTTTCTGTGATATCCCGAGCTCCGTTTCGCCTAACACATTTACTAGCATGGGTTTGCTTGAAGCATTACATCTACGAAGTTCTTTCTTCTCAGAAAACTCTTAGGCTACCAAAGAGCATGATCAATTTCTTCGTGTCTAAATATTCCTACGCGTTAGGGGGATTCCTTGGTGCGTTATCGCTTTTTATAGAAGAACGTAGGAGGCGGGGCGAGTTGGCGATGTATGTACTGCCCAAAGCGATGGAGAGCGCATGGCTTACTGCCCGAGGGAAAGGTTGGGTGTTTAGAACCGGGTCGGCTGGAGAGGCATTGGTGAGTCGCCTGCGGTTGGATTTGCAACTTATGATCTTCCTTATTAACACTTCGATCGCAGCTGACTGCGGTAGCGATGGGTATGGTTATGGTGAAGTGTTCTTTCCTGCTCGTATTCCTGGAATCTGCATTGCTGACAGCTTTTGATTTGCCGTGTAGTCCATATACCAGGTCAGTTTCAACTCTTCTATATACTACATCCCACGCTTTTTTGCTCACATTCTAATAGAATGATCCACAACATCTCTCTGGTCTCGTGAGGCGCATCCTATACCAGTTCATCGGGCCAAATTAAGGAATGATCTGGGTAATGTGAAGTCGGGGGAAATTTTCATCTACATATCCTATCTGTTGTTTTATTTACGTCTTTACCTATAAATTATGTATCAGTGCTTTTCATGGTCCTGCTTTGTAGATGTTGCTGTGCCGTGCTGGATGGTTTTGAATCCTTCATCAGTGCGCATCTTTCCATTATCCTGTTTTCAAGGTGACTTTAAATTTTTGGGGACAAGTATCGATGGTTTGCATGGTCCTGCCTCGTAGGTGTTGTACTGGATGATCTTTGGAAGCCTTCTTTGGTGCGTATCTTCGCATTACCTTGTTTACTTAAACTTGTAGGTGACTTCATCGACACAACATGAGGGGCAACACTACCGGGTCCAGACCCTCTTGCGTTGCGACTTTCAGGTATTTCATTCTTCTCGATGTGAATCCCCCGGTTTCTTTGTCCTGCTAACATTTCTGAAGGCTTAGTGGCTGACGTTTATCGTTCCTTGCTGCCGTCTCTTTTGGCTTGCGAACATTACCGAACTTGGTTGTGTACTGATGGGAAGGCCCACCATCTATGTAGGTTTACCATTAACTATCGCAAAACCACCGCAATCTGTAGACCTTCCTTAACATGGTATGTATAAGTTACAAGCCGCTACTGGCAAGAGTGTACAGCCCTACTATATCCATCCCCAGGTTTTCTTTATTTGGCGTCTATTTTCCCTGTTCCTCTGACCTTCTGCTCGCAAGGATGCGATCGACGCACCTCTTGCTGCCCGTTTTCTTCGTTTCTTCGCTCCTATTGATGGCGATGGTATCCGTACCGGTGGGAGCGGCCACCGAATGTGGTCCTCTGGCCGTCTCCTGGACAGGTGAATCCATATTCACAGCTCTCAGTGCGCTCGTGTGCATTGGCGCACAGGCGGCCAAAGCCCCTTCTGGATCTTTATTTTCCTCGTGAGTTCACCTCCTGCGTATTGGGCAACCTGTCTTATACATCGGTTTCAAAGGTCGACCACTCCACTGTATAGTACCCTGTACCATCCTCGGCATACAGCGGAAACCAAGGAAATTACACCATTCCTTAATTGTCACCGCCACAAGGGCAACAGTTTGTGTTGTCGATGTATGATGAAACCGGGTCGTTATGGGGGGTACAACTGATCTGTTACAAGTGGCAGGGCCCACCAATGGCTCCAGCTGCAACACAACTTTGTCCCAGGTTTTCTCATTCGCATATTCCTCGTCAGCTCTCCAGCAATGCGTGTACGTCTTAGCGATACGACTGTCATGGGCGCTGATACTAATGCGTCACTCTACCCAGATTCTACGTCTTCAACGACTACCAAGGAGCGGTACTGCCTGTTTCTATCATGGTCAGTAATAAGTTGCTGTGCGTGCCCCCTGCTAACGCTCAAGTCAAATGCAGGCGATCATTCCTGGGGGGGAGTCCATCATGCTTCGATCGGATGTGACAATGATGAGCGACGACTGGACGGCAGATGTTCAAGCGGGGGCCTCGAATGATGCTTCTTGCCTAAGCTCCACCCCTTCTTCCTCGGAAAGCATCCTGCTGTTGTTACAACCGGGGACTTCCTCTCCGTCTACCATCTCTCCGTCTATCAGCCATACCGGTTCTAGTTCCTCAACTAACAGTTTTGTTGCAACTATTGCTGGAGTAGCAGTCGGAGGTGTATTTGCACTTGCTGCACCGGTGACCCTTGGACTGTGCCTCATCCAAAGGAGGCGCAGAAATGATTCTACTTACTCCCATCTTGGGCCACATAGTTCACCTCCTTTACACCCGGGAGACCTTTACCGCTTCGATGTATCTACGACTGCACAGGGATACTCCCTTCAATACGAAAGAGACCGTGCCCCGTCCTTCGTGCTGCCAGGTCAAACTTCACCCAGGATGGCCCTCCCCGCTCTGCAGAACACCCACAGTTTATCCCGTACCTCAACAACCCTGCAGCAAGACTCCGTTGCCAACATACCGTCGGTACCGTCATTTTCCGGGTCCACGCGGCACAATAATGTCCATGCGCATGCAGAGTGTGTTTCAGCTCCCGCATCCCAGGTCATCTACTTTCTGCCATCGTACTCGGAAACTTCAGGGCCCAGGGGCCATCACCATCGCCAGCAAAGAAGGGCGGGTATTTAGAACTTGGTGAACAGGAGAGGCAGCAGTTGGATTTTTAACTTTATCGCCCTCCCTTATTCACACTTTTATTACAGCTAACTGCGATAGCAATGGGTATGGGGGATGGTGAAGGGTTTGCTTCCCCCACATGTATATCCGGAACATACTTACGTTACCGATAACTTTTGATTCGCTGTTTAGCGCATATGCCAGGTCAGCTTCGGTTTTCCCACACACTACATGTGATGTCTTTTTTCTCACGTATTTATCCGTGCTTACACCATTCCAATAGAACGACCCAAAACATCACCCTGGTCTCGTGAGACGCATCCTATACCAGACCACCGTGCCAAATCAAAAATGAACTCGGTAATGTAAGCATGGAAGGAAAAACATCTACATATTCTACTTCTTCTTTTATTTATGTTCCTATAATTTTATGCTCTGCTTGGTTCTGCTTTGTAAGTGCTGTACTTGATGATCTTTTTGAATTCTTTACCAGTGCACATCTTTCCATTACCCAGTTTAGAAGGTGACTTCAGGGTGCAATTTTTACTAACGTTGTCCTTTTTCGGGGCGCCCTTGACACCTTATGTATGTACTACCCTTTTACGGGATTTATCTCGGGTGCGACTTTTGGTACGAGGGGAATAGACATTCAACTCATTCCGTCCATACAACTTGGACGGTCAAACACTCTTGGGTTCAGTCCCTCCTCGTTGCCACTTTCAGGTAGTTCACTCTTTAAATATGAATCCCTAGGTTTCCTCACTCTCGCTAACGTTTCTGAAGGTTCAATGACTGGCGTGTATCACTCCTTCTCCCACCTGCTGGCTTGCGAATACTGCTGTGATTGATAGGAACTCCACCATCAATGTATGCTTACGATTAACTATCGCAAAATCACCGCAATCTGCAGACCTTGCTTAACCTGGTCTTTAAGCTCCAATCTGCATGGCAAGTTGGCCAAGTATAGCCCCATGATCGCAGGATATCACGGAGATATCCACCATTAGGTTTCTCAATCTGGCGTTTATTTTCCCTGTTTCTCTGATTTTCTGTTCCCAAGGATGCGTTCGATGCACCTCCTTGGGTCCATCTTGTTCCTCTCCTTGCCTATAGGGATGGCCAAGGCGTCCCTGTCAGTGGGAACGGCCACCGAATGCGGTCCTCTGGCCGTCTCCTGGACAGGTAAATTCTTCATATGCCCAGCTCTCAGTGCGCTCATGTGTGTTTGCGCACAGGTGGCCAAAACTTCCTCTGGATCTTTATTTTCTCCGTGAGTTCGCCTCCTGTGTGTTAGGCAACCTGTTCTATACACCGGTTTCAAAGGTCAACTACTCCTCTACATGGTACCCCGTACCATCCTCGGCATACAGCGGAAACAAAGGAAATTACACCATTCCTCAATTGCCATTGTCACAAGGGCAGCAGTTCGTGTTGTCAGTGTATGATGAAGCCGGGTTCATTACGGGGAGTACATCCGATCTATTGCAAGTGGAGGGGCCCACCGATGGCTCTAGCTGCAACACAACCTCATCCCAGACTTTCTCATTCGCGTTAGCTCTCCAGCCATGTGGGTATGTCTTAGTGATACGACTGTCATGGGCGTTGATGCTGATGTGTCACTCTACCCAGACCCTACATCTTCAACGACTATCAGGGAGCGGTACTGCCTGTTTCTATTATGGTCAGTAATATGTTGCCGTGCATGCCTCCTGCCAGTGCTCAAGTCAAATGTAGGCAATTGTTCCTGGGGGAGAGTCTATCATCCTTAGTTCGAATGTGACAACGACGAGCTACAATTGGACGGCAGATGTACAAGCCGGGGCTTCGATTATATTTTCGATGTTGGATGCTGATAGCAACTCAGGCGGCTGTTCTCTGCTTCAAGCAGTGGATGATACTTCTTGCCTAGACTTCGTCGGCACTACCAACTTCAACGTTTCAGAGGCAGAACTCGCTTCAGGGGAAACATTCGACGGTGTTTCCTTCGCCTCTGTCCTCCCTTCGCCTCTTACCCTTCCGTTAACCACCTCCGCGTCTACCGGTCGGACTGGTTCTAGCCCTACATCTACCAGTCAGACTGGTTCTAGCCCTGCATCTACCAGTCGGACTGGTTCTAGCCCTACATCTACCAGCCAGACTGGTTCTAACCCTATGTCTACCACTCACACTGGTTCTGGCTCCCCAACGACCCTTTCTTCTGCTGCTATCGCTGGAGTGGTGGGTGGAGTTGTGGTTATACTTTTTGTGTTGGTGATCTACTGCTTGTGCCTTCGCCGTAGGAAGCGCAAGGACAGTTCCACGTACCCTACTCCTACGACACTTGATGTGCATCCTGCACAAATGGGGAACCTTCATCACGGCCCGGATACACCTGTGGCTGCTTACGCATACCACGTTCTATATCAAAGTGACCACGACCAGCCCTTCGTGTCGCCAGGTCGGACTATGCAGAGTATTATCCACCCTTACGCGCAGGAGACCTACACTTTCCACCGTGCCTCGGCCACCCTGCAGCAAGACCCCTTTGCCGACACTACCAATTGTGATTTTGCCGTCGATAATGATACAGACATACCATTGGGTCCGCCATCTGCCGGGTCCGCGGTGCGGCACAGTTCGTCGTAGAACACGCTCCGCCTACCGTATCACAGGTCACTGACCTTCCGCCACAGTACTCGGAAGGGCCAGGGCCCACAGTAAGACAACGCTCAGTACCGCGACCTCTCGTCAGGGACAGACCTTGCCTATATCCCGAAGTCCTTTGATCAAATTCCCCGCTACCTGCAACCTCACTCCCATGATAGTAGTCATGATTCACGTCTTACTTGTATACAGATTATCATTTTGGATACCACAACTTTGTTTGCATTCGGATAATGAGTCGAGTTTTGGTTCATCTTCTAGTAATACTCCAATCCATGCTCTCATTGTTGGATTTTTCGATCGGTATCTCCTGAAGAAGCTCTGATGTGATAGTTTACAAATAGATTCCATTACTTCGACAGGAGTATCCAAGTACATCTGTATATGATGCGAGGGACAATGTAGAGCTAGTTTCACAGGGCATGGGAGAACGGACCCACGGTAAATTTCCGCATTGGCAGCTATCGGGCACCAATCGACCCAGGGTGCTTTGAGGTACGAAAGGAATTCAGGTAGCGAAGAAAGGCTGCGGCGCGCGGCGTCTCCAGCCTGGGTGAGTTGCAGAGAGGGACAACTTATCAAACAGAGAAATCATGACAAATACAGCTAAGTAGGAACGCGAGACGAACACGAAGAGAACAGAGAGGCAGATGGGTTGGGTGACAAAAAACTGCGCTAGGGTTGAGAGACAGGCCAGGAGAGTTAGAAAAGGGTAGCTACAGGAATTGGCCCACCTAGCGGGATGACGGGAAAAAGTCGAGGCGAACCCCTGTGACCACCATCTCACCAAGGCTGCAGGGCAGAGCAGCAAGGACAGGCGACATGATGACGCTGATGACGCATGGGCAAAGCCATTGGCGGCTGAGAGCTTCGGCCGCAGGCAGCCCCGAGGTAAGGACCTCGTCAGTGGCGGTCGCACCCAGTTGGTTAGTCTCGTACAAAGAAATTTAAACCTGAGAAAGTTGCGTTCAAGTCAACTTCAGTCAAGTTCACTACTTTCCCACAACTTACAGTTGTCGACCGTGACCTGTGTTCACTGAGTGGCAGAACACCGCACGTATATACGATTTTATGAGATCATCGGACTTATCCAGGGTGCGACTTCTGGTGTGAAGGGGAATGTACGTTCAACTCGTTCCATCGATGCGACTTGAACGGTCAACACTCCTGGGTCCAGACCCTCTTCGTTGCCACTTTCAGGTAGTTCACTCTTTTTGAATATGAATCCCCAAGTTTCTTCACTCTTGCTAACTAACGTTTCTGAAGGCTCAATGACTGACGTTTGTCGCTCCTTCTACCATCTCTTTTGGCCTGCGAACGCCGCTATGCATTGGTGGGTACAGCATCATCAATATACGCTTACGAGTAACGATCGTAAAATCATCGCAACCTGCAGACTTCGCTTAACCTAGTTTTTAGGCCCCCAGCCGCATGGCTAAGTATAGCCCCATAACCACAGGACATCACGGAGATATTAGGTTTCCCGACCCGGCGTTTACTTTCCCTGTTTCTCTGACCTTTCGCTCGCAAGGATGCGTCCGATGCACCTCCTTAGGCCCATCTCATTCTTTTCCTTGCCCATATGGATGGCCAAGGCGTCCGTGTCAGTGGGAACAGCCACCGAATGCGGTTCTCTGGCCATCTCTTGGACAGGTGAATTCTTCATATGCCCAGCTCTCAGTGCACTCATGTGTATTGGTGCACAGGCGGCCAAAGTTCTTTCTGGATCTTTATTTTCCCTGTGAGTCCATCTCCTGCGTATTAGGCAATTAGTCCCATGCACCGGTTTCAAAGGTCAACTACTCCTCTACATGGTACCCTGTACCATCCTCGGCATACAGTGGAAACCAAGGAAATTACACCATCCCTCAATTGCCACTGCCACAAGGGCAACAGTTCGTGTTGTCAATGTATGATGGAGCCGAGTTCATTACGGGGGGTACATCCGATCTGTTACAAGTGGCGGGGCCCACCGATGGCTCCAGCTGCAACACAACCTCGTCCCAGACCTTCTCATTCGAAGATTCTTCGTTAGCTCTCCAGCAATGTGGGTACGTCTTAGTGATATGTCCATCGTGGGCGTTGATGCTAATGTCTCACTCCACCCAGATCCTACCTCTTTGACCACTATCAGGGAGCGGTACTGCCTGTTTCTATTATGGTCAGTAATACGTTGCTGTGTGTACCTCCTGCCAACGCTCAAGTCAAATGCAGGCGATCATTCCTGGGGGAGAGTCCATCATCCTTCAATCGGATGTGACAACGGTAAACTACACCTGGACGGCAAATGTACAAGCCGGGACCTCGATTATATTTTCGATGTTGGATGCTAACGACAACTCAGGCGGCTGTTCTCCGCTTCAAACAGTGGGGGCCTCGAATGATGCTTCTTGTCTGGGCTCCACCTCCGCGTTATCCACTGCAAACATCCCGCAGTCATCACAGCCGGGGTCTTCCTCTCCGTCTGCTACCCAGCCATCTACTATCTCTCCGTCTGCTACCCAGCCATCTACTATCTCTCCGTCCACCACCCCTCCGTCTTTTACTCTTCCATTAACTACCGCTCCGTCCACCACTCAGGCTGGTTCTAGCTCCTCAACGGCCCTTTCTACTGCCACTATCGCTGGTGTGGTGGGTGGAGGTGTGGTTGCGCTTGCGGCACTAGTGATCTTCGGCTTGTGCCTTGTCCATAGGAAGCGCAGGGACAGTTCCACCTACCCTGTTCCTATGGCACGTGATGTGCATCCATACCAAGGTGACCACGACCAACCCTTCGTATCGTCAGGTCGGACTATCCGGAGGATTTCCCGCGCTTACGAACAGGAGACCCACAGTTTCCACCGTGCCTCATCAACCCTGCAGCAAGGCCCCTTTGTCGACACTATCAATCCGAATTTTGCCGCCCATAATGATACAGGCATACCGTTGGGACCTTCATTTGCCGGGTCCGCGGCGCGGCACAATATCGTTGTAGAACATACTCCGTCTGCCCTATCGCAGGCCACCGACCCCCCTCCACAATACTCGGAAAGGCCGGGGCCCGCAGCAGGACAACGATCAGTACCGCGACCTCTATCGTCAGGGACAGACCTTGCCTATGTCCCGAGGTCCTTTGATCAAATTCCCCGCTACCTGCAACCTCACTCCCCACGATAGTAGTCATGATTCACGTCTCACTTGTATACAGATTATCATTTCGGATACCACAGCATTTCTGGCTCTTTGAGTTTTCACTTTTGTGGGTAGTTTTCAGCCTACTATGCACTTTCCCATACCCTTCGCAGATATTTGTGGACGTTCCGTTAATAAGTTTTGATTCATCCTCTAGTAATGCCCTAATCTATGCTGCCATTGGCGAGATCTCTTGAAGGAGCTCTGAAAGCGTACGCAAGGGTTTGACAGTTTACAGACTGTTTGCGATTGACGATCGCGAAATCGCCACAGGCCATACTCGACCCTGCTTTAAGTCATCATAGCCCCCAACTCGACTCCATCCGTTTGCTGATGCTAATGACAAACCGTCTGAATCTCCAACGACTTGACACCCGGACCTCATGTTCTCTTTGACGTTTCTTTCCCTTTTCTCTACTTAGTCTCGTGTACATAGGTACACAAAGACCTATACTTGTAGATACCTTCCCCAGTTTTATCAAGAGACACCTTGCCTAGTTCCTTCTGAGCAAGCTCGAGACCCTTTCAACTGAAACTACCTTACCATGAGACTTGTCGCCCTCAGCGTCCCGTTACACGGCCGCTTCGATGTTGGATGCTGATATCAGCTCAGGCGGCTATTCTCTGCTTCAAACAGTGGGGGGCTCCGAGTCGAGTGATGCTTCTTGCCCAAGCCCCACCTCCGAATCAGGAAATTAACACTTTACTATTTTCGACCTTTTTGTGACTTTTTTTGACTTTTTTGTGACTATTGTGACTATTTGTGACTTTTTGGGAAGGAACCTATTATCTGTACTTTTCTTTTTGACCATATACAGCATTTTGAAGAATGAAAAGAGAACAGAATCTATTGAGACAACTAAGTGATGACATATCTAAGCCAAGAAGACTAGAAAATGTCTGAAAATTCAGAGATATTGAGCCATTGGTGTGATGCACACTGTCTGAGAGAAAAATCACAATATCTCTTTGGAACCTCCATCAATTTGAATGTATGTGGTATCTACTGAAAGCTATGAACTAGGTGGTTTGAACAAGACTAAAATCAGCAAGAAAAGTGCAGCCATGCCTGCAGGACATGGGTAATGATAGTAGATTCCTTCCCAAAAAGTCACATTAGTCACAAAAAGTCAAAAATAGTAAAGTGTTATTTTCCTGATGTCTGCTTCATCCAAAAACATCCCGCTGTCATTACAACCGGGGACCTCCTCTCCATCCGCCACCTCTCCGTCTATCACCTCTCCATCTGCCATCTCTCTGTATATCAGCCATGCCGGTCTATTTCCTCAACAAACATTAGGAGTAGATATTGCTCCGCGGTGGCAATACGCACTGTGGTTAATCCTATGGAAAGCCGGACCGAACTACCGTTCTCTCAATCAGAGCTACGAAAGTTTTTCCGCATCAGCACAATCATATTGGGCATTACCCCTGGGTCTAGCCGCCGGCCCCTCCAGTACGTTGACAACTTGACTTCCGCGCGTCAATGCCGCTTTCAGGTACTTCCCCCTTTTCAGTATGAAAGTATGAATATCTCTTGTTAACACTTCGATGAAGTCTTACTCTTACTCACGTTTATTGCTCCTTGCTACTATGCCTCTCTGGGACGGTTGTTCACCAATCGGAGCACCCACCCACAAGTTACCATGTCTGTTTGCGATTGACGATCACGAAATCACTACAGACCTTACTTAACTCTGCTTTAAGTCATCACAGGCCCCAGCCGCATGAGGTACAGGACTACTATATCTATCCCCAGGTTTTCCCGATCTGGCGTCTATTTTCCCTGTTTCTCTGACCCTCTGCTCCGCGATCGGGATGGGTTCAATGCAATTCCTGAGGCTCATCTTATTGCTGTCCTCGTTTCTATTAACGACGAAGGCATTCTCCGTGTTAGTGGGAGCAGCCGCGACATGCTCTCCTTTGACCGTCTCTTGGACGGGTAAGTCGTTCATATACCCAGCTCTTCTAGTGGGCTCATGTGTATTCAGGTGGCCAAAGCCCCTTTGTGATCTATATTTTCCCCGTGAGTTCGCATCCTGCCTTCTATTAGCCAACCCGTTCTAGATATTGCCATTACAAAGGCCAACTACTCGTCTTCATTTTACAACGTGCCATCCTCGGCATACAACGGAAACCAAGGATCTTATACCATTCCTCAACTGCCACTGCCACAAGGGCAACAATTTGCTTTGACGATGTCTGATGGAACCGGATTTGCTACGGGGGGTACAACTGATCTGATACAGGTGGCGGCATCCACCAGTAGTTCCAGCTGCAACACCGCCACATCCTTGGGTTTCACCTTCGTTGAAGCCTCGTCATCTCTACAGCAGTGCTTGTAAGTCTTAGTGACCACGGACGTTGATGCTGATATGTTACCGTACACTAGGCCCTATATCTTCAACGGATACCAGGGAGCGATACTTCCCGCTACTATTGTGGTTAGTAATATGTTGCCATACATGCCTCACGATTGCGCTCAATTCGAACGCAGGGGATCATTCCCGGGGGGGAGTCCTTTCTCATTCAGTCCGGTGTGACAACGACGAGTTACACGTGGACGGTAGATGTACAGGCCGGGACTTCGATCATGTTTGCGATGTGGGATACTAATGGCAACTCAGGCGGTTGTGCTGAGCTTCAATCTGTGGGGCCCTCGAACGATGCTTCTTGTCTAAGCTCGAGCTCCCCTTCATCCACTATAAGCATTCCGCAGTCATCACAATCGGGGTCTTCTTCTCCATCTACCACCGCTCCATCTACCACCTCTCCGTCTACTATTCAGACTGGTTCTAGCTCCCCATCAATCCTGTCTAGTGCCACTATCGCTGGAGTGGTGGGTGGAGGTGTGGTTGCACTTGCTGCGCTAGTGATCTTCGGCTTGTGCCTTGTCCGAAGGAGGAACAGGAACGATTCAAGGCATTCTGTTCCTACGCCACATAATGCACCTCCTTTACATTGGGAGGACCTTCATCAGGGCCCGGATACATCTATGACTGCACACATATACCCCCTTCAGCACCAAAGTGGTCATCTTCAGTCGTTCGTGCCGTCATCAGGGCAGACCATACCCAGGATGACCTATGGTTCACACCGTGGCTCGACAAGTCTGCCGCAAGATTCCTCTGCAGACGCTACGGGCGTACTGCCGGTACCGTCATTTATCGGGCCCATGACGCACAATATTGTTCACACGGATGTAGAACGTGCTCCTTCTACTGCATTACAAGCCATCGACCTTCCGCCGCAATACTCGGAAAGGCCGGGGCCCGCAGCAGGACAATCATCAGTATCACGGCCGCTATCGTCAGGGGCAGACCTTGCCCGTGTCCCGAAATCCTTCGATCAAACTCCCCGCTACCTGCGATATCACCCGCCACCATAGTTGTGATCCGCGTCTTACTTGTATATGAGAAACCATTTTGGATACTACAGCACCCCTGGCTAACTCTTTGTATTTTTGCTCTTTTTGATGGATTTTTGCCTATTATGTACGTTCCCATTCCCCTCGCAGATATTTGTGGGCATTCGCTGGTCAATGAATCTAGTTTTGATCCATCCTCCAGTAATGCCCTAATCAGTAATTACTTAATCAACTATGCTGTCACTGAATTTCTCGAGGTCTCTTGGGGAAGCTCTGCAAGCACATGCTAAAGGTGACGATTTACAAATAGATTTCAAGACCGGATTATGCATACATATATGAGTATGGTGCGGGAGACAGCGCGTAGGTAGCTGCACGACATGTGGGAGATGGCAGGTCGATGTACACAGATATTATGTAAGTTTTCTGAGCATAGAAAAACGCGTAAGAAAGCAAGTCGAACCGCCAAAAACCAAGACACATAAGTACGGAAGCGTGGAAAGCGTTATGTAAAAGCGCAACCAACAAAAAGAACAGGAAGAAAAAAAGTGAAAATGTCAAGGGAGTAATCTAAGTAAAAGAGAGACATCTTGCCTGCGTTTTGCGACTTTTCCTTGAGGGCAATTCACACCGTGGGATTTCTGGGAACTGCTTTCCTTTCTATTACATAATAGATCATCATATCATACACAGCCCCTCCGTATATGTCGCTTTATTTCCGTCAATGCCGCTTTCAGGTACTTCACTCTTTTCAGTATGAATCTCTCTTCTTGGTTGCCTCTAACACTCCAGTGAAGCATCACTGACGTTTATCGCTGGTTTCTACTACGTATATCTTTGATGCTGTCCTTGGTTGCACAATGATCAGAGCACCCACCAACTATGTCCGCTTGCGATCACAGCCAATCTCGCCGCAATCTGCTTAACTTGGTTTAAAAAAGGCCCCCAGCCACATGGTGTTGGCCAAGTACAGCCCTATGACCACAGCACTCCATTGCGGAAATGAGTCCATCACGTCGTTTTCCCAATCTGGCGTCTATTTTCCCTGTTTCTCTGGCCCCCTTCTCGCAAAGATGCGTTCGACGCACTTCCTGAAGCCTATCTTATTCCTTTTCTCGTCCCTATGGATGGCAAAGGCATTTTCTGTGTCAGTGGGAACAGCCTCTGAATGTGCTCCATTCACCGTTTCTTGGACGGGTAAGTCCTTCGTATGTACAGTCGTTAGTGGACTCATACATATTGGTGCGCAGGCGGACAGAGCCCTTTTCAGATTGCTATTTTCCCCGTGAGTTTTCCCCCTATCTATGTACTAGGCAACCTGTCTCAAGATAGCGGTTACAAAGGCTGATGATCCCCCGAGTTTCTATACCGCAACATCGTCACCTTATACCATTTCTCAACTTCTGCTGCCCCAAGGGACCCAGTTCGTGGTGACGATGTCTGATGCAACCGGGTTCGCAACTGGGGGTACAACTGACTTGATAACGGTGGCGGGGCCCTCCAGCGGCTCCAGCTGCAACACTACTTTTCCGACCCTGAGTTACTACTTCAGTGATACTTCGTTGCCTTTCCAACAATGCGGGTAAGTCTTAGAACTGTGACTGTCGTGGATGTTAATACTGATGCCACTCTTCCCTAGACCCTTTGAATTCAACGGATACCAGGGAGCGATACTGCCCGTTACTTTTCTGGTAGGCAATACGTTGCTGTGCATACCTCCTGCTGGCGCTCAAGTCAAATATAGGCGATCATTCCTGGAGGGGAATCATCTATCCTTGCGTCTGGTGTGACGACAACGACCTACACCTGGACGGCAGATGTACAAGCCGGGACCTCGATTATATTTTCGATGTTGGATGCTGAAAACAACACAGGCGGCTGTTCTCTGGTTCAAATAGTAGGGGGCTCGAACGATGCTTCTTGCCTGAGCTCCAACTCCCCTTCATCCACTGCAAGCATTCCGCAGGCGTCACAATCGGGGTCTTCCTCTCCCAGCCAAACTAGTTCTGGCTCTTCAACAACCCTCTCGGTTGCCGCTATCGCTGGAATTGCAGTCGGAGGTGTAGTTGCACTTGCTGCGCTGGCGATCCTCTTGTTATGCTTTATGCGAAGGAGGCGCAGGAATGATGTCACGTACTCCACTCCTATGCCATCTAATTCGCCTCCTTTACACTCGGAGGTCACTCCATACCCAAGCTCCTTCCTGCGGTCTGATCAGACTATATCCGGGATGACCCATCTTGCTCCGCAGGACACCTCCAATTTACCCCGTGCCTCGACAAGCTATAATGATACCAGCGTATCGTCAGCACCGCCATCTCCTCCGGGGAAGGGTTCCACGATCGTTATGACTCCTTCCGGGTCTACGCGGTACATTGTTCATACGGATATAGAGGATGCTTCGCACACCGCATCGCAGGTCATCGAACTTCCGCCTCAATACTCCGAAAGGTCGGGACTCACATGGCAATAATCACCATCGCGGTTTCTGTCGTTGAGAATTGAGTATGGAGTCACGGAGCTTGCCTATGTTTCGGATCAGAGTTCCGGCCACTTGCAACCTCACTTGCCACTACAGTCGTGATACGCGCCTTAGTTGCACATGGAACATTATTTTGAACATCGTAGCACATCTGGCTAACTTATTTTATTTTCGATTTCCCCGATTGTTGCTGGGCTGTTATGCATGTTCCCATTCCCCTCGCAGATATCTGTGTGCGTCAGTCTAGTCTTTGATGTTAGCATCGTTAGCTATGCAGCATGTGGGAGATAGAGCAGCCCGGTGCTTGACTTGAGCATCAAAAGTCTCACCGCCCAAGCGGACACCAGAGGAGCAGGATCTGAACTCGGATGTCCATTGGGATTCGTCGTCAATGCAGTGACAGATATAGGACGGTATATCCATCGTCAGAAGACTGGATATATAGTGACAATACTTGAGCGACGAGAGTTGGATCGCGGTGTCACTGCGGCTTGGTATTGTCCGCAGTAGGGATAACCTTTCTGAGTGTCGTATGGCGTACTTTGGGCGTCGGGGTCGAAGGTGCTCTCTGGTTCGAATAAGGTCACGGTGGAAGCGGCAGATGGGGGTACACTTCCATCAAATGTCAGCGTAATCACGGGACGTGCGTGCACGCTGTTTACGCCGTGGGGGTCCTCAGGACAAAGACCCAGAATACAAGCCGACAGCGAACGACTGAGGGAGGCAGCAGTATGGACTTCGAGGAGGTCCTCTCCAACACGAAGGTGAGCTATGAGTCCTCGAGCTGTGCTCTGTGTCGTGGTTCTTCAATATATATTGTGGTCCTTTCGGGCAAGCTCGATCCGTCAATTTGTTTGACTTCAAATCCTTTGTATCGGACTAGTCAACCATCTCGACCTAATCTCGACCTCAACAATACTGGCACAGCAACAGCAATACAAAAGACGACAACAATGACAGTGACGGTGACGACGATAAGAACGACATAACAATAATAGTACAACGACAGTACGAAACAATAGGACAATGAAGGCCACAGTATATCGTATGACAGTGAATTTCTCGAAGTAAGCAGTACCATCCTTGCTCTCACTTTCGTGCGACGAGCGGGCACCAGTGGCGGCCTATCATCTAACACCTAAAATTGACGATTACACGAAGACGAAGACGAAGACGAATACCAATATGATCATGTTCCCAGAAAACGCGAAGACTGTACCTGAAAATTGATTTCACATTTTACCGCAGGCAAAGTTTGAAGTTTTTGTGAATGTCTCAATGCTTGCCAATACTTCAAGTTTATGCGCACGTGTTGATTTTAGCTTCAAATTTTACGCATTTACGGTGGACGAGACTAGTAGTAGATCAGTTCCGTGATGGCATCCAACCTATAATTGCCTTAACGTGAGCTTGGAACTTTTGAGGGATTGTCGCAAAAAAAAGTAAAGTGCCATGACAATCCCGGTGGCTTGTCATGTGACTGAGATGCCTAATTCAATGGCATAACAATGGCAATGTAATGATATCTTATCTTGTCTTATCATATCAATGCCATAACAATACTCCATTCAGTATTTGGATGTGCACCTTAAGCCCAATGAATCATTGCAAGTGCATGTGACATGATCATTATTGATTTTCTGATCTAACTTATCAATTACATATCGTAATATTATGGGTCATTTTGGACCCAAATCAGCTTTGCCCATTGCCTTCTGTCTTTTGAAGGATGCTGTAGGTATCCTCAGTAGTGCAACAAGCTACTGAGGGCACAGTGAATAAACTACTGTAAAATGTGCGCTCTAAGGTGATTATGTAAGCACCCAAACATCGCACCAAAGTGAGCAGAACACAGGGGAGAATATATCTCCAACACTGTCCACCATGCCCCCACATCGAAATTACCAGCAGTCAAAAGAGTTGTCCACTAAGCAACCTTGCAAGCACTGCAGTAATCTCTATCTACCACAAGGAATCAAAAAGCATGAGACCAGTTGTGTGAAGGAGCATGTGAACTGCAAAGAACAAGACAAGCACAATAAGGCATACATACGAGATGTTCATTGAAGTGAGTCAATACCTTTCCCCCCTCTCATCTGTCCATTAATTTACAATGGTTGTTTACTAGCTGAAATTGCTAAGGAAGCAGTTGCAGCTATGTCTGTGTTGTTAGTGCACCCTGGCATCACTGGGTCTTTGGGCTCTGCAGCAGCTGTAATACCAGTGCCACTCAGGCAGCTGTCAGTGGGCCCTTCACAATCAATTCCTGGTACATAGACCACCTTAGTGTCACTCTTGATGCTTACACTTTGCAAGACAGGATCACCAACTGGCTTTGCTCTCAATGAAGATGATGTGTTGATGGGTATGATGAGTCCTCATGGTAGGAATATACCAGACTCAGGTAAGTTTAGAATGTTCATCTCTAACTGAAATTCAACTAATCTCCTGCTGTTTGTGATGAATCTTGATTCTGACATGTCAACTGCAGCCCAAGTGGCAGGTCACTCAGTGAACTCTGCTGTGCCAGATGTCCAAAATGACCATCGCCCTGAATTCAAGACTGAATTTCATCCCTGTAGCAAGTACCCAATGCTTTTCCAATCTGCCAAAGAGTTTGGCCAGCAAAACCTCAAATACATGGCCCCAGACTGTGAGCCCTGGTGCCCTTTTGCTTCAGAGGGTGATTACATTTTTGCTACTGTTGCTGTTGAAGCTGGGCTTAGCTCAACTCAGGTTGATTCCCCTCTCAAGTTGATTCATTGTATACAGCAAGGAACAGCAAGTGTCACACTGCATAATGATGCTGGGCTTTGCACCACTTTGGATAGAGTGGTGGCACAACTAACACCAGTAAGTTGTTTATTTCCAGTGCACTTTTAACAAGTGGCTCACTTCCCAGCCACTTGTCAGTTCTTGAAGTTTGAAATTGCTGTGCCCTATAAGGGCAGTGACATGACATTCCCCATCCACATTTGCCCTCTGTGGGACTGGGCCCTCAATTTATTGCAAAATCCTTTTCTTGAACTGCACTTCATCTGGGATGCTGAATGAGTCTTCAAACTTGATGGTGAGATGTATGAACACTTCTACACTGAACCTTGGATGGGTGATCATTGGTGGGATATTCAAGTGCATTGTAATTAATATTATTTCATACTGTTGTACTGTGTAAATTCACTGTGTTTCCTCCTGTTATGCAAATGAAGTCATGGTTACCCACACATGTGGAGAATGCTGTTCCATTTGCATTTATTCTTTACACTGACAAGACATGGCTGTCATCTCATGGTACTGTCAAGGGTTACCCCATGGTAGCACATTGTACCAACCTCCCAGTTCACATTTGCAATGGTGAACAATATGGTGGTGGCTGCATGGTAGGCTGGCTTCCAATTGTGAGTATGATATCTCTTTGTTTTAGAGTAATAAATTGATCAAACAGGTTTTTGCAGGTTCCTGAGCTTGTGAGTGAGGAGAGAAAGACCAGCTATGTAAATTTCAAGTGTGTTGTCTGGCACAAAGCCTTCTATAAGCTCCTTGAGAAGGTTGCAGAGCTCTCAAAGGTTGGCTACCTGCATGAATGCTATGACAACATTCACTGGTGGCTCTTTCCAGTTATTCTTATCTTGTCAGCTGACTATGAAGAACTGTAAGCATTATTTTGTCTGCAAATCAATTGTACTTATGAAACCCAGCCTTTTTAGCTGTGTGATGATGCTTATACAAGGCACAAAATGCAAATTCCCATGCCCATTTTGCCTAGTCCCTTTTGAGGAGCTTTGGGACTTATCAAAGACATACAAAATGTGCACTACCAAGCAACATCAAGAAGTGCTGGTATTGTATGAGCAGAAGAAGTCAGCTGGCAAGAAGAAACTGAAATCTCTTGGGTTACATCCTGTCAAGGTAGGGCTTTGACATACATAATCTATGTTTATGACTGACAGAATGTATGATAGAATGCTTTTTGGTTGGTAGAACACTCAGAGCCTGAACAGGCTGCAAGCTTCAAGCCACTTCACTCCCTGCATGGCAGCTTGGGAGGCAATCACATGCATGAGGAGCTCAAGATTGTTGTCAATGAACTTGGCTGTGATTTTGAGACATGTTTAGAAGAATGGTAAGACAATTCAATTGGGCTGTGGGGCTGGCTGACTATCACTCAGGGTTTCTGCCTTTCCCCATTGGTGAGGCCTCGCACATTTCAATATGTGATCCACATCACATTTTCTGATGGAAACAAAATGCAAGATCTCACCAGGGTAATCTAATTAGGATGTGTGTTTAAACATGTGCTAATGATCTGGAATAGCAGTGTTCCTATGCTGCTCTTGACATTTTGATGTCCACAACATCTCAAGCTGGGTACCAGTTGCTGTGTATGATCTGCAGTTACCTACAGCTTGAAACTCTCATTGGGCTTGATGTACACACTGAGGCAACCCTTGGAATGATTGAACATGAACTTCTTGTTTTCAGGGGTGAACTCAAGGTATTCTGCTCCTTTGGTTGTCCATTGTCACACAATGATTGTTGAAAATAGGCATACTGATCCCACATTCATCATTTGCATGATACAGGCCTCAAGGACAATTGGAACTTTCCCAAGGCACACCTCTGGAAGCATGTTACCCATGACATTTGGAGCAAAGGTGCCATTTGTAATTACAGTGCTCAGCCAAATGAGAAGATGCATGGTCTGCTCAAAGATGCATACCAGGATTGTTCTAATGGAAAGGATGTTGTGGGGCAGGTGCATATCAAGTCCTTACTTAGAGACATTGTCACATGATGTTTCATTTGGATTCTCCATATTGACCATCATTGATTTGTGATCAAACTCATTCAAGCGTGAATTGATGCAGGAAACAAATGTATTACTCATTTCACTGATGACAGCAACAGAAATGATGATGAGGACAATGACAAGCCATTTGAAGGAAACACCAGGCTCAGTGCACCCCAGCAACCTAGCTCACTTTCTGACATTGAGAACACTCACTGGGATGATTGGGCATTTGAGGGATTCTGTTGGAGGCTGGAAATTTTCCTCAATGCTTGCCTCTCCACTTATGGGTACCCCCTCAATGCATGGATACAATTACAAGGAACAGATACAGTATGTCCTACTTCGTCATCTGTATACAGACTGATCCCCTGGCATTCCCCTCAAGGTCTGGGAGTATCAGTATTTGCAGGTTAGCTACACTTCAGTGGTGGACTGGAAGGTTGCTGTGAACCACATCAGATGTAGTCCAAGTTTCCATGGTCAGCCACAATATGATTGTGCTCTCATTCAACTTTTGGAGACCAAGGCTGCCTTTGTTTGACTCATATTCATGTTCACTTGCAAAATTGTGGCATTCAAGGATGTTTTTCAGTTTGCACTTGTTCAGCCATCATGGCTGGGACTGGAGTGTGCAGGTTGGACCAAGATTTCCAACTTACCCAAGTCAAAGCCATATCCTGTGCAGCATTGATATTCATTCCTGTAAAGTCAATCATTCAGGGCACATTGCTTTACCTGGATCTGAGCCACCATGGTGAGTTTTTAGTTGTTGAGCATACTGATGGTGACATGTTCCTTTGCATGAAGAGATGGACTCAGACTTGGTGCCAAGCACCAGTAGCAGCCAAACAGGATTCAAGTTCTGACTCTGACCAGATGTCAGCCAAAACTCAAGGCAATACTTTGGGTAAGTGATCCCCATTGTTGTGTATTACTTCATTCAAACTGATTTGGTTCTATACTGGTAGGGTCAGAACAATCAGACCCAGATGTTGGAGGGCCAGTGTCAGAATGAATGTGATCAGTTTGTGATATGCAATTCTTTGTACACTGTGCTATTACATCTTATCGCATCATGATATTACTGTTATTACTGGTAAGGCTGTCAGGGAGCAACCACATGGCATTGCAGTGACAAAACACCCATTGAAATGATACCTGAAGACATGCTGCACATTGCTGGTGATGCAAGTAAATGTTTCTTGTTGTCATCTCACTGACAGGCATTTTACATCACCCAGCAGCTCTCTTCTTGGAGTCAGGGTGGGCTTGAAAGCTTTTAAGGAGGCCTGTGACATAAAACAGACCCAGGCTGAGTAGTGGCATTTTTGTCCTCTTGTCAACTTTGGCTCAAATCATCATCAAGTTCTCTTTTGTAGGCATGCCTGAGGACTTTACAGATGCCCTTCATAATGTTGGTTTGGATTCTTCTGGTGCTGACTCACACTTGGACCACTCTGACAATGATGAGACCTCTGATCTTGAGGAGCTTTGAGAATGGTGTAGAATCATGTGTGAACCACCTCTGGATGCTAGTGCTCCCCAGCTATGCAGTGTATGTCCCTTTTCTTTATCATTCTTTCAGTTTTGACACAGTTATCACTTACACTATGGTAACAGGCACTCAGTGCCACTCAGCTGGCATACTTGAAGCTTCATGTTCAGATAAAGAAGCTATGAATCAACTACAACAGTTTACTCTCCACCCTCCTGCAGAGCCACAAGAAAGCTGTAGAGAACAATCCAAACACTGTATTGGACAACAACATTGTTGCCCAGGCAAAAAAGTATTGTTTCTTCTATCATTTCTGGGTCCCTGAAGATGTTTTCCAACTCATCACTCCACCACCTGGATATGATCTGACTGACCCTGCTCACTGGAGTATGCCTGAATCAAAAATTGTGGGCTTCAAAGTGGAACTCTATTTCATGCTACCCAGTGACCTCAAGGTCCATGTGACAACATATGGTAACTTTGGCCATGTGGTAAGTCGACATTCCCAATCCATAATCCAAAGGCTTGTGTTGATCACCATTAGTTTTCAAATGCAGTTGGGGCTGAGAGGCCCAACATCCTCAAACCTGTTAAGGATAACATGCAGCAACTCTTTGCACACTTGGAACTTAGTGCCAACTTATTCACAAATGAGAATTCAAGAGCTCTGTGTGGATCAAATGAGGCTGTGAGAGTGCTGCTGAAGATGCACCTGGGGAACATGGATGCTTGCTATACCCCTCTCTCACCAATCCTCATTCCCAAACCAGACACCCCAGTGGCCAGGGATTTATTCAAAACCCCACTCCTGGTTAATGTAAGTTTTCTTCACAACTTACAACTATATATATGCTAATTACTTCTATAAGATCATCTGGGTCATGGTTTTTGGCAAGGGAGTCCTCACTGGCAAGCAAAGGGGTGGTCCACAGGGACAAGGTCAGAAGTTGGGGATATCTGGCCCTTCAGCTGGCCTGATTGCCATCACTGCTACCTTTGTAAGTCTTGTGTCACCTTTTTCTTCTGGTCTGGATATTCTGACAAATGTATAACAGGCACAGTACTTATTATTGAGTGACTGCAAGCTTATGACCATTGGTGAAGAAAGTGGATTCAAGTATCAGGATGACTTTGAGTATTTTATTGAGCTATTGAGTCACCCATCAAAATGGGAGTGGTCATTGGAGGTGATGGAGTTTTTCAATCAGGGCATATGGAACACCTCAAGTATTGCCTCTGCTAATGCAGCATTAGGCTCATCCAATGACACCTCAGTAGCTTTCACATGGGAGTCCAACATCTTGGTGCAGTTGAATGGCCCCTGGCAGCTGACACCTCCTCCTGACCTACACTTTGACAGACTCAACTCAACCTCCATTTCACATCACATGCCAGAAGCAACCCATGGATGTGCTGCAGACTTGGTCATCATTTCTCAGGCAAACTTGGTCTCCTTGGCACTTTCAGTTGATGTATCAAATCTTTCACTTGGAGGCAGTCATACATCAGCTCTACCATCCATATCTAGTCATGGAAAGGAGTTATCTGCTGGAAGAAGTCATTCTGGCTTGAGGATGGCTGAAGTTTCAGCAGCTGCACCAGTGAATGCCTGGGAACTGCCTGCAAAGGAACATTGTGTCATCTGGTGCAAGGGAAAGGGTAAGTAGTTATATTGTCATGGTCAGTCAAGTTTCAGGCTGTTTAGCTACTTCATGTGCTATATGCACTACTGTCATAACCACTCTTTTTAAATACAGTGGATCTTTTTCTTTGTTTCCCATGACCTGACTTGATGATTTTACACCAATAAATAGGTTCAGGGAACATCTGACAAGTTTGAATGGCACTGTCTCCCTCTCGTTGCAACTCCCCTTGCTGAAGAAATGTCACCCTGGGTCAAAATTCACAGGTGAAATTCTTGATGCCATACCTATCCCTGGTGTTCACACCATCTTCATATGCTAAACCTCATGTGTCAGACATCATCCAAACACCCTTGATCCCCCAAGGTAGCCATGGCACCCATCTGAGCTCACCTTCCTGCAGTCTGGCCAGTTCTACACAACAAATAAGGGAGTGTCTGCTAACAACCTGAGACACATCACTTACACTGTGCTTTACAGCCTGCTGCGTCTTGCTATTTCAACTGTTTTTCATGCCCTCACTCTGTGCACTCATTCTGTTGTCCAGCCACATCATCAGTCCCATCGTACAGTCATCGTTACCATGACAGACAATGCCTCTCATAGACTTGGCCTCCACATCAATGGGAAGTACAGGCTTGGTAAGAAGATAGGCTTGGACACATTTGGTAGGCAGTCATTATGTGCTCGAATGTATGCCTACCCTTACCACTCCCCAGGTGACATCTACCTTGGAATTGACATCACCTCCAGCAAAGAAGTTGCCATTAAGCTCAAGCCCATCAAAGCAAAGCACCCTCAGTTGGAATATGAGTCCAAAGTTCACAAGACTCTGGCTGGCAGTGTTGGCATTCCATTTGTCAGGTGGTTTGGCACAGAGTGTGACTACAATGCAATGGTCTTGGACTTGCTCGGTCTGTCCCTTGAGGACCTCTTCAACTTTTGCAGCCACAAGTTTAGCCTAAGACTGTGCTGTTGCTAGCTGACCAGTTGGTTCATAAATACATTTTGATCTTTCCCCCATTTAATTTACATCCCCAGATCTCTCATATTGAATATATTCATTCTCGTAATTTTATCCACTGCAACATCAAGCCCAACAACTTCTTGACAGGGATCAGGAAACAAGGCAACCAAGTCAACATTATTGACTTCGGTCTTGCAAAGAAGTACCATGACCCCAAGACTCATCTGCACATACTGTATAGGGAGAATGAGAACCTCTTTGTTCATGAGGGCTTTCAGTGTGACTACTCAGTTGCAATTGGTCAAAGTTTGCAGTTGGGATGGCAGACCTGGTGGGTCATTCTGCAGTGGAACTGGGTCACTGTAGTGCACCTCCCACCCTTGTGGCTGGCCCAATGCATTACTCATTCTCAGTGATGGTTCAGCACCTCAAGCCTTGTCAAACCTACAGTTCTGTTCAATGCCCACTATCAATTCATCCATTCCACAGTACAATTGGATTTCCATTGCATCTGAATTGATCATTTTGTATAGTATGGACACTCTTTTCTTTCAAGCTACCCTGATCTCCCTCTGGGGAATGGCATGGATGGCTGTCTATTCCATTCTCACTTTGCCAGACTTATTCCCTTCAGTGCTGTCCTCATACAACATATACTACTATATTTGCTTTTCATGTGCCTTCCATGACCATATATGCTCTTTTTCATTCACCCCTGTTTTCCATTGTGTGGTTTATTTTTCATGCATTTGTTGTCCTTCTGTCTTCTCCCCTCACTTGGATAGTCTTTCTGGTGGAGGTGAGTAGGTGGAAGAGGGTGCCAAGTCAAGGTAGCAGTGGGAGATACAATTAGTTTTATGAAAGAACAAACTCATGTTTTGATATGCCCTACTCACAACTTCATAGGGTGGTAGAACATTGCATACATACAGCCTAGCAGACTTGAAACACCAATCCAGAACTCTGATTATCATTGACTGTCATGTCAGTATCCAGATGAGGATTACCTTTTTGGGATAATTATGCCTTGCAGTTATAATGCATGCAGCATTGGGACTTGAATACATTTTCCCTTCAACCACCACTGTCATTACATGTCAATGTCCAATCTCACACCAATGTGACAGTTACTGTTCAATGCAGTGTCATTGTCTGACTTCAATGATAAAGACAGGTGAGTGATCAATGAATGTGCTCACTACTCACACAAACCATTTGATTCCAGGACAAGTATTGTAGTTGACTGTTGTATCATATTGATCCTATATGGTGCTAACTGATGGCACCCCACACTGCCAACTTCCCAACTGTCTTGTCAACAGTTGGGATTCCTCTGTTCTGCAAGTGGCTTTATCACTTGATGTACATTTAGGCATCACATCTGTAGGTCATCCCTGGCTCAGACTTGTTTCTTCCCTCTGACCATTGCTGGCCATGCAGCATGTCCCAGACTCATCACTGTCCCATTCACAATTGTCCAGGTACCTCTGACTCACTATCCCCTTCTCCCAACTGCCAACCATACAATGTGCACCTGGACTCATTGCTGTCCTCTTCCCCTGCCTATAATCACCCTGGACCTGTCACTATTCCTTCCTCCTGGTTCACAACCATGCAACATCCTCATGGACTCATTATCTGCTTCCCTCACCACTGACTATGCTGCATGTCCCTGCAGTCATTCCCATCCTCTCTTCCCCTGGTTCCTCACTGTGCACCATGCCCCCTGTATTCACTATCCCTTCCTTCCAGCTGCCAATCATGCTGCATGCCTGGACTTGCTATACCCTTCCCTCTGACTGTTGACAATGCAGTTACCTTTGCATTTCCTCATTTCCCTCTTCTTTGTCCTATGGCATCGGTGCATGGACCTATCCTAGCAGCACACCTCACATCTTTGCTATGAATGGAATCCCTTTCTCCCTGGTTGCTGTCCTACCCTAAACCAGGCAGCCCAGTGCTGCCACCCCACCCCACCCAGTTCCCTTGGAATGCATTTGGTAATGTATTATGAAACATCATCCATTACCTGATCTAATCCAGACTTGGATACATCAGATCAGGTTGAGTGGAAGATACCTACGAAACTGCATATCTAGTTACTACTGGTGGTAGAATAGTAGTACAGATGGGGTCATAGCAACAAATCTGAAAGACACTACAATGAAAATACTATTGCAATACAGATTGTGGATGTTACAGCGAAGATAATAGCATTACACTAATTATAGGAGTGTTGTATTGGATTCTGCCCCATTGATGTGCTTGGCAATGGCTTACAATAGCATTGTAATGCATCTGGCCATTGTCAGGCACTCCAATTGGCAGTCAATGACTAACAATAGCATTCCAATCACATGTTCCCGGCTTGCGGCAACCAGCCATTGTCAGGCAGTCCAATCAGCAACCCCCAGATTACAATGCCATGCCAATGAAAACTTTACCCATTGGCTGGGCACTAACATACATCATTCATTGTAATTACATACAGTCACGTGTAATGGCCGTAATTTTTTTTTCCGACAATGGAGTGGGGTATAAGCTGAAGTCCGCAACTACGACCTAGTAAGAAGATTTAGAACCATTCACCGAATGCCCACAAATACCTGGGAGGGGAATGGGAAGGTGGCAATGTGCAATAGGCTGAAAACCATCGAGAAGAACGAAAATACAAAGAGTTAGCTAGACATAATGTGGTATCTAACGTGATTTTCCGTATATAAGTACGACGTGAATCATAACTACTATCCTGTCGGGAGCAAGTGGCGGGGAATTTGATCGAAGGACTTTGGGACATAGGCAAGGTCTGCCCCTGACGAGAGGCTCCGCGGTGGTGATTGTTGTCCTGCTGCGGGCCCCGGCCTTCGCGGGTATTGTGGCGAAAAGTCGATGGCCTGCGATGCGGTAGGCGGAGCATGTTCTACAACATTGTGTCGCGTGTACCCGGCAAATGACGGTCCCGACGGCATGCCTGTATCGTTGTAGGCTGAAAAATTGGGAGCGCCAGCAAAGGGATCACGCTGCAGGTTTGCCGAAGCACGGGGGAAGCTGTAGGCCTCCTGCGCCAAAGGGTGATTCATCCTGGGCATAGTGTGATCTGACGGCGCGAAGGACTGGTCAAGGTTACTTTGGTACTGAACGGGATAGTATGGGTAAGCAGTCGCAGATGTATCCGGGCTGTGACGAAAGTCCCCCAGATGTAAAGAAGGCGTATTAGGTGCCGTATGAGCAGAGTATGTGGTATCATCCTTGCGCGTCCTACGGATAAGGTACAAGCCAAGGAGCACCAGGGCAGCAAGTGCAACTACACATCCACCCACCACTCCAGCGATGGCGGCAGTAGAAAGGGTTGTTGAGGAGCTAGAACCAGTCTGGCTGGCAGACGGAGAGGGAGACCCCGACTGTGATGACTGCGGAATGCTTCCAGTAGATGAAGGGGAGATGGAGCTTAGGCAAGAAGCGTCACTCGAGCCGTTCACTGTTTGAAGCGCAGAACAGCCACCTGTTTTGTTATTAGCATCCAACATCGAAAACATAATCGAGGTTCCGGCTGGTACATCTGCCGTCCAATTGTAGGTCATCGTTGCCACATCGGACTGAATGCGAAAGGACTCTCCCTCAGGAATGATTCCCTGCATTTGAACATTTGAATTGAGCACCAGCAGGAGGCATGGACAACAACATGTTACTGACAATAAAAGTGACAGGCAGTATCGCCCCCTGGTATCCGCTGAATTCCAAGGGTCTAGGGTAGAATGGCGTATCAGTATCAACATCCATGACGGTCATAGTGCTATGACCTACGCGCATTGCTGGAGAGGAAACGTATCATCAATGAAGATGTAACTCAAGGACGGTGGGGTAGTGCTGCAGCTGGAGCTGCTGGTGGGCTCCCCCACCGTCAGCACTGCAGTTGTACCCCCGGTTGCGAACCCGGTTGCATCAGACATCATCACCACGAACTGGGTCCCTCGTGACAGTGGAAGTTGAGAAATGGTATAAGGTGAGGATGTCGCAGAATAGAAAATCGGGGGGTTGTCAGCCTTTGTAACCAATGTCTAGAGACGGTTTGCCTAATACATAGGGGGCGAGCTCACGGGGTAAATAGCAATCTCAAAGGGGCTTTGTCCGCCTGTGCGCCAATACGTGAGAGTGCCCTGTGAGCTGGGCATATGAAGGACTTACCCGTCCAAGAGATGGTGAATGGAGAGCATTCAGAGGCTGTTCCCATCGACACGGAAAATGCCTTCGCCGCCCATACGGACGAGAAAAGGAATAAGATAGGCTTCAGGAGGTGCTTCGAAAGCATCCTTGTGAGAAGGGGGTCGGAGAAACAGGGGAATAGACGCTAGATTGTGGAAACCAGTTGATGGGTATTTCCGTAGTGTCCTGTTGTCGTAGGGCTGTACTTGGCCAATGCCATATGGCTGGGGGCGTTAAACCAGGTTAAGGAAGGTTTGCAGATTGCGGCGATTTTGCGATCGTTAATCGTAAACGAACATTGATGGTGGATGTTCCCATCATTTGACAACCGAGCTCAGTGGTGTTCACAGGCCCAAAGAGGTGGTAGCGAGGAGCGACAAAGGTTAGTCCACTAAGGCTTCAGAAACGTTAGCGGGATTGTTTAAAGAGGGAGGGTTCGTACTGAAAAAGGTGAACTGCCTGAAAGTGGCAACGAAGAGGGCCCTGGGGTGTTGCCTGTTCAAATCGTATGATGGGGCTGAACGTGTCTTTCGTAACAGAAGTCGCGCCCGGGAGATATGTCTGATGACCGTAAAATGGTTCACAGTATGAATTAGGTCATGTTACATAATGTAAATCTATGTAAAGCTATATAAGGCAAAGTGTCAAAGGCAGTTATATTTGCGTCCTCGACGAATGGCTCGCTGATTAATGTCGATGGTAAACCGGAGGCCATTCCTCACATTCAAATGTCTTTTACTCGCGGGGGTTCTTGCATGAAAAAGAAATGAGCGGCAGGAGGCCGTTGTTTTCGGTGGCGGTGGCGGTCGTCGTCGTTACCTTGGTTAGGCTGATGTATTTACTTATTAAACCAGGGGCCAAGGTCCCTGGGCGACGACATTACCTATCACCACCCGACCTCATCGTTCAACGTGACCGCCGGACCACTAGTACCCGACGACGCCAAAGCTGCTTCTACCATCAACGACGTCGACCAATGCAATGGTACACCAGCAACAACGACAACGATGCCCGATGTCATTGACCAGCTATCACCTTGGTGGTGATAGCGGGCTGTCGGGTGCTGGTAGTAACTTAATCTGTTTCAACATGCCTTACGATGGTTTACTGTAATGGTATAATGATACAACTTTTCCAGACCACTGGTACTACATTTAAAGCCGTCCTTAACTCTCCGAAATCCGTTGTGTGAGCTGCAGTTTGCAAGGATGCATTCGACCCACCTCCTACTGTCCATCTTATTATCGTCCTCGCCTCTATTGATGGCAAAGGCGTTCTCCATGTTGGTGGGAGCAGCCACCGAATGCGGCCCCTTCAACATCTCTTGGACAGGTAAGTCCCTTATATTACCAGCTCTTAGTGCGCTCACACGTATTGGTGCACAGGCGGACAAAGTCCCTTTCAGATTGCTATTTTCACCGTGAGTTCGTCCCCTGTGTATCAAGCAACCTGTCTTTAGACAGAGGTTACCAAGGATGACACTGTTCCCGCGAGTTTCCACAATGTATCATCCTCGGCATATCAAGGATCTTATACCATTCCTCAACTCCCTCTGCCACAAGGGCTCCAATTTGTGGTCATATTGTCCGATGCAACTGGGTTCGCAACTGGGGGTACAACTTACCTGATAACGGTGGGGGAACCCACCAGCAGTTCCAGCTGCAACACTACTTTGCCATCCCTGAGTTACTACTTCAGTGATGTTGGGTTTCCTCTCCAGCAATGCGGGTAAGTCTTAGCGCTATGACCGTCATGGATGTTGATACAGACGCGCCATTATCCTAGACCCTTTGAATTCAGCGGATACCAGGGAGCGATACTGCCTGTTACTTTTGTGGTCAGTAGTATGTTATTGTGCATGCCTCCTGCGAGCGCTCAAGTCAAATGCAGGGGATCGTTCCCGGGGGGCAGTCCTTTCTCATTCAGTCTGGCGTGACAACGACGAGCTACACTTGGACGGCAGATGTACAAGCCGGGACATCGATTATGTTTTCGATGTGGGATGCTAATGGCAACTCAGGTGGTTGTTCTGTTCTTCAATCAGTGGGGCCCTCGAACGATGCTTCTTGCCTAAGCAGTCAAACTGGCTCTATCACTTCAGCAAAAAACATTCCCGTTTCTACTATCGCTGGAATAGCAGTCGGTGTATTTACACTTGCCGCGCTGGTGAGCTTCGGCCTGCGTGTTATTCAAAGGAGGCGCAGGAATGCTTCCGTGTACTCCTCTTCTATGCCACCTCATCCCCCTCCTTTACACTCGGCCGACCTTGTCGGCCTAGATATACTTACGACTACGCACGTATACTCCCGTACGTACCAAAGCGACCGTATGTTGGTGTATTAGATACTCGTCTACAAGCCTACTCTACGTACTTGCCACCCTGTGGGCTCGTTACATCAACCTCCCTCCTTTCATGCATGTTTTTCATGTTAGCCGTACAGTACTTAAGAACCTGGCCTTCATTGACACAGCTCAGTCTCTTTTTACCTCGAGACTGAGTTACTCGTTAGCTTACACCGTACGCAGTCCCTCGTGCCGCCAGGTCGGACTATACCCAGGATGACCCGCACTACTCTGCAGGATACCTACAGTTCACTATGTGCCTCGACAAGCCTGCGACAAGGCTCCTCTGCCGGCGCTAACACTTCCGGTTTTGCAGCCTATAATGGTACAAGCGTATAGTCAGTAGTTGTCTGCTCTTGGGAAGGGTTCCACAATTCTTATGACTCCTACCGAGTCTATGCGGTACATTGTTCGTATGGATATAGCAGATGCTCCGCCTACGGCATCGCAGGTCACCGAACTCCCGCCGCAATCCTCGGAAAGGCCAGGGGTCGCATGGTAATCATCAGCATTGCAGCCTCTGTCGTCAGGAACTGAGTATGGAGACACGGACCTTGCCTATGTTTTGGACCAAAGTTCCCGCCTCCTGCGACCTCACTTATCACCATAGTTATGACTCGCCTCTTGTATATGGAAACTCGTTTTGGACCCTGCAGCACATCTGGCTAAGTTATTGATCCCCGCTCTCCTCGACGTTTTTTTTTGGCTTATTATGCACGCTTCCATTTTCCTTGTAGATATTTGTGGACATACATTTTGCAGATCAGTCTAGTTTTGATTCATCTTCAGCAGTGCCAATCTTGCCCCAATTAGTAATTACCCAGTCGACTATGCTGCCATTGAATCTCTTGGAGAAACCCTGCAGGCGCACACAAGGGTGAGACAGTTTACAAACGGATTTCATTTCGACGGTATACTGCATATGGTGAGAGAAACAAAGCATAGTTAGCTACAAGGCATGTGGGGGATAGAGCAGGTCGATGCACAGGGGTACACGGGTGGTAAGTTTTCTGAGCGTAGAAGAGCGCGTGGCATAAACCAGCAAGAAAGCGAGTCAAGCTGTTAAAAAAGCAAGAGTGCGAGAGCCTGGAGGTAAACTACGAAAGCGAGGAAAGCATTGATCGACCAGCAAAAAGACTGTCGAAGTAGAAAATCTAAGTGAAAATAAGTTGAAAAAGAAAAAGAAAAAGACGACGAAAAGAATTGTTGTCCGTGTTTAACGATATTCGTAGAGCGTACCCAATTGGTCCGAAGGCGGCCGCACGACCACCGTCGGTACTGCTTCGGCCTTGCGAAGCAAACCTCGTATCCTACTCGATTCCGAGCGATGCAGCTGAAGCGGCTTCAGATGTTTGTTGTTACCGGAACTGACAGGGTTGACATTCTCGCTGTCTGCATCCTGCGCTACCTTCGCCTTTGACCTCTTCTTTCCAAGAAGAAGGGGACGTGTGCCAGAGGCGCCGACCTTGGATTCACCTGCATCCTTGGTCGTAGTGTTCTGATCGCGGTCCTTGAGCAGAGATAGCGGTCGAAGTCCCCCACCAGGGGAGTTCGTTTCGGAGGAGGATGTCGTTGTCTTGCGCTGCAGCTTACTATTGGTGCTCGACTTGGGTACCAAAGGTCTCACCGCCCGGGTGGACACTGGAGGAGCAGGTTCTGAACTTGGTACGTCGTTGGAATTCGTCGTCAACGCAGTGACGGATTCGGGACGGGTATATTCATCGTCAGAAGACTTGATATATACAATACTTGAGCGACGGGAGTTGGATCGCGGCATCACTGCAGCTTGGTATTTTCTGGTGTAGGGATAGCCTTTCTGAGTATCGTATGGCGTACTTTGGGCGTCGGGGTCGAAGGTACTCTCTGGTTCGAACAGCGTTACGGTGGATGCCGCAGATGGGGGAACGACTCTATCAGATGTCAGCGTAATCACGGACGTGCGCGCACTGTCTACGCCGTGGGGGACTTCGGGACGAAGACCGAGAGTGCGAGTGGACAGCGAACGACCAAGGGAGGCACCAGTAGGGACTTGGAGCTGGTCCTCTCCGACGCGAGGGCGAGCTATGAGGTTGGGAACAGACTCGTCACCCCAGACAGTGTTCCTCCGCGCGGCGTCGTTCACTGGCAACGTCGAATACTGGTGAATTTTGGTCGCCAAGGCGTGATTAACTTCCGATTTCCATGCTTGCAGAGCATCCTTGCCGAGGCCGAGACTGACACACGGATACGATTAATATTCCAGAACAAACACAGCATGCACAACCAACTCACCTGGGAAGGCTGAAGTGATTTCTGCGGTGAGCAGAGACTTTCCTCCCTCTGCGACGTTCCTGTGCAGGCGTAGAGTGCAGCTGAGGTGACGAAAATTCTTCCCGCGCTAACACACCAAAGTCCGAGCCATGAGATCCCTTCGGGGCACGGCGAGATTTCTTGGCGACGGTGCTGCTGAGCGGAGGCGAGAATTCCCAATCCTTGATTTTCATGTCTTCGCCGACTTTAAGACCAGGAACTAGAAGTGGGAGTACACCTGCCGTAAGCGCATCGATCTCCTTCATGTCCTCGCTGCCCACGGCACCCAAAGAAAATCCAGAAGAATATGACTTCTTGTGCATCAACTGTTTGGCGAGTTTAGCATTGCGAATGTTCGGGGGCGTTGGAGGTAGTGGGTCGGAAGGCGGGGGGCTGATATCTAAATCCTCCGTTGTGATAGCTTGACCGATCACGGAAGATACAGACCGCGAGCGAAGATGAGACGCTGCTCCTGGTGCAGCTGCGGACTCGACGGCCACACCCGTTGCAACCGACACCACACCATCTGCGAGTTCTTCTTGTTTGTCAGGCGATGCCGGGACGACGACTGTTGTAGCAAGTGCGGAATAGTGCCTTTGGGCGATCATGATCCTCGACGCAAATGCTTCTTCACCTGTTGAGAGGTGAGACGACGATTTTGATTCCTTCCTTGAGCGGCCGAGCTCTGCACTGTTGGTCGACGCAGGAGTCAGGGGAAGGGTGGAGGGGAACGAAGGTTCCTCCTGAAGAGGTAACGGGGGCGTACGCTCGCCCTCGTCTTTCTCGTCGTCGATAGGAAGAACAGCGAGCCTAGGCACGGGGGACATGAGGCCAAGAGCCCGACCAACCTTCCCCTTACCATCGATGGCATCTCCTTGCGAAATCCACACATCTCCGCTACGACGGCCCTCCACGATGGTGACGCTGCCGCTACGTTTGTAATCACGAGTGTACGTCGCCAAGGTATCTGCTGGAGAGGGTGCACGCAGCACCGCGGCGGGGGGAGGCTTCGCGTGAACGTCGAACAAGCCGGTTGGAATTGGGATGGGAGAGCGAAGGAGGATGTTAATCGCAAGAAGAGGGGACGAAAGGGTGACCGAGAGGACTAGCAAAAGGGAAAGCGAATCACTGGGAACAGAACCTGGGACAGAAAGCAAGATAAAGTAAGGAAGAGATAAGGCCTAGCAGAGACATCTCATTAATTAATATACCCATCCCGCAAACGCTCCAAGCACATACCGTGGGCACCCAAATGGAAAGAAGCCAGAATACGTATCTTGAGTATGAGATGTCGACCCCACTTCCTTTCGTAGCGAGGGACTCGATTCCTTTCTCAGAGTCGGCCGTGTACCCATACCCTCCCAACACCTGAGCAGTTGACAATGCAGCAGGAGTAGCTGGCCGAGATCCCGGTGCGGCAGGAAGCAAACCGGCGCGAACGTCAACCACGCTTTCACCATGGGGCGTAGCGGGGAATGACCATGCCGATATTGTTGGGTGCGTTCCTGCGGACGAAGTCAACCAGGAACTCTGTGAGCCGAGACGAGGGCGGCTAGGAACGTCGCGACGGAACGGGTCAGGATCTTCGCTGATGACAAAAGTGGGCGAAGTGCTAGGACGATAAGGCGACGGGAGAGGGGGAACTGGTGGAATCGAGGGGTCTTGAGGCGAAGGAGCACTGAACCAATAAGACGACCTAGGGGCCAAAGTTTGTTGAGATCCTGTAGGGTTGAATCGCCCGTGATGCGTATGGTAAGTAGAAAAAGACCAGTTAGACGCGACCTCGTCACGATGAGAACCAGCATCTGAAGTCAGCCAAGAACTTCCTTCCCGAAGAATGTCGACGTCTTCGGTGGCAAATGAGTGACGGGGTTTTTCCTCGACCTCTTTTGCTGGGGGCCAGCTGTCGGCCGGCTCATGGAGGGCGGCAAGGTTGCGGCGAATAGCTACCAATGTGTAGACCAGTCCACCGAAGGCAGCAGTGCTGAGAACTGCTGTGGTTCCCGAGTATGCGACAAGGCCAATGAATAAACTGGGAACACCAGCTCCCGAAAGAACAGCGGCAAGCGCTGTGGATGTGACACCGAGGAGCAGCGTAGGCGCCCAAATCATCCACTGCCTGGCCCCAAAGGATACAGAACGACCCATTCTAATATGTAGGAGTGTCAGTCCAGACACCACTAGAAGACAGCTCTGCCTAATTGTCAAGGCGAACCAAAGCCTAGCAGATGACGCCGCGTCGCGAGCCTCGACAACGTCAACAGGACCATCGAAGTACTCCGTGGTGGCTTGCCAGACGAACACGCATAATGCCAAGAAATCGAGTGAGGCAAGCCAAAGGTGGCTCTTGTCAGCTGTAGATAATGATCGGAAGTTGTAGTTAGGGAGCCCAAACTCAGACTTTGCAAAGGGAGGTCAGTGAACAAAACGGACGTGCAGGAGGGATCAACGCACCGGACGGACTCGTCTGCTCAAAGGATGAGGAGGTAAAATCGGAATTACTATACGAAGAACAACGAAAGCTGAAGTTATGAACGAGACGAAAGCAAGTGCAACGGTCGGGATAAATGGGATCATCTTGGTTGAGTTCGTTCGACGATTCTCGATTTGATTTGCTCTGACTGAGGGAGCGTAGATTTGCGTGCGTGCGTAAGGTGGCGTAAGGCCTTCGTGAGGGTAAAGCCTGTAGAAAAGCTTGTAGGCTTCGCGCTATTACGGTAAAAAAAGCGTCCAGGTCTTGAAGAGCAGAAAAAAACCAGAAAACAAACACACGCTGCGATAAATCCAAGACAACGAACTCGAACATGGGCCAAACAACTGGGACCCACAGCGCCAAACAAAGAAGTCAATATCGCGTCAATCACGTGCATTGATTTTCTTCATCACAACTAAGTGCTAACCGCTAAGCAAAGAACTGCACCATCGGAAAATGCAATGCTAGCTGCTGAAATGCAACGAATTTCTGGTGAGTTGGTTCGCCTCCGAATTTTTTACGGCTCAGAACTACTAGTATGTGGATGGCTTACGTGGCTTGGGGGTGTGGAGAGTCAGCCACTGCCACCTAGCTGGTCAGATAAACGGTTGAGCGACCAGGGAAGATTAACTGGAGTGAGAATGTACTGATGTTTTACTTGCAACATTCGCGGGTGTGTATAGGATAAAACTTTGTCCAACTGCGAAGGGCTGCAAAGGGCTGAAGTCTTCACGGACTCCGAGTTGGAGCCTCAGTGAAATTTGAGTGCCGCGGAGCTTCCTACTGACACCCCAGTCACAGGCAGCTGTGATATTTGCAGCCGAAGTTATTTACCCAGCTTTGCGTTCCCTAGTTTCTCATCCGTGATCACTTTTTTTTTTTCGACGGCGCCGCGTCGACACGTATTAACCAGTTGCGGCATCTCGAGACCGCAATTGCCTGGCGAGTAAAAGATTGCTCCGAACGAGCGACTGTGACCTCGCGTACCAGAAATACATGTCAGCTGGTCCAGGACAAGCAAGAACCAAACAGAGAAGATAGATAAGACGAAGTCGCTGCAATATCAGCATAGGCCGCACTAGCCAATACAACGTGCGATCAAGCTGCAACATTCAGGTATTACTTGACAAACACTGTGTCATTACCGCCATCCCTAGATCGTCGGTGTGCTTTGTCCGAGGCTCCACTCTGGCACGTTGACCCCAGCTTGGCCTTCACGACGATGCTTTGTGCGGTCATGACAACCCGGATTATAATTGACGGCGGTGCGCACACACATTCCCTGTCTGAACATTATCTGATGTAGAGGTAGCTTGCGCTAGTCCCATAATGAGTAGGTTTTATAACCAGTAATTTTTGGATGCGTCTTGCAGGTGAAATTCATGTTCCAGGGACAAAGACGGGCTTGGGGGTATAAGTACTCGGAAGAAGGCAGCGCTGCGGTGGCTCCCCTGCGCAATGATGGATATCTCCCCCACAAAACATATTTTTGCTGCTACAATCTGTGCTACTGTCCCCGCCGTCGCGCTCAAGCTTTGGAAGTCCTCAAACGTAAGGAGTTACTCTTCTACACGAACACAATGTACTACGTGTACTTCTAAAGCTCGATCACATCCCATCCGTTGGATACTCGTCCTGGCTCGGGTCCTACATTTCTGCATTCAAGTACGTTGGCAATGCTGTTCAGATTCTACAGGAAGGCTATGCTAAGGTATATCATATGACAATCCATAGATGACATCCTGACTAGTCTGGAAGTACAAGGAAACGCCTTTCAAAGTCCCTACTTTAAACCGCTGGATTGTCATCATCGGTCGCCGTCACCTGGAAGATATCAAGAAGTCTACAGATGACGAGCTATCTCTGATAGAGGCAGCAAATGAAGTAGGTGTATTCATGTTCTAATCGAAGAGATGCTGATGAGAAGTGCGACGCACAGGTTGCCAAGGTTGACCACCTGATTGGCCGTGAGATCAACTCTAATCCCTACCACAGTTCTGTGGCCCGAATACATCTCACACGTAACATTGGTCTCTACTACCCTGACATAAAAGACGAGGTACACACTGCATTCGAAGAGCTACTCGATCTCAAGGACAATGGTGCCTTCGACACGTCATCATCTCTTTATGATTTGCGCTGATGCCGCTGACAGTGTGGAAGAGCGTCCCGGCAGTAGAAATCATGCGCGAGATCGTATGCAGAACCAGCAACAGAGTCTTCGTCGGCCTACCGCTTTGTAAGTCAGTTCTGTCGGCATCCACGATTTATTAGGTATTGATATGTGATAGGTCGGGATCCCGACTGGATCGATCTAAACTCTCAATTTGCGGTCGACGTAGCTACAGATGCAAATATCTTGAACATGTTCCCTAAATTGCTGGTGCCGTGGGTGTCTTATTTCCTTTAGTCCTGGAAGCCCATGTGGATTCACGTCTCGAATAGCTTTGTATCGAAAATACTACCCAATACTGCGGCAGGCATCGAACGCGCCATAAAACATCTCGACCCGATTATCAAGGATCGCCTCAGGCGTATGAGAGATCACGGAGACGAGTGGAGTGACAAACCGGTGAGCGGGAGTCTTTGTTGGCGCTGACTCTCCCCCTGATTTTTTAGGACAGAACGACATTTTGCAGTGGTTAATAGACGCGAAACAGGAGTCTACGACTAGGCAGTTGACTCTGCGCGTGTTAACGATCAACTTTGCCTCGATACATGTACGTCTTTCATCGCAGGTCACTGTCCGATTATTAACTGCTCCAAAAAAGTCGACTACGAATGTAAGATTTGGTTCACTGCCCCTTGAACGTAATGTAATGTCCTGGCAGACTTTTACACAGGCATTGTACAACCTGGCAGCCTACTCGCAATATGTAGGGCCCCTTCGTGAGGAAGTTGACGCAGTTATTCGGGAACACGGGTGGACGAAGGAGGCGCTCGCATTGATGTACAGGGTTGACAGTTTTCTGGCAGAGACTCAGCGCCTCGAAGGCCTCTCAGGTACGTTCACGTCAGCCCGTTATTACTGTCAGGTTGATGGACCCCATGCATCGTTCAGCCAGCGTGCAAAGAAAAGCGATGAAAGATTTGACTCTGTCAGATGGAACTTTCATACCGAAGGGGACCCACCTATCTGTTCCGACGTATCTCATGCATCGCGATAGTACCTGTCTATGAAAATCCCGACGCTTTTGATCCATTCCGATTCTCCCAGCTTCGCGTCGATGGGAACGAAAGTGGGAGACATCAGATGGTGGCAGTGAATCAGGACTACTTCCCCTTCGGATATGGGAAGCATGCATGGTATGGTTGCACTTACCTTGAAGTGGCGACACTCACGTATTCTTCCACAACAGCCCCGGGAGGTTCCTGGCAGCCAATGAGCTGAAAACCATGCTTGCATATATCCTCACGATGTATGATGTCAAGTTTGAGGATAGTGTCTCCAGGCCGGCGAGTATCCACTGGGACTTGAACGTCATGGCAGATCCCACCGTTAGAGTTATGTTCCGGAAGAGAGTCATTTAAGTTGAATTAGCAGACAATCAATATATGAAAGACCTCCTTTGGATTAGCCTTAATCATTTCGCGAACATGCAGAAGGAATCGCGGCCGACTCCGGGATGAGTCGCTGCGTGTCTCATAGAATAGAGGCTTTCTGACATATATATGTGCCTACTGCTATGTCTGCAAGCATTCTCTTGCTGCACCTACACCTAAGACTTATGGTTAATCTGGATGTTCCGTGAGCGAGCCCAGTCCTCTACATTCATTTCTACGGATTGTTTCTATTGCTTCTGCATATGTAGCACCCCAGTCCTCACTTCTCATTTCTTAGTATATCCCAGTACATTCCCCCCAGCTACGGAATACAAACAAATAGAGTAGGAGCCTAGTGAAATTAGCGATGTAGGTCCTTCCACTTCGAATCGGTTCCTTACAGCTGCGTGTAGGCGATAACTTTGTCCAATTGCAAATCACTGAAATCTTCGCGGGACAGAGCCTCAGCTCAGCTGAACTGCAATGCCGCGGTGAGACTAATAGAGGTTCCATAGATTAGCCGAAGTTATTGACCTGGCTCGGCGCCTGTAGTTTCCGCACGGACTAATTTGCCGTCGCGGCATCTCGACACCGCAATTACCCCTTGAGTAAAAGATTACTCGGAACACACGATCGTGACCACGCGTTACCGGAAAAACGTGTCAATTGGGTCAGAACATGCAAAAACCAAGCAGAATAAAATGGAGTCGTTGCGACTATCAGCTTGGACCGGACGGTCGTATACATACCACGCGCGATCGCAACTACACCGTTCGGGTATTACTTGCCAATTAGGCAAACACGGGATTGCTGTTATCCCTAGATCAATAATAGTGCTTTATCCGAGGCCTCCAGCTGGTACTTTGATCTTACAAAAATGATTCCGACGGCCGTTGCCTCGTGCGGCGACAACAACCCGGATTGTCAATTTGACGATGGTACGTGTACACGTTCCCCGTTTAGACATTGTCTGATGTGAAGGCAGCAAGTTTAAGTTCCAGGGGCTTGGGGCTATAAATACTTAAAGGAAAGCAGCGCTGCGATGGCTTTCCTGCGCGATGATGGACATTTCCCCCACAAACCACATTCTTGCTGCCGCAATCTGCGCTACTGTTCCCGCGGTCGTGCTCAAGCTGTGCAAGCCATCAAACGTGAGGAATTGCCCTTCTACGCGAATGTGGTGCTAAATAATATACTGCTGTATACCTCTAAGCTTGACCACATTCCATCCTTTGGATACTCATCCTGGCTCGGGTCCTTCATTTCCTCATTCAAGTACGTGGGCAATGCTGTTCAGATCTTGCAGGAGGGACGTGCTAAGGTATGTTAGCTCGTGACGAGCCGTAGGCGATATCCTGACGAGTTTGCAAGTACAAGGAAACGCCTTTCAAAGTCCCTACTTTAAACCGCTGGATTGTCATCATCGGTCGCCTGTCACCTGGAAGATATCAAGAAGTCTACAGAAGACGAGCTATCTCTGATAGAGGCAGCAAATGAAGTAAGTGTATTCATGTTCCGATCGAAGAAACGCTGACGGGAAGTGCACGCAGACTGCCAAGGTCGACCACCTGATTGGCCGTGAGATCAGCTCTACTCCCTACCACGTTTCCGTTGCGCGGATACATCTCACCCGTAATATTGGTCTTTACTACCCCGACTTAAAAGACGAGGTACACACTGCATTTGAAGAGTTACTCGACCTCAAGGAAAATGGTATCTTCGACAAACTATCATCCATTTTACGATTGACGCTGACACCCCTGACAGCGTGGAAGAGCGTCCCGGCGATGGACACCATGCGCGAGATCGTGTGCAGAGCCAGTAACAGGGTCTTTGTCGGCCTACCGCTTTGTAAGTTGGGTCTGTCGGCCCGTCCGTGAATTATTAGGTATGGATATGCGATAGGTCGGGATCCTGACTGGATCGATCTAAACTCTCGATTTGCGGTCGACGTGGCTACAGATGCAAATATCTTGAACATGTTCCCTAAATTTCTGGTACCGTGAGTGTCTTATTTCCTTCAGTTTTGAGAGCCCAAATGGGTTCACGTCCTTGCTAGCTTTGTGTCAAAAATATTACCTAATACTGCGGCAGGTATCGAACGCGCCATAAAACATCTCGACCCGATTATCAAAGATCGCCTCAGGTGTATGAAAGAGCACGGGGACGAGTGGAGTAACAAACCCGTGAGTGATAGTCTTTGTCCAAGTTGACTCATCACCTGACTATTCAAGGCAGAACGACATTCTACAGTGGTTGATAGATGAGAAACAAGAGTCTACGACCAAGAAGTTGACCTTGCGTGTATTGACGATCAACTTTGCCTCAATACATGTACGTTTTCCCCATCATCGACGATCATTACCTGGGTGTTGACTGTTCCAAAACAGTCGACCTCGAACGTAAGATTTGGTTCATTACCCCTTGAACGTGATTTAATGTCGTGATAGACTTTCACACAAGCATTGTACAACCTGGCAGCCTATCCGCAATATGTAGGGCCCCTTCGTGAGGAAGTTGACGCAATCATTAGGGAACATGGGTGGACGAAGGAGGCGATCGCAATGATGCGCAAAGTTGACAGTTTTCTGGCGGAGACTCAGCGCCTCGAAAATGTCCTCTCAGGTACGTTCACGTCAGCCCGTTATTACTGTCAGGTTGATGGACCCCATGCATCGTTCAGCCAGCGTGCAAAGAAAAGCGATGAAAGATTTGACTCTGTCAGATGGAACTTTCATACCGAAGGGGACTTACCTGTCTGTTCCGACGTATCTCATGCATCGCGATAGTACTGTCTATGAAAATCCCGGAGGTTTCGATCCATTTCGATTCTACCAACTTCGCGTCGATGGGAACGAAAGCGGGAGACATCAGATGGTGGCAGTGAATCAGGACTACTTCCCCTTCGGATATGGGAAGCACGCATGGTATGGTTGCATTTACCTTAGAGTGGCGACACTCACGTATTCTTCCGCAACAGCCCTGGGAGGTTCCTGGCAGCCAATGAACTGAAAACTATGCTTGCTTATATCCTCACGATGTATGATGTCAAGTTCGAGGATAACGTCTCCAGACCAGCGAGTATCCACTGGGACTTAAATGTCATAGCAGATCCCACTGTTAGGGTTATGTTCCGGAAGAGAGTCGATAGCTGATAGCCTATGTTGCCGCATGTAAGTTTCTCGGGCCAAGTTAGCGTAAAACCACGAAACGCAACAAAGACTTCCTTTGGAGTAGCCTCAATCGTCTCTTGCAAATCCTCAGGAGGAATCGAGGCCGAGTCCCGGAAGTTTCGTAACTTGTTTCACAAAGTAGTAACTTTCTGACCTATACTTATTGCTGTGTCTGCGACCATTCCCTTGTTCATGTTGTACCTACATATGTACCTACTCGCAGCTAGGCTATCTATCTCGTACATCGTCCCCGGGCGGTCTTGCAGTATTTCTAAGTCGTCCCATATGCTGCCACTTCGACTGGCATCTAATATCTTGTTCCGGCAGGTGCGGATTTCCTGAAAACGCCTCACGCCCCCCTTATGGCATAGGGTACATCATGATTTTTATGTGATTATATCGTGCTAGGGCGTCGGCGAATGATTCCTCGTGGTCACGACAATTGAAATAATGACCAATCTCGACGCTGCATGAGATGGACCCCTATCTTGCGCCGTGCGGGAGGGTGAATTTGTCCTAACGAGGTCTGGTAGCTGAGTTGCAAAAAAAAAACCCTGCCACCGCATAAGGATGACCAGCGCGCTTTTGCTCGCCCCTCCCCCAAGAGGCATATGAATTCACATCGAGACACCCGGAGCTAAGCAGAGTTGTAGCGTGAAACCCAGATCATGTTGGTGGGAGTGCGGTCGCCGCGGAAACAACTTTACATATAGAGGGTCATTCATCTATCACATGGGAATGGGTTGTACAAGAGTTGTGCATGTGCAGGTGAATTGGCCATATACATATAACAGTCAACGTCAGACGGAAACTAAGAACAAATTTGAAACGGCTGAGAGCGAGTACTGAGACTCTCGACTCGATTTCCGATGCGCGCTTCGTCTACGCAATAGTGAATATCCTAACTCTGCTTTTCAGGATGCTAGCCCGGTCTATGGGTTGAGCAATAATAAGGGCAGAAGACACGTTCCGTTTGTGCTCGTTGCGAGGTAGTTGAGTTAACAGAAGAGCGTTAAATGACCTCTCCAGCGCAACAACCAGCTGCTCTTCGGTGACGGCACTGAGTTCGGCGGATGGTCCAAGCAACTTCCAGTGCCAAGGGCGAACAACCTTTGTTACATCTTCCAACTCCTCTGGCAGTACGATCGTAAGTGGCCTCAGACCGGACGCCTGGATCTTGTACGTGTAACTTGGCGCTGATGGATCTGCACCTGTCAGCCGAATATCTCTAACACGATGGGCAATGCATGGTAGCGAAAGACGGCGGTTGACAAACCACGGAAGGGGTGCCCGAAGAAGTGCGTGGAAGCTATACACGTCGCGTGGTGCGTACGAATCTGGGGTTTGCGGCTGGACCGCCGGAAAACGCTGGGCAGTGCTTGGCGGTGTCGGGGAGCGGTTGCGAAACTGGGGGACGGGCGGCGCAGTGAGTGAGCCATGCAGCCTTCGCAGTATTCCGAATGATGACGTAGGCTGCTGACTCGCTGATGACGACTGTTCTTCTGCGTTGGGTTGGGGTGGAGGCAACGGTAGCATTTGATACGAGGCAATGTGAACAGGGAAACAACTATGAAACTGTGACGCCTCTCCGACCCAATCCAAAACCGAAATATCCCCAGACTGCGATATGATTTCGGCTAGGAGACGGCCAAGCGTATTCTCGGCGGTTTCGCCATAAAGAATGGGTAAGGTGAAGATTAAAGATGCCGAAAAGCGAATAGACGATATCTTCAAGTTGGGTGGTACAACGCTGTGACGCCCATTGCAGTTTCGAACGTACGTCATCCATACCCGGAGAAAAGTTGGTGAGGAACCGGGACTCGATTTCAGTTGCCATCTCCAACTCTTTCAGTACGGTGACGTCGGTTTTATGATTCGAAGACTGCGAGGTTCTTATAAAGTGACCAGTTTGGGGTGTAGAATAATACGGTTTTGGGAGCCAGTAGTTCTTGGAGCGTCCACCCGCGTCCGAACCATTTGCTCCCCCTGAGCGAACCGGTATCGGGAACGTCAGGAAGGCAAACAATGGTCAGAGCGGACCGGCGATACCACGTGAACATTGATCCTATCGCTTCTTGCACCTCCGCACTGCAGTCTCTGTCTATGCAACAGGTGTCAGTCCATGCCCACAAGAAATCTTGCTCACAGGCAACAAGACAGAACGTTTGAAACTTTCCAAAGCCCCCGTCTGTTGACATACCATAAATCGAGCAACCCTCGATGTCGTGCAATGATGGCTCGGCTTTACCCCAGAGGTGAGAAAACATGGCATACTGAAAGTACCTCGAGACATCGGTACGGATACGTTCCATTCCCTGAGCCGGGTCGCACGTTGCGCACGAAGACAGTAGCTGATCAGACTGCCAACTGCTCATAAAATGCGATATTTGCGCATCCCGGTTGCACAAGATGTCAGTACGTGTGTAGAGCAGCCTGGGCGGCATGGGTTTGAGAATATCAATATCGAATGCGACATTACGGATGGCTTGCTTAATGTCGAAGTGGGCAATAGATGAGGCGTTAGAGGACGTCATAGCAACTCGTGACTTGATCTTCATTTGGAGGTAGGTTATAAGATAGTACCGCGATAGGTTGTAACCCGGATCTCCAGGCGTGAACAGTTGCAGGGCTTCTTGCTCAAGCGCAATAGCCCCATCCAGATCTGCTGCTACGGGTCGTTGATGGAACCGGTCTACTAGACACTGTGCGAGGTCGTGGAGGAGCGAAGCGCGGCTAGGATGCCCAGTCGGGCGGAATTGCGCCACATAACGGTAAAATGTGATAGTTTCGTTCAGGTCGACAATCGTGTGTTGAGTTTGGAATCTGGCCCTATGGTAGTTCGCAAGGACACACAGGTTGTCTGCCGCACGACTAAGCATGTCCGGCTTGTCCGAGTTTGCACCCTGGGCCAGCCTCTGAACCCATCCTCCAACAGAAACATCTTCGCGAGGTAAACCGAGTTCCAAAGCATACGTTGCAAGACATATAGCGTTGTCTAAGTCAGTCATCGTAGCCTGCTTCTGAAACCTGTCCCAGAGGTGTCGCGAGAGCTCAAGGAGTGAGGAGGCTAAATCAGTCCTGCTAGACGGATGGACCACTGAATTCCACTCGGGCATGTCGGCCTGTTTCCGAAACTTGTTCCAGAAGTTGCAAGCAAGGCTGTAAAGAACTGTGCCACGATTGGGATTCCCGGGTGGACAGAGCTCTAGAGCTGCACATCCGAGCGTAATGGCTTCTTCCAAGTCATTGGCTAACCCCTGCACATCATGTCTATTTGATAAACAGAGAGCAAGTTCATGAAGCGTTAAGGACCGATCAGGATGGCCGGTGGAACGTAGCACCAAAGCTGGACGGAGCAGCTCAATTGCTTCCTGCAAGTCGCAGATCGCACCCTTTGCCGCAAACCTCTTCTTGAGGTCGCAAGCAAGATTGTGGAGAGATTCGCCACGATTGGCGTGCCCTGGCGGACTAAGCTCTAGTGTTGCACGTCCAAGTTTTATAGCTTCATCCAAGTCATCAACTATCCCCGACTTCGCATGTCTATATGACAGTCAGAGAGCAAGCGATGAGAGCGACGAGGACCGATCAGGGTGCCCAGATGGACGTAGTTCCAAAGCTGTGCGGTGCAGCACAATCGCTTCCTCCAAATCATTGGTCGCAACTTGTTTCAGGAACCTCATCCTGAGGAAATTAGCGAGATTGTAGAGAGTTAGGCCGCGATCGGGGTGCCCTGATGGCCGGAGTGCTAGTGCTGCACGCCCAAGCATGATGGCCTCATCTAAGTCATTAACTACCCCCTGGTGGCCATACCTATCTGAAAGGCAGAGAGCAAGCGATGAGAGCGATGAGGACCGATCAGGGTGTCCAGCGGGATGTGATTCCAGGGCTTCACGGTGCAGTTTAATCGCCTCCTCCAATTTACACCTGTCAGCTTGTTTCTGAAACTTATTCCGGAGGTCGCAAGCAAGGTTGTAAAGAACTACGCCACGATCGGGATGTCCTGGTGACAGAGCGCTAGTGCTGCTCGCAAAAGCGTGACAGCTTCTTCCAAGTCAGAAACTACCTCCTGATTGTCATATCTCTTCGAAAGAGAGGCCGCAAGATCTTTGAGTGAAGAGAACCAATCGCAAAGTAGCACGGTGCAAGGCGATCGTTTCGTTCAATTCATCGATTTCAAGCTCTCTCTGAAATCTGTCATGGAGGACCTCCGGCACGTCGAAGATGGCATCATCGCGGACATCTTGCCCTGGAAAACACCGTTCCAACTCTACTCGCATTTGGGAAACGCCGTTTGTTGAATACATCGGATGCTGGTAACACTGGAAGGGTACACGCAGGAGAATAGTTCTGCCTTCAGGCCGTCAGGCCAAGTTCGGTGATCAGTTTCAATAAGACAAGGACAGTAGAATCATATGTTATCCTTGAAGTGGGAACGAAAAAAGAAAACGAGGTCAGCAATCCTGGGTGTCGGTGAGAACAAGGAGGTCAATGCATACCTCACAGCGATGGACTAACAGGAACTCACCAACGAACGCGAGAGGTGCAAGTTGGTTGAGAGAGCCGAGAGAAAATTCGGTTTGCTGCGTGATCAAATCTGAGCCCAACGGTCGTTGGATACCTCTGGGACACGGTGGCCAGGATCTGGCGCATGAAAAGCCCAACTCTCCCGAATAGTAGTTTCTTACATAATCAGAAGTCCGACCCACCAACACTAACCCTGTTTGAACACCTTACTAGGACCCATCCCGTTCGAAGGCTCAAGCGACCCACCCACTCTCTCCTACAGACGTCAACCAAGCGCCGAAATTCCTGTGACCTTTCCAACTTGCACTATCACCAACCGGTGAGTTCTTATTGGTCGATGCTTGTGATGTGTATGCACATTGGCCAGCATTCTGGCGGAGACCCAGCGCCTCGAAAATGTCCTCTCAGGTACGTTCACGGCCGCCCATTGTTACTGTCAAGCTGACGGAGTGCACGCACCATCCAGCCAGCGTACAAAGAAAAGCAATGAAGGACTTGACTCTATCAGACGGAACTTTCATACCGAAGGGGACTTACCTGTCTGTTCCGGGTATCCACTGGGACTTGAACGTCATAGCAGACCCCAATGCCAGGGTTATGTTCCGGAAGAGTCAACAACTGATGACATATGTTACCGCATGTAAGCTTCTAAGTTAGCATCAAAACAATAAACGAAACAAAGACTTTCTTGGATGAGCCTCAATCATCAAGCGAACATCCAGGAAGAATTGCAGCCGACTCGCGAGGGATCCTTGCGTGTTTCACAGAATAGAGCCTTTCTGACATATACTTACCACCGCATCTGCAACTATTGCCTTGTTCACGTTGCACTTGCATACTCGCAACTAACCCTGGAGGTCATGGTCAATCTGGGCATTTTGCGAGCGAGATGGCAGTGTAGTGGTACGACTGCCCGGTGGCTCAAGAGTACATCAGACTTCCGACACAGGTTTGTTAAGCCGGAAGAGCAACTAAACTATGCACAGCCAAGGAGGTGATTAATGATGGCCCTCGGCGATGTGGTCGTATATGGGTGCAATGGTGGGCTGCAAAGGACTCGGTAAAACTCTAAACTAGCGAAAGAACAACGCGCTTACAGGGATGTTGCGTTCCCTGGAAAGGAACCGTATATTCAATATAAGTCTGCCATAAACTGTTCAAAGCACTTACCACTTGGTCCCTCCGGGCATCGCAGGTGCTGGATGGTATTGAGCCCGACTGCTGTGAATGTTATGTCGTCTACTCACGGATGTAAGGGTCTGGGTGCTGTTTCGCTGCTAACTCAGCCTCAGCTTTCTCGAATATTTGCGCCAAGGCCCTCGGGTCCTGCACATCCCTGTATAGTGTCGTGAGCATCCCCAAATGCTTTACACAGCTAGCGAACGCACTTGTTCCGTTCGAACTCGGCCCTAATCATCAAAGCCCTTCCACGCCAGATATCCCTGCGAACTACCCAGTCCAGCTCGTTCTTCAACATGCGCCGGTACAGCGACTTGACGTAGAGTCTGTGCGCGGACGAGAACGGCGTCGTCGCCATGATTAGTCTGGAAGATGGAGCAAACCGCGTCTCCGGAGTAAAACTAGACATGGAGAGCATTTGTCAGGAATTACCATATATGGACAATATTCGTGGTCAAATTGCTCTGCGAGGGGTAGACAAAATTTTTGTGATTTACTCCTGGACGTCAAGAGCTGCAATGGACCCCCACTCAACACGTTCGCAGTTCAACCAACGGACACCAAAAGCTGGGCCATATATGCCTCAGATGCGATACACAGACCCAAATCCAAAACTTTCGATCGAAAGCTACGCAAAATCGAAATCGCCACGCCCCGACGGTCGGGCTGCCGATTCCATTTCCCTGTTGATCCAACGGCCAATTGCGACCAATTCTCGAGTGAAGCAGGATGAACAGTTCAAGAAGGATATGTACATCGCATTTATCAATAAAGCATTACAAGGGAAGCTCGACGTACGTCTGATCCTGTGCCGGGTCATTTCTTCTGCTGATCTCTCGACACAGGGTCAGAGCAAAGATTTTGATGACCTAGTCGATCAATTCAACCCTCGAAAAGCCAGGGAAAGCGCGACCTCGTCGTCGCAGCTACGACTATGGATCCTGGCACTGTCACACGTGCTCTCTCGACTTGAGAGACGCCATTCGCCCTTGGTCGAAGCTATCGTTAACCTCCCGTGGACTACCATGGATGCCGCATTTGTGAAGACATACACCGAGTTTATCGGAATGCTTCTCAGTGCCAGGCCCGAATACCTCTCCCTGATGCTTGGCAGGCTTACTCAGGGCCTAACATACCGTGCGTAACGTGGTTCGGATGCAAGATCATGCCACTCATATTCCGGTAGAATCAGGACTGCAAGCACTCAATGCCAATGGACCGGAGGGTTCCGAAAGCCCCTTGACGCGGAGGGTCATCTACGATCGTCTACATTACCTCCTCGGTCACTTGCTCTCTCTCATCCCAACACTGCCGTCAACCCTACAGCCTCTACTCGTTCGTAATTTCCCTCACAAGCGTCAACCTCAGGCAGCGCAAGTAACCTATATTCGCAATCTGCTACGAGTAACTGAATATTGCTCTGCATTGTCGGATCGAATATTGGCACTAATCATAGACCGTGCTTTGCAAATAGACGTATGTTTTTTTTTTGGTTTGTGGTGTACGGATTGGCTGACTTTTCTTTCCCAGGTTGAGATCCAGGTAGAGCTTGAGGAACTCGAGGAAAAAGAGGGCGGCCTAGGAAACGCAGACGTTTTTGAATTTGACCCCTTTGACGTCGTCGTCGGGCAGGAAGGAGACGAAGACTCTGATGAGGATGGAGATGAAGATGAGGATTCCGCAAGTGACTTTTCATCCCATGACAGTGACGACAGCGGAAACAATAATCCGGATCTACCAGCCAACGCACAACACATTCAAGACATGGTTGACAAACTCGACTCAATTCTGAAAGTAGTATTTGACCACTTTAACCGCTTACATTCGACCGCGGAAGTCACCGTATCTCCAAGATCCGATACATCACTATCGCCACCCACTTCTCCCCGCCCGTCTTCGCCGATATCCGCTGAAGCAGGTCGAGCCGTGCGAGATGCACAATTCCACGCCTTGCTTGCCATTTTTGATCGCACCATCATTCGTACCTTCAAATCTCGATACACCCAGTTCCTCATCTTTTGGTACTCTTCTCTAGACTCAGAGTTTAGCGACCTCTTCCAGGGATTGCTGGTAGAAAAGGCGCTTCTCGGACAGGACGTTCCGGCAGTGACTCGCGCAGCTGCAGCAAGTTACATCGCTTCCTTCGTTAGCCGTGCACAGTTCGTAGATCGCGATGCCACGCGTTGCGTCGTCGGCGTCTTGTGTACATTTTTGAAGAGCCATCTAGATGCGTTTGATAATGTCATTCAAGCAGGAGAGGAACTACCGAGTATGGCACACCACAGCCTGTTCTACGCCATTGCACAGGCAGTATTTTTGATCTTTTGTTTCCGGTGGAGAGATCTCGAGGAGGAATTCGACGAGTCGGAGGAGTATCAGAGTGGGAAGAAATGGATGAGTGATCTGAACGTCATTCAGCGGGTGATTACGTCGCCGCTTAATCCGCTCAAGGTGAGCTATCCTCCACTCGAAGGCCTCGCGCTACATGCTTACACTCCTGTTCTAAGGTCTGCTCGCCCAACGTCGTCATGCAGTTCGCCCGTGTCGCCAAAGCAACCGACTTTGCGTACTGCTACTCGATACTCGAGGCAAACAAACGCTCAGAGTATAATATTAATGCAGGCAGCATACCGATTCTGCCCAAGGTTGTCAACGAGGAATTCTTACAAACAGAACTGCACACATTTTTTCCGTTTGATCCATACAAGCTCCCTCGGTCAAGTTCGTACATCCAAGGCGTGTACCGTGACTGGGCTTCTGTCGCGATCGATGAGGACGAGGAAGAAGAGGATGCTGAGGAAGAAGACGGTCTCGGCGACGACTACGTACTAAGTAGTAGGATACCAGATGTTGGTCTCACGTCCACCGGTGGACTCGGCATACCCAGTCACTCACGATCAAGTTCAGACGCTGGCGGTCTCGGAGAGTCGTTCGGTGGGATGAGTATCAGCCCTCAACCGCAATCCGTAGTTATGGTTTCCTAGAAGCTACAATGTAGATTGTGTGGGCACTTCGCATTGTAACACGTATCACATAACCGATTAAACTGCGGAATACAATAACCGAATTATATGCCGCATGCAATGCTGGCAGCAATGAGGTTAGGAAAGGAATTAGAATGTGTTGGTGGTTAACACCACACTAATGAAACAACAAGCAAAGGTATCCAGCCGGCGTGCATGCGGGGAAGTGTTTAGGCGGTACCAGTCGTGCCAAAGCGACTGTGGGCACCTGTGATGTATGTATGAAGATGCATGGGGCAAGAAAACTTGCAAGATGTAGCAGGCAGCTCGACTCGAGCATGGGAATACAGAACGCCAATCACGATGTTTTGAGTGTTGATTCAGCAAGCGGCAACGGCGATGCGCAAAGCACGAAGACAAAATCTGACATGGGGGACAACGAAATCCAGCGAAGAACGTTTTCGCCGGGAACGATGCAAGACGTCACGTCCAAAAACGGCGGAGAATCCTGTGTGAAAGCGTCAGCGGCTGCAAGGATGAAGTTAGCATTCAGCAAACCCAACATACCAGTGCATACGGTAACCAAGTCTTCCCATGTGGGAAGCCTGGATTTACCTGAATTATCAGTGAACCTGTTTGAGGCCATTGCGATCCAGTGTTTTGGATCTCCCCAAGAGTTTCTGCAAATGGTCCATCGAAGTCAATTTTCGAAGTCAAATTACCTTTCCTCAAACAGTATATACGCGCGACGGCATCTAGCCTGTCAAGAAATATCAAGTTGGACATGGTTGTTTCAAGAACAAAAAATATTCTACCTTCCCGTGTCCAAGAATAGCTCTTCGCTCACCATTGCAAATGCTTCATTGATACAAGGCATATCAGGCCCATTGTGTCTTGACCATAATGCAGGTAGAGAGTGCTGTTGAACAGCAGCTCGGCCACGGGGCAAGCCACGTGTAGAATGTGCCATATTTTCTTGACCAATGTCTCCTTCAACTGACCCAGAATGCATGTAGATGTCTGTTTCCCTAACTTTTGCAGGAAATAACACAGGTGACAATTCTTCCACCTTGGACAATGGGTGGTGGCTTTGGAGTGGACCAGCACACGCTTTCAAAGCCGTAGAATGATTCCCATCCAGATCCTCCGCGAGAGTCACATCACTATCTCTTCGCACCTGTGTTTCTGCACAGACAATAGACTCTGGTGTTTCAGGGTTCCATGAAACACGACCATTTGTACGCTCGTAGTCGCTTTCGCGATTCAAGTACTCAGGTGATCTACACCTGGGAGTACTTGGCACATGCGCATGTGCAGAAGACCGTAGCTGCTCTCTCATATCCTTTGCGTGACGGAGCAAACTTGCGCATCTATCATCCGATAGAATGGTTGCGCATTGCTGAAGTTGTGTGGCTACCTGAGAATCTCTCGCCGTCACAGAAGCCAACACAACAGGCGCGAGATGCGTTCTGCACTGCTCAAGCACGGTAGTCGTCGAAGGACTAACGATATGTTCCCCATTGTGGTGTTTTGGGAGGTTATCGTTTGCGACCTTGCCATCAACGTTAGGAGTGTGAAATCGCTCCTGTTCCATGCTCTGAATCATGGAACGTGGTAATGGTGAACGGGACAGTCTTCTTTGCCCTATGCGTTTTGCTAGAGCCGGAGGGACATCCTCAGACACACGTGCTTCTTGTGCCTTATTAATACGTCATGAGTCGTGACTCTTCTCGTACATGATGAAAGCATGCTACGTACCGCAGGTCCAGGTCGACCCACAGCCTCCACAACATGGGGCTTCAACACACTCTCTAAAAAGCGCTCGACTTCTCCTGGCCCGACTGCTACGGGCTTATCAGCCCGAAATTCCACCTCTCTAGGTTCCTGGAGGTGTCGGTGGTGATCGAAACGAGGGCATATATTCACCCCCCGAGTTGGTTTCTCCCCCCTCTACCTGACACCCAATCCTGTCCAACAGCGTAGCAGTATGAGATGACGAAGGGCTATTGCTCAGACGATTCAATAGCGCGGGTGCATCGTGGTCATCAAATCTCCTTTGATAGTATTTAGGCGACTGGTATATCGTGGTTGTATCGATCTGGGAGGAATCTTTTGCGATAAGGATGATGACGAGGCGCTTGTGGAGGGACCTTAGCACCGGAAAATCTCTGCGGTAGGGGGAAATCCGGAAACTGAAGAGACCCCAGCGACGACGCATATGCATGATCCATGGAACGCGGTGAGATTTTAGCAGAGAACGAGGTCATCACAGGCCAGTGAAGGTGTCAATTGAACAAGCTTAGTGCAAGGACTCCTTGCACTGCGTCAGACTAGTGTATACCACGTAGAGAGAGACAGAGCCGGGGAATTTCGACTCCCTAAATATCGGATGACTAAGGATAGGAGTATCTATACTCCGCTTGATAATTATGTCATCAGTCGAAGTCATTCCGAGATCGGGGCGCCATGCATAGCCTGGCATAGCGCTCAGACCATTTGAAGTCACATTGATTGCAAACAATTACGTGCTACTGCCTCGGTATGGGCGTCATGACAATCTACGTGAAGAAACCTATGGATAATACGCGACGCTCGTGGACACAGTGAAATTTCACGTGCTCTTCATCAAAGTTCAGAAAGCAGCGCCGCCGCTGAGTACACCGCATTCGGCCGGTGCAAGGGACACAAAGGGACACGGATCAGGCATCATTACCACAGAAACCACCCACCGGAAGTGGCGTGGAACGCATGATGAAACAATCAGCTGCGCAGTGAACGGTCGCGGGGTATCCTGAAGTATTACTGAGGGAACATTTTACCTTGAATGTATGTGATAGTACTGCATGAGGTATTGCAAGGCAAAAGTTAGTTCGTCCTCCCAGTAGAGGTTGGGCAAGTTCTCGAGACAGGTTGGAAGTACTCCAGGAGTATTCACTGCAATTCGAGGTCGTCTAGTGGTGACTTATCACGACACGCCACAATACTGATCATATTCGAGGAAAAGGACATTACGAGAAGGAAAATCGGATGGCCGTTTAGCTATCGCCTAAATGAATCGTTTGTAACGACTCCTTAATAGCTGGAATATTGATAGCGCTCAGGGAAAAACACGCCAAATCCGCTATGTAAGAGTGAAGTCGTAGTTCTGTGATTTACCTTGCAGAAGCCTCGCAACACTTCATTTGTGACAGCTGAATGACTGAAGAAGGACAAGCTTGTTGGACGGTTCATGGAAGGTTTGTATACTTGACATTGTTGCGATCAAACTTGCGTAGGGAGATGCACCCACCTATGCAGAGTATTTGACGTTGATCCCATGATTGAACTCTGTAGAACGGGTGTGCTGAATAGAGAACCACCTCCATATCCATCATGGTGCAAAATGACATATCGTCCTGTATCGATATGGGTATGTCGTACGATCTGCGGATATAGTCGAATGCAGGACGTTGTACATAGAATTCCTCATTCGGAGTTACTCATCGTCCGGAAATGGTCTACGAAAAACAGCGGTCAGGATCGCTATCCTAGAGGCTAAAAGTCCAAAATGACGCATCACTTACGGCTTCACTCCCAAGCAGTAACATGCTCTGGCTGAGAGAATGACAATCGCAATCCACGTCATCACGACCGCCACCAGTACCATCCACACACCATTTCCAAACTCCACACCAAAGTTGGCACCAAGGAAGAGCGAATCGATATGACTCTTTACGAGTACCACCAACACCACGTCCACCGCAAATACAAAGCTCGACACGAGCGCGGTGACAATGGCCGTGATAAGTGCGATGATAGCTACAGCATGTGAGTGCAGGTAGAGGGAAAGGACGAAGACTATCGTCGACAATGCTGCTGAGACAAGATGCAGGACCAGGAGTACGAGGAGAGACTTCTCAGCGATAGTAGCTACGCTCTGGGATAGTCCCACGAGAGACAAAATATCGGAAGGAATGGTATAGCCGAGCTGAGGGCCGTAGCATTCGCTAGCGCCCGACGCACTGGATGGTTCGAATGATATACGTACGCGCCCTAGCAGATGGCATAAGAACACACCTTAGCCCACATACACCCCATACCCCGAAGACGAGTGAAGTTGCGGCATTCGATACAGGGTCCACGGAGTTGACAGCTGCAATTTTAATAAGGTATATGGACTTTATGATGGTTAGCGATAGGCCGACTAGTAGAGACAAGATGAATGCAGTGAGAAAGATCGAGAATGAGGCAAGCCCTATGTAGCGGTGTCGTTGTAGCGGGCGCGGTATACGTGAAAATAACAACAGTCGTTTCATGGTCGTTGCGTGGTGGTAGCAGTGGTATAATAATCGGTGGGGTATGCGAAGCTACAAGCGAGACAAGGCTGAAGCCGTCTCCCAAGACCAGAATGCGCCGGCGGGACTTCAGTGTGAACCGGATCCGGGGGTGGAATGATCCAGGCCAGGAACACACACACGGCCAGAGCTGACGCCGGCGACGAACGTTCGACGTGGGTTGGTCATGGTCACGGTCGTGCCTTGCAGAGGTCGGTCCGCTGAAGGTCCCTACGTTCAATTTTTCACCCGATCGTCTGATTGTCACAAGGATCGTCGTGGGCGTCAATCAAATGGTTGGGCTGGGGTGGCTTGTCAACCATTAGCAAGTAATACATAATTGATTAGCCGGGCTCCACATTTGCCCCACACTCGGAGCTTGTCTTGTCGACCACCGACTCCACCTCTGACCAGTCTCTGGACGAGATTGAGTGGCCAGATGAACTACCTCCGTGGTGCCGTCAGTGCAACCTACCAGTACTACAAGGACATCAACCCTTCAACGCTCACCGGCGCGATCGACGTCATCGTTGTACGGAGACAGGCCAACGACGGAGATGTCCACTTAGCTTGCTCACCGTTTCATGTTCGATTCGGAAAGCTGCAGGTACTTCGACCAGCTGATAAAAAGGTACGCAAAGTCGAGTCGAGTCGAGAAATGTCATCGTACGTCGCTGACTGTCATCCCAGGTCAATGTCTCTGTCAATGGCAATCCGATTCCGTTCAGCATGAAGATCGGAGACGCCGGAGAGGCTTTCTTCGTCTTCGAAACTGAGGAAGATATCCCAGAAGACCTTGTCACCAGTCCACTGCTCACTGCGACATCTACCACCCCGCAGAAGGACATCGCACCCGTTGCGCTCGACGTTAAGTCAAGTCAGGCCGAAATACCGCACATCGGATCGAAGCCAGACATCCCGGAACCAGAATTCCTGGATCTAGATGCTACGTCCAGCGAACAGGCTGCGTCCCATCGTCAACGCGTACGCTCGGTACCTGAGCCGGCTCAGTCCGATGTCGTACCAGTCCCCGCTGAAGGCGAAGGTACCGCACCCGATGTCCAGTACAAAGACGGTTCGTTCTCTCATTCGTATGAATCATCATATCTGTTCTCAAAGTGCAGACTAGACGTGGCTCTCGACATAACCGGGTATCATTCGGATCCAACGCAGCCGAAGAGGCGCGAAGGCGACCGATCTAATGAGCGAATACTACCTCACTCATATGAAGGCAACGAAACAGGCTAGTCTGATACTATTTGTTACTCTTAGTCATTCCTCACGTGCCGCTTCCAGCTCCTCACAATCGAATATCGTTTCCATTGCCAGGATCATCCAAAGGTCGTCCTTCGCTGGACGGCAACAGTACTCCGCCACGTTTGCAAGAATATTCCTGGGAATGGGGTTCATTCCCTCAGCCTTCCCCAGTCCAGACCCACTTTACACCTTCCTTCGTTAAAGGCAAATCTAAAGCCATAGATGATACACAAGACGATTCTGAAGACAGCGATCGCGGTCTCATGCGTAGTCGAAGCGTGCCACCCGAACTCGAAGGTAGTCCACATTCGGTTCGCATGTCTCTCCCTCCCATTGCGTCGGATGCAGACAATGATGCCCCTTGCGAACGCAACTTTACCTTGTATACCGAACCAGAAGAATTTGGCGCTGGTGGCAGGCTCGCGGCCTCTCGTTCGGACCCGACTAAATTCCGGGTATCGATCGACGGTAAAAGTCGCCACATTTGAGCTCAGTCTCGTGGAAAGACCAGGAGTGTTCCACGGGCGTGACGAAGTCGAAACAGCGCGTGCTTTTGAGGCTGGGATTATAGATTACTACCGCTTCGTCGGACGACGAGAACTTGGTCAATGACGAACGTTTGGTCATCAAGTGGAATGGCGGACAATACATCACGCGGGAAGATCGATCTCCGTTAATGGATGCCTTAAACATGTGGCGTGCATCCTCTCCTCCGGAGGGTCTCATAGATGACTCCCCGTCCCCCTCGCCATCGCAAGTTCAGTCTCCCTCATCTTCGGACGAGGAGGAGTTGAGGCGCTCGGAATTCAGACCACCAGCTCCACTCCCTGGGAGGTCGGCGACAATGTCCAGTAGCTGGGTGAGGTGGTGGAGTCGAAGTAAAGATATACCTGAGGCAGAGAGACCTGTTCTCCGAGAAGCGACAACGATTCCGTTTCATGCAGTGAGTATCATTGGATAGCGAATGTCCCGGTCGTCTCACTGATGAAATGCGAACAGAAGTTTCCACATAGCCCCTCCGCAACCACTGGCAAACCAGCATCAGCACCACCGGGCACACCCGCAGCGACCCAATCACCCGTCCCGAAACCCGTAGACCAGCCCATCCCCACGAAACCGGAAGCGCGGAAGAGGTATGCAAAGACCCTCCGATTGACATCTGATCAACTTGTGAGACTTTCTCTGATTACCTCTCCCCTTGTTTACGTTCATGTGTCCGTGACAGAAAGCACTGGATTTGAAATTAGGTACTAATACGATCACGTTCTCATTAACGACAGGAGGGGCACCAGCGTGTACGGCTCGGATTTTTGTCTGGGAAGCGACCGACAGAATTGTGGTATCTGATATCGACGGAACGATCACCAAGTACTTCTTTTCTCTTCATTCAGTTTAAACACACGCTGAAACGTTTTCACGTAATCTCCAGGTCTGACGGTCTCGGTCACATATTCACCATGATCGGACGAGACTGGACACATTCTGGTGTGGCGAAGCTGTACAATGATATCGTGCGAAACGGGTACAAGATTATGTATCTCACCTCTCGAGCGATTGGACAGGCAGATTCGACGCGAGATTATCTTAAAGGTATCAAGCAGGACGATTTTCAGCTTCCCGAGGGACCCGTGGTCCTGAGTCCGGATAGAGTCATTGCGTCGCTGCATAGGTCCGTTTTCTTTGATTTGGTTGGTTGTAGTGACTCGCGATGCTTAAAGAGGTCGGTTTAGAGAGGTAATTATGCGGAAGCCCGAGGTATTCAAGATGGCGTGTTTAAGAGATATCCAACGATTATTTGGGGAGGCAGTCTCGGACACCATTTTATGCTGGCTTCGGGAACCGAATCACGGACGCCCTGTCGTATCGAAGCGTCAACATTCCCTCATCGCGCATATTCACCATTGACTCGAGTAGCATAGTCAAGATGGAACTCCTCGAGTTGACAGGGTATAAATCATCGTAAGTTCTAAACCGAGAGAATCATCATGACACAGCATCTGAAATGGGGAATATAGATACATCCACATGACGGATCTCGTTGACCAGATGTTCCCGCCCATTCACAGGAAATGGGAAACCGAGTTTACGGACTTTAATTTCTGGAAGACCCCGGTACAGGAGTTCCCGCTGCCGGATTTGACACCGCCTTCACCTGCACTGAGCGCGCGGTCCGACACGTCTGGAAAGAGCGCGCTCGCTCGCCTACGGAATTTTAGTATCGGGGGAAGACAATCGATTTCGCTGACGGCCCCATCGCTGACCCGTGGGGGGGCAGGAACGCCAGCTGAAGTTGGCACTGGCGGTGCTGGGGTTCTCGGGCAGCGAAGTACGCATCTGCGTCAGATGTCTTCGCTCGAGAAGCTCAGCAGTCGGCTGTCAGCGCTGGCGCTGTCATCGTCGCCATCTACTTTGGTAGAGAGTGGTGAAGAAAGTCTCCAATCACGCTCGTCAGCTTCGTCGACAATGTTAGATTCGGATGAAGAGGGCGAGGTAGACGTGGAAGGAGGTGGTACTTTGAAGAGGGACAGAAGAAGATTACGAAGCACGAGCGTGACGAGTATGCCTGGATCACTAGACAACGACGAGCAATTTATGATGGACGAAGAGGAGGAGGAAGGAACCCATGAGTATGATGAGGAAGAGAATGGAGATGAGTTTGTGGAGGAGGCCGCAGAGGAGGAGTTTGACAGAGACTTCCTTGCCACTACTGAGATGAAGAACGTTCCGTTCTTGTGATGGGTTTCTGAGAGGTTTAGACATCAACTGTCTTGGGAGGACTTCATGCCAGTAACTAATTAAACCGGAGTTATTATAATGGCATACTTGTAGATCATCACTCCGGAATTTACATCACCTCGGAGTCATCGATTGCATTGGACGATCTATAGTCTGTTTATGAAAACCATCGCACACTGTTTGCACGGCCTCAAGGAGCATCTTCACCTACCTCTTCTCCTTTTCCGAGAAACTACAAACAACCCAGGCCCCGAGGAATCCAACTCGTCCAACAGAACGGTCTTCCACCGCACCGACCACCTTGCCCGTCACCTCCTGCGCTTACACCACCCCTAGGGGTCGCCAGTAAACTATCCGAAAAACTATGTTCGATGGGCCATTGTTTGTTCCCGCACTTGGGTCTGCACAGCTCTGCCTCGGGAACGTCAACTCATTCTCGGCAGGGCGTTTATCGTGTCGTGTGAAGAACAAATCGATACATAGTGTGCACAGATAGTGGTCGAGCCAATCGAACCCAGCATTGAAGTCAACTGGATATGTGACAGTGTGTCCGTCTCGTCTGCATCGTATTGGTTGAGATACTGAGATACTGCGCCAAGAACCCCTTTGTCGAAGCAACGCATGGGGGGGGGGGTCCAAATACCCGAAGTACAACATCGGGGCATGTTTCACCTCCCAAGCTACCTGCTTCGACATCCAAAGCAATAAGTTGATCTCCTTCATCGAATGACTTCCATCCTCATGCAAGTAATACAACTCAAGTCCGACAAGTTCAGAGACCTCAAACTTGGCGTCACCGACGTCGTCATTTGAAAAGAGTTTTGAGTCTAGAACTGTCATGACCTCTGAACGGGTCTCGTAGCAACGGACGTGGAAGGGTAGTTTCTCGTTCCATACGGGGTTTGAGAGTGTGTCAGATGACGCGGGCGCGGAAGACCTTCTTCCCACAGGAAAACACTGCTAAAGGGGTCCATGTCCCAGCTCGTCCTCGCCACTGCCATCGCGGGGACGGATCACCATCACGAGGGAAGGTAACCCAGCCCAATCTGCATACACGCGTCGACCCACAAAAGAAAGACAACATGCACCACTCACTATTCAACTTTGGCAAATCGGTTGCTCCATGTGTCTCCAGCATCACGATCCCAACGATATCATTCGCTGTCGAAAAGTTGTGTTCGTGATTATTCTGGGGTGGACCTGACTTACGACTGAACTTCATCTTGTAATTCGTCAGCGTCGGGATTGCGGCTGCACTCACGGATCGACGGTGTCCGCTTACCACGGGCAAAACTGCTGTAGAAGGTAATGGAACTACGAGCGAGAGTACAGGGGCAACGGTGATGGCGGGGACATCACCAGCAGCAGTAGCATCAGTGGTACCAGTATCGGCACTACTGCTTACGGTGCTGTTGCTACTGCTGTCGATGAGGCAGACGGGGTAGGCGTGGCGTGTATATAACGGCGGTCTTCTCGGGGATCATCTTGGGAACTTGATCTTACCCGTAGAAGCGATAGGCGTCGGAGTCGCAGCCGCGGCATCTAAGTTCGATGAGAGTCTTGCCGTGTTCGGTCAGATCCCCTGCTCTGCGTTTGACTCTGTCTCTGGCCCGAAGAGGGAAACGAAGGAACAAAGAGACGGGTTATAATAAGTGTGGAATAGACGGCTCGTTGGAAGAGTCCTCGTCGTCTGAGGAACTTCCGAAGGCTGGTCCGGTTAAGTGGGATCGTAGTATGCCTATGCCTTCCATCTAACTCCGCCACAACCGCGCACGCCGAGAAACACAAACTAGAAAAGGCAATGGAAAGGACGTCGAACGTCCAAACCCGGCATAAGCACGCATGCATACCCAGTTACGCAGGCCAAGACTCAACAAGCTGAGCGTCTCGCTGGGGAGAACAATAAAAGGGTCGACGCATGCGACTAGTAAACAATACAAGGCCATCAGTAAAACGCACAGGAAGGGGGCACAAGGGAAAACACAAGACCCGAAGCTGCAGATTGACAACAACTGGAACTAACAGGTAGTGGTATCGGGAACAACGAATCAGGCATTCTCTGACTGCCGATTACAGCATCCACTGCCAATTGGACCCTTCCTATTTCTAGCGAAGCCGAAGAACGGAGGCCGCGCACATCTCTGGTAACGGTAGTGATTGTTCTCTCCAAGGCGGGAAGATAAAAAACGCGTAGGATTGAATGGTCGCCGCTAGGCCTCGAATGAGGTGTTTGGCAGAATCGGCTGTCACCCACACTAATAAAACAGAGCCTCATGGTACGTGACACCGGCGATCAGGACTCAAAATCTCAAATCAATGAAGTCAGATGACTGATGTCTGTGAGTGTGAGATTGTCCACAGCCACCCATCCAAGGTCCTCTGTGATGAGTTTGCGTTGTGGCATATCCACACAGGTATAGTGCCCTCTGTCTTGGCTACACATTGCTGAAATGGGTGGGCTGCAAGTGAGAACTACAACAGTTGGTGCAGGAGATTGAATTTTTGTCATGGAAGGGGGTGAATGTAGACTGTGAGAATGGAATGGTAAAATTCCAAAATTTTGATATGGTGCTCTGCACCTACCTTCCAGGACACTAAATCTGCTGGAATTTTGTCAATAGCTTGCATAGTTGATGAGTTATGTCAATTCTGAGGTGACTAGGTGGTGGCAGTAATTTTGAAGTTTTTCTCACAGCAAACCACTGTAGGTAAATCCATATTCTCTCTCCAGTCCCTCAGGTCCAGGACAGGAACAATGGACACCACTGCTGGTGTAGCCTACGAAGCACGAACTTGGTGAATAGTGGCCTACAGAGAACTCTGTCCACCAGAATTTTATTTTGCAACCTTATAGTCCTAGAAGGCACGGAGAACCATAAATTATAGGTCCAAGGAACAAGCGAAGCAAGGAACATGAGTTAGCCACAATGCGAGACTTGAGGTATGACGATCAACTGCGTCATGGTTTGTGTCATGAGAAAGTCGGAGTAGTATCATATGGTGTGTGTGGGAAATGCAGCGAGAACCTGCCATGTGTGACAGAATTGACGGTACCTTCATCACCTCTCAACAGGGCTATTTTGTCGGTGGAGATGAGGATGTGGTCTTCACGGTGGCCACGGGCGGCTGGCTCGGTGTGGGCAAACAGGAGCATGCCGCAGCCCATGACGAAACAGGTTACTTCACACGCAATGACCCCAAGTCATGGTGAGCGCGGGAACGTGATTGTGTCCTGCAATGGTGATTCCAGTAGGTTGGGTCCTGTGTCCGATCACTGTGCCAGGCAAAGTTGCACCCTTGCAAAAATAGAGTCGCCAGGTCATTTGTTTCCTGTGTGACAATTACAGAATAGAGCGTAGGCCGCTCTGAATTGCGCTTTGCACCCACATTACTCGAACGGCGCAGCGAGATCGGCACCCGATGGTGAAACAACATGGGTGGCCGGCTGAGCGAGCCGGCACAGCCAACTGCTTATGATAGTATGAGCCAGGAGAATTGTGCCACCCGAGCCATTTTAAACCCTCAAAGACACGAACCGAGGCTGTGGTTGACATCACTTATTCACCGCCCAACATGACCATCGCTCAGGGGCTGTTGAGAGTGAAGTTGGATTCATCCCAAGAACTAGACTGGACATCGATATCCCCGCGTTGGGGGAGCTGCACGACGGCCATACGATGGCAGAGGGCGTGAGTTACGCACCGTGATTCCGACCTTTTAATACCGGAAGAGAGTGGCACTGGGCACACGTGTTGATATTTCCGACGGACAGGCAAGCTTCCTACATATGAGAAATACGGACATTACTAATTGCTGCGGGATTTCGCTTCCGACAAGGACCTGATAGTCACTAGTGACTGCAGCGGCGGCTCTGACTCAATGGTCTTCTGGCACCAGTCTTGAATCGGAGTCGGAACTGGAGATTGACAACAAAGCGGTCAAAAGACTGCACGGTTGGGAGGAGTATACCGGTACCTATTCTGGGCTCGGATGAGGACGGTTGTTGCCAGCCTCCGAGTTTGAAATTTGAGGCAATGAATGTCATCAACCAATGACTCGACTGAGTTGCCTAGATTTTGACTTGGGGTGTGACACTAACTCCTCATTTCTTCAGAGAAATTCCATCTAAATTATCATCTCCACCTTGACTCTGGATGCTGGAACGCCAATCGGTCGTCTGCAAGACGAAGAATCGTCGAGTTTGGCAAGTAGCAGCCGTAGGTAGGATCAGCAAAACATGTTTAATACTTACGGTTCTCACTATGACCGCTCTTAATTCGTCACTTGGGCTCCGACCTCCACTCGAGAGCTCCCAGCGGTGCCACTGCCTGGTGATAACTGCTAGGCATACACCGCTTCTCCAGAGGATAGTAGAAGCAAGCCGGTTACCTTGTAATAACCAATAAACACTTACTGGGATTCTGCGCATAGCGTGCTTGCTGTAGACTCCAAGCGGTAATTAGCCGTTTGGTTGTAATAGGTCACCTTGTGCAGTGACAGCTGAAGCTAAATTTAAAACCGCGACGAACATAAATGCTTTTGTTGTCCAATGCTGTGCCGATAGTCGGCACCCTACACTCCCTCACTGCTACGACGGTGTGCCCGTAAACATGCTTCCCTGGTGTAGAGACATGGGCCTCATCGACATATCCAACGCATGCGTACAGTCGTTCTGGAGCGCCATTTTACCCGCGCTGCTCACCGTCACCTTTGTCTTGGTCTCGGCCGCCCCTTCAATACGTATCTTTCTCACCAGGGTTCGTGATGGTATCAAGCCTCCGCTCCAATCGTATGTGGTACTGGGCGAGGACGAGATAACAGAGACGTCTCTTGACACCCGAGAGGACGCCACAACAGATAACATTCACTCCACTCCTTTCATGTACCAATGGCGACTCGCACTCCTCGCGTTCATTGCACTCCTTGAGGTCTTTGCTTGGACAGCTTTCGGAATATACCACTTGGTCAGGGACGATGGCGATTCCAAAATTGCAATCTTTTCCATCGTGATCGGCACTACTTGGCTTTATAACGTTTTGAAGCCCGTACTTTGCCCAAGACCTACGGCATATATCGATATGTTCATCCTCTATACATTCCATCTTATTTTCGGTGTCATTCGCATCGGGGCCTCCATATATTACCTTCAGACCACTTCTGTCGCAATTCTGGAGTGGATCGGAATGTCTCTCAATCTCGTTGCGATTATCGCCGGCTTGGGCATAATTTCGACGATGCCTTTGAAAATTCCATCCGATGATCTCCAGAAAGAAATTGTGAGTACAAACTCGCATCACCATTGCACAGACTAACTGCAGATGTCGTCGACAGTATGACAAGCGCTCTCCCGAGGATTATGCCAGTATCTTTGAATGGGCCACTTACAGCTGGGTATACCCCCTCATCAAGCGCGGAAACACTATGGAGATGAAGTACGAAGACGTTTGGGACCTAACCCCGGCTATGCATTCCGGACCCATCTTCGCCAAATTCAGCTCTATCGAGTAGGCATTATTCAGTGTAAAAGTTTGTACATGTCTGAGCAACGTGCAGACGACCGAATCTTTTACTTCGTTTGATCGCTGCAAACCGCAGTGACCTCATGTGAGTTGTTCTCTCTTGCACGTCCCAAAGTCCCCTGATTCCTGCAGTCTCGACATCCTCCTCACTGTAGTTACCGTCTCGTTGAGCTATGCCGCACCATATTTTCTCCGGTTAGTACTACATGTCACTGTCGATTCTTTTGCCTTATTGTGCATACTTACTAGCCGGATTTTGGATCTGATCGAGAATCCTACTCCGGAACGTCGTTCAGAGGCATATGTTTTGGCGTTACTTGCTTTCGTTTGTGCTGCATTGAAGGTGCATCCGAATGCGTTCCTCTCCTTACGTCATCATGACACTCCTTCAGGGGGAAGCCGATGCCCAACATCTCTTTTTCGGCAGACGTGCTTCAGCTCGTGTTAGCGCACAGCTCGTGAATGCGATCTATGACAAGGCTCTCAAACGAAGGGATTATTCTGGTGTCGTAAAGGAGAAGGAGACTGAGCCTACCAAGGACGTGCCTAAATCCAATGATCCCAAACCTGGCGCCGATATTGGGAAAGTCGTCAATGTGATGGCCATAGATGCCAGCTAAAGTTTCCGCCATTGTTGCAAGCGCCTACCTTCTCTATGGAGGTATGTTGAATGTCATCTTGAGTATAGCAGGATCCGTTAACATAAGTATCCAAAAGGTCCTTTCGAGATTATCCTGGCGTGCGCTATGTTGTACAGGTACCTGTCTTTCTTTTCCTTAGAGACTCGGTTATTCAAATTTACACCCATAGCCTCATGGGTTCTGCAGCATTTGCTGGCTTTGCTGTGATTGTGGTTGCTTGGATACTGCATATTTACGTGACACAGTTGAAGATTCCTCTCCAAAAAGGTCTTTCAACGTCGCGTGATCGGCGCATGTCTATTCTCCACGAACTTGTAAATGCTGTCAGGTTCATCAAGTTCTTCACGTGGGAAGATAGCTGGATCATGCGAGTCATGGATGCACGTGACAAGGAAATGGATTGGTTGAAGCGATGTTAGTGGCTACTGTGCTGCTACCGTATACTGCTCTGACGGGATACATGAACAGCTAGGATGAATTCTATCGAATCCGCAACACTCTGGGCGGCCGCTCCTGTATTGGTGTCCTTCTTCTCTTTCTTTGCTTACGTCTACCAGGGCAACAAGTTAACCCCTTCTATCGCGTTTACGGCAAGTTCGGATCTGCGTATGTTCTAACGCAGGGCTGACTATGTGTCTTAGACTATTGCTCTGATAGGAATGCTCCGGTTTGTAATCACCATAGTTCAGCGGCTCGATACTCACCTGGCCTTTATCATGTAGACAACCTCTGAACGTCTTCCCAAACTTTATCATGCAAATATTCGAGGTGCGTTCCTGTCGTCCAGTTTTATCCGAACTAGTTTACACCTGCTTCGAAGGCTCGTGTCTCTCTCGAGCGTGTTGAAGCATTCCTCAATGAAGAAGAAATATCCGATTATGCCTCTTCTCCCGTCGCGCTGTCTCCTGACCCTGAAATATACGATGGTGCCCTTGCTATCCAGGGAGGTCGCTTCAAGTGGAACAAGGTCGGAGATAAAAAGGCGAATCCACCCCAAGAACGAAGTGGCGAGTTGACCACGCAACCGGTTGTGCAAACCGAGCCGGCCGGTCCGCCGGTTGATGCTGGGGAAATTGCACTGCGGGATGGGAATTATTTCGAATTGCGTGGTATTAGTGTGCGTTTTCCGGAGGGTGAGCTATCGCTTGTCACGGGTCCGACGGGATGTGGCAAGACTGCGCTGCTGGTAGGTGCCTATCAACAAGTATGAGGCAGTTTTTGAATTTGCCGTCAGCTGGCGTTGTTGGGAGAAATGACAATCGTCGAAGGAAAACTCGTACGGCCGAAACATACGTCCGGGACGGAGCACCTTGATTCGGGGGCAATTTCGTATGCTGCTCAGACTCCGTGGCTGCAGCGCGGAACGGTCAGGCAGAATATCTTATTTGGATACCCATATGACGAACAGAGGTACGAGAATGTGATTGAGAGCTGTGCTTTGCTTCCCGATTTTGAGAGTTGGGAGGAAGGTGATCACACCGAAGTCGGTGATAGGTGAGTGGGGCTTGTGCTTCTGACCCTGTGATGCATTGATCCATAAATTACCCGTAGAGGTTCAAACCTATCGGGAGGACAGAAGGCTCGGTATGCTGCATCTTATCTTGACGACGATTTTACTTAGCTTTGATGCAGAGTTGGTGTTGCTCGCGCTGTTTATGCTCAGACTCAATACTGTCCTTCTTGACGATCCCTTCAGCGCAATTGTACGTATCGAATGCCAGTTTTCCCTTTTCCACATGCCTACTATCTCCTACAGGACATCAAGACGTCGCGCTTCTTGTACGACCAATTGATCTGTGGCCCACTGTTGGCGGGCCGTACCGTTGTGAGCACGTGATAAGGTTGAATGTGTACGCTACTGATGTCTCTTCGCAGATCCTTGTTACCCACCACGTGGAACTTGTTCTACCTAGTGTTGCTTATATAGTCCACATGCAAGATGGTCGCATTGCTACCCAAGGTTATGTGAAGGATCTTCAAGCTTCCGGTCGTCTGCCTCCCTTGCAAGAGGACTTGCCCGAAGAGGAATCTCCAAAACCCCCACGAAAGCGTAAACAACGTGCCAAGAAACCAGTACCAGACGAGGTTAGCGGGGCCGTCACGCTCTCGACTTATAAAACGTATCTCCAAGCATCGTACGTGCCCATTACGTTTCCGAGGTGGAGTGCTAAAGTCGCAACAGGTCCTACTGGATATGGATTGCCTTTGCTCTTCTGATCATATCTTCACACGTCATGACTGTGGTTGAAAAACTTTGGATTCGCGTATGCACTGTCATTTTTCTTGCCGGTGTGCTTGATACTGATTCAAAAACAGGAATGGGGACGTGCCTACGGTAATGCTCAGATGGACACCTCCATGCTTCATAGACCGAGCAAGAACGCTTCCTTCGAGCCCAACTACCAGCAGAACCTAGTATTTCTTCCCGATGCGGGTGTACACCCACTCTTTTTCGTCAAGGTTTATGCCATAGTTGGTTTCTTTATGGCTTTGTTCAACATCGCATCGACTACGACACTGTATTTCTCTGGTCTGAGAGCATCACGCTCACTGTTCCACCGCCTACTGGAAAAGGTGATGCACGCTACCCTGCCTTGGCACGATGCTACACCAAGAGGTAAATCGTCCCCCACTTCGCACACAACTCTCACTGACATTGTTTGCAGGCCGGATTCTAAATCGCTTCAGCAAGGACATGGATGCGATTGATATCAGCCTCTCGAATAACGTATCTACCATCAGTAATGCCTTGGTGAACTTTCTTGTGGCTGTCATCACTGTCATGTGCGTAGGATTTCCATGACCCTAACATGTGACGGAGGTTAACCTCCCTCGTTCCTAGCATATTCTTCCCGGAGTTCATCGTTCCTGCGCTGGCCATTGCCTTCTGCTATCATTTCGTTGCGATTCGTTACCTGGGTATCAACCGACAATTGCGCCGCATGGAATCCACTTCCCGGTCTCCTATCTTCTCTGGCTTTGGAGAACTTCTGGACGGTATTGTGACCATACGGGCGTTCCAATCTGAGTCTCGTTTCATGAAGGAATTTCACGGGAAAGTAGACATCGCCAACAAGGTTTGTACTTTTAACTCTGAGTTCTCATATAACATGACCCTTCCCCCCCCCTTAAGATGTACTACAATTCCTGGATGACTAGCAGGTGGCTACTCTTTAACTATGATGTTCTTGGGGCCTTCGCGGTGTTAGCGACTACGCTATTTGCCCTATCTGGTTACGTCGGCGCAGGCACAGCTGGTCTCTCTATAACTAGCGCGATGACTTTCACGTTCAGTGTGTATCTGGTCTGCCGATTCTGGGCTTCTCTCGAGCTCGAATTGAAGTAAGTTTTCGCGTTTGACCCCAAATGCATCTCTCACTTCCAACGACAGTGCCGTGGAGCGGGTCGCGGAATACTTGAATATCCCCCAAGATTTTCCAACTGTCATCGAATCCAACAGACCCCCAGCATATTGGCCATCTACCTCAACTACCCCATTCCTGTCTGTAGAAGACATCAGCGTTAGATACGCTCCGGGCCTGCCACGTGTCCTTTCTAAGGTTTCGTTCACTTTGGATGCACCTGCACGGATTGGTGTTGTCGGGAGAACGGGAAGCGGAAAGTCCACCCTGATTATCAGCTTACTGCGATTCGTAAGGTCCCTCTAATCTTGCTTGCGCTCGTTAAACTCCACCAATGGATTAGGTCGACCCTGAACTTGGTCGCATTGTGATAGACGGAATTGATATTGCAAAGATTGGAGTTCGTGATTTGAGGTCACGCATAGTGAGTTTTAATTTCAATGGTAGAGCCTAATACTCAATAACCATTCACAGACTTACATCCCTGAGGTATTGCCACTTGGTTCGTGGGGTTTTAAGGTACTCAAATTGCGTCTAGGATGCTGTATTATTTTCTGGGTCAGTGCGGGACAACATAGATCCATTCAGTCAGTGGCACTTTTTTTGTTAAAATCGCAGGACTGACTGACTCCTGCAGATGAGCATGAGGACGTTGATTGTTATGACGCCCTTCGCCGCGTTCAGTTGTTGGGCGACGACAGCCAACCACGAAGCAGTGCTAGTGGGCCATCCCAAGCAGGGGCCGATACCAGTCCAGGGCCTCTACTTACCTTGGATACCGAAGTTGCCCCTGGGGGAGCTAACTTCTCGCTGGGCCAACGGCAACTAGTCGCCATGGCTCGTGCTTTGTTGAAACGGACTCCCATCGTTGTCCTTGACGAGGCGACGAGTAGTGTCGACTTCGAAACCGATGAAAAAATACAAGCAACTCTCCGGGAGCAGTTTAATAACTCTTTGCTTATAACTGGTAAGTATTGGTATTTTATTTCGTCTAGCCTGCAACGGATTGATTACCTCTACTCGCAGTCGCGCACAGGCTGAATAACATAATTGACTATGATCGCTTAATCGTCCTCCAAGACGGGAAGGCAAGTTATTTTGTCACACGACGCTGCCGTCTGTAGACTAACTGCCTGAAAGGTCGTTGAGTTCGATACCCCATTGAAGTTGTTTTACAAGGAAGGTGGCGTCTTTCGTGATATATGTCGTAGCAGTGAGTCGTACGAGGAGCTGGAGGCTACCGTGGCGAAAGTTCGTGATGATTTGCAAGCAGCGTCCACGTAGCTGCAGTGTACCGTATCTTCATTCCGTGTATTTATTTCGAGCGATTGCCTGATTTTGAAGATGAATGATATTCCATTGTTCAGGTCACAAATTGACGAGACCTTCCACGGCGAACTGTCCCGATGCCGTAGAGTTGGGTAGACATACAAAGTACTGTAAGTTGCTAGGATAATAGTCGATCCTTAAGAGTTCTGAGGGAATGGCAGTTGGCCTAGATGTCATTATCAATGATGGCTTGCGCCAGATACGAGTGTAGACTGTAGTGATTCCAACAAGACAAGCGATGAGATAGCGATAAGACAGGATAGCAAAACATCAACAAGAAGACATGATTACCACTACTCTACAGCCCACAGGGGTATATATCCATATGCTCATGTTAAGAGTCATGCGAGAATGATGAACATCATACATTTTAGATTAACTCATGTCCTGTTGCGATGCTCAAGTATTGATCTCACTCTCGTGTTCTTTGAAAAGCTTATATGCCACCATGGCATCCTCGAGAAGTGTCTTCAACAAGGACTTCTGATCCTCTGAGAAACCATCACAGTTCCAATCCGGTTCCTCGAAATCGAGCCTTTGCCCATCACTGAGGCGCTCGATCACAATCTGCTTCCACTTTTCCCACACCGCAGTGCTGGGAACCAGGAAGACCTTCATGATCTCCGTAGCGTTCCTCAGTTTTAAGGCGAGGACAACGAACACCAGCATGCTAGTGCGGGTCTTCAGAATGAACTTGGTGAAGACTGGGTCCCCAAGGAGATTTTTCAAGATTTCGCGCTGGATTTTCTCCTTGTCAAAGGTCCAGACCCAAAGATTGTAAGCCCACGAAAAGGCCAAAGAGATGACGAACATCAACTGGCCGAAGAATGAGCTTTGAGATATAAGTATCAACATCGCGAGGGATTGCGCGATGAGGAGAATAGAACAGATTCTTAGTTTTAGGGAGGCATCCTTGGACTGGAAGAGTAGGAAGAATCTTCCCCGAGTAACCGCGTTGACGGCCCCTTCTTCGCCTTTCAACAACACGATGCCGTCGTCGAAATTAAGGATGCCATCTCCAGGAGGCGAACCAGGTGCGGGTTCTGGATGGGTGAAAAAGAATTTACCGGAGCCAATCACCATGGAAGCCAAGCCGTTGGCAATGATGCCAAAGAGAATGATGGCGAAGGCATACCAGTCGGAGTACACGGCAGAGAGGACACAGGTGGTGACACTGATGGACACGGGTATACTGGCGAAGTAGGTCACGTAGGGGATGGGCGACTGGACCTCTGCGCTAGTCTTGGGGGGTCGACCGAGCGTTGCGATAGTAACGCCAACAGATTGTGACTCCCTACCCTCCGCCACACCAGCAATTCTTGTTAGCTCTGCGCACTCCTTCTTCAGTAAAGCGGCAATATGGCCCGTATCCTGCATGGTAGTCCCGGAGTGAACAGCCGTAAACTTGGGTCCTTTCCAACCATTGTACTCGAACAGCGCGGCCAAATCGGCCTGTACCTTGCCGCCCTCATATGCAGGGGCCGCTGATCGAGCAAGCCGCATGAAGCGTATGCCCATGCTGTATGAACCAGGAGAATTGTACCACACCAGCCATGTAGCCCACGTCTTCCCGCCAAAAACGTGAACAGCTGCCATGGAAGCAAGGGCCTCCTCGCCACCCAAGAGACCAGCCACTGCGGCGCTGTTCAGAACGAAGTGCACGTATTTGAGCGGAGCGGGACCCGCAACCAACTCCCGAGGCCAAACAGGAGGCATTGGGCTGATGATATTGCGGATAACGAGTACTGAAGAAGTGGGGCCCCCCTTGAGCCTTCCAACTGATCGATCGCCAGAAAAGCCAGCCTTTATGCCATGTGGAGGCGGGAACAAGCCAACACCGATAGAGGCCCGGGACCTGTGCAGGTCCGACTCGGCCCACGTTTACTTGCGCAGGATGGTGGTATATCCATGAGATTGGTTCCTCACGTGATGCTTCATGCACGAGCAACAACCCCCACTGCTTGCAATTCAATCACCACACTGCCTGTGCATACAACCAAAAAAACTGTGTTTGCTGTACACTTGCCAGACAGCATGCCATTGACTGCCAGTATAGGGAGCAAGAATGCTTCGATCGAATGAGAACGATTGTATGTAGTACCATTCGGATCCAGATTTTGACCGAGGCTGGCGCAACTTGATATGTACACGGAGAAGCCGGAGGTAAAACTATGAAAAAAATGTGGTGCTGGAAAAAGCTAGACTCCGAATTCTCCAACCATAACAGCAAGGACGATTGATAAGCGTTCGTTCTCTTCAGATGGACTCTCTAGGCTCCTCATGATGCAGTGGCTCCTCCGCTCGGATAGAATATTCCATGCAAGTCGTAACCAAACGAAATCAATCCCCAAAATAAGCTATATTGTGATAACCGCTTTCTTCCGCAGAAGCAAAAGGCGGAAAGGCGGGATATAAAGCACTCGGTGGGGACGTGAATAAAACATTCTCAAGTCGTAAATGGCACGTGTCAGTGCGGAGCTTGTAGAGTTTAGAACCACCCTCGAGCTCTGTACACTCCCCATTACCAGCCTCCTGAATTTCCTTGAGAGCAGTGCGAATAATTGTCTGAGTCAATATGTCCACACATGTGGGCTTCTCTGTGACGGAACACTGACCATCTACTCTCGCTAGGTGTGCAGCTGTCGTGCATCAAGTCTACTCAACGACAGATCTAAACCGTCTGCTGACCCTGGGTATTACAGTTCGCGAGAGAACTTAGCGCGGGCATTCAGCCTGTCCATCCAGAAAGATTAATTGAAATATCGATTAGAGGGCGGAGGAACGTCAAGCACGTACACTGCTAAGAGTGAGTTGGTGTATACTCGAGAAGCAGGGCATCAGGATTAATCAAATCTGAGGCAGGTTGCCAAGGTGGTAAATGATAGACTCACAGCCAGGACCCCATGTAGTCAGCTTAGTCACAACATATGGGTAGCCTGTGCACCAAATTACCATTACTCATGTAGAGCCTGATGTGGGCCCATCAAATTAATTAAGTCATAACATATGAAGAGGCCTGGAAGCCCAGAGTGACAGCAGGAAATGAGCAGGCCCATGACAAGTATATTACAAGAGTCAATCCATTGCAACTTATTGGCAGGCCCATCATGCATACAGTGCATGCACCACAACCTGTGGACAGGCCTGTCTGAAGCATGCTGCACCCATCAAAACTAATAGTCAGGCCCATCAAAGGGATAAGGCACTGGTCAGAAAATATGGGCAGGCCCATCACTAATATGGCAGATGATGCAATGTCCAATTGATGGGCCTGTCCAAGGGGTGTTCTACCTGTCTAATCTTATGGGCAGGCCTGTCAGGAAAATATCAGATGATGTTACACCCAAGGGTGGGTCAGTGGGAGGGGTGTGATAGCTATAAGAAGATATGGGTAGGGCCCAGATCTTATGCACAGGCCTGCCATGTATATCATGGATGGGGTCACAACCCATGGGTGGGCCCAGGGAATGGATGAAACATCCATGGGAACATATGGGCAGGCCCATCAGGTATATAGTGGATGATGTGGTAACACAAGGATGGGCCTGTAGAAGGGGTGCAGCATGTACACCAACAAATGTCAGGCCCACCATGTACATAATGGATGAGGTCTCAACCCATGGATGGGCCTGTCCATGGGATGATCCATGCAACAAATCTTATGGGCAGGCCTGTCAGGTATATAGCAGATAATGTGGTAACACATGGATGGGCCCATAAAAGGGGTGCAGCATGTACACTTGTCAAGAATGCATTCTGGAGTTATGGTAGCCTCTTGGAGTTTTGCCCAGAGGGCTTGGAGTTTCTCCCCAACCCTCAGAATTAAATTCCAATGTCACTATGCTTAGTAATTACCATACTATAAATTTTCTGCACTGTTGTTTTCCACCTCAGTGACTACTTTGTACACTGAGGTGAGTATAGCTAGATTCCCACTCATTTACTTGGTACTGATGTAGTGTAGAAACTCATACCTTTGTTAGGTACTAATAAAGTGACTACTTCATACACTGAGAAACTCATACCTTTGTTAGGTTATGAGCCCTGCTCTCATGCTCTAATTCTGAAAGAGTTATTACACAGCAAGAATACCCACTATGGTGAAAGATGATCATTCCTTACAAGTCCCAACCCTAAATGTGGATGGAAGCAACTGGTTATATTACAAGGCTTGGGTTGAATGGGCCATCAGCTCAAAAGGGCTGACTGGACACCTGACTGGCTTGGATGCAAAACCAGAGGACCCTTCAGTGGGAAAAGACCCCTCCTGGAAGCCCACAGCCACAGAGCAAAAACTTGTCAGCAAATACCCAGAAAAACTCTGGCAATGGGCAAAGGACAATGGATATGTCAAGCAAGTGATCACTGTGTCACTCCCAGAATCATTGTTCCTTCGAGTTCTGAAGGAAGAGACTGCAAAGAGTATGTGGGGTGTCCTCACTGATCTTTTCCAAAACCACTCTCACATCATTGCAATCAATCTTCAGAGAAAACTCCAAGAATCCTGCTGTGCAGAAAAAGGCAATGTCCATGCTCACTTTGACAAGATGCACACACTGTGCAAACAACTTGCTGCACTTGGACAATCTATCACAGATGATGACTTCACAGCAATCATTCTCAGTTCACTTCCCACTTCATATGACTCCAACCTCACAGCTACGACATCTTCAGCCCTAGTCATGCAAAAGGACCTATCTCTGGACTTTATAATCAAAGTAATTTCCAATGAATACAATAGGCACCAAATGCAGACAAAGAGAGGGAATTCCAGCAACTCTGGAAATTCCAAAGATGCAGCCTATTCAGTGAAGGATGGAAAGAAGTCTACTTGTGAAAATTGCAGAAAGAAAGGTCATATGAAAGACCAATGCTGGGAAGAGGGTGGCAGAAAAGCTGAGCAAGTGCCCAGGTGGTTCCAGAACAAGGGAAAAGGGAAAAAGAAGGAGAAAGGCTCTGGAAAAGCAGCCACTGTGGCCAGTGCATCAGCCAGCTTGAGCACACAGACCAGCACCAACTCCGAACCTGATGGAGTTTGGCTAGTGCACCTGCAGGATGATGATTGGCTAATGGAAATCATGGAGGAAGAAATTCTGAACCCCCAGGATATTGTTATTGATGAAGAAGAAGCATATACAAACACCTTCAATCATGCTCTGCTTGCAGGCAAAAGCCTAAATTCTGCAGAGGAGACCATCCTGTTCAACTCTGGCACTTCATGTCATATGTCCTCCTACCACAGCAAATTCCTAGACTACAAGCCAATTATTCCCAAAGCTATTACTGCTGCCAACAATCACACCTTCCATGCCATCAGGAAAGGCAATCTTGCAATCTCACTCCCAAATGGCACTGTGCAAACCCACATTTGACTCAAGGATGTGCTCTGTGCCCCCAAGATGGGAATTATGCTTGTTTCTGTTAGCAAACTTGATGTCACTGGGTATGTGGCATTATTCTGAGACAAGCATTGTCAAATTTTCGATGCTCAGAAAAAGAAAGTAGCCAAAATTCTGATGCAAAAAGGGCTCTACTGCCTCAAATGAGCTTGTCATGCCTTTGAAGGCCTAGCTAAGGCCATGGAATCCCTCACCATGGAGGAGATACATGTCAGGATCAGCCATATCGCTCCTGAAGCCATCCAGTGCATGCTCAAGGATGGCACAATCACCAGAATTAAACTGGATGAAGGGCATTCCACCATGGGTGCATGCAATTCATGTAAATGTGCCAAAGTGACTCAGAAGCCCATTGGGAAGGAGTGTGACCCACCCTGCCATGAACACCTTGGTGACAAGATCCATACAGACCTTTGGGGACCTTCTCCAGTTCAAACCCCAGGCCACAGTCAATACTATGTGTCATTCATGGATGACCACACTCATTACACCACCCTAATTTTGCAAAAGATGAAGGCTGAAACCTTCAAGTCCTACAAAGCTTACAAAGCATGGCTGAACATGCAATTTGACACCAAAGTCAAGTGACTTTGCTTGGATTGTGGGGGAGAATACCTTAGGTGCAGAATTTTCAGAATATCTGAAATCCTGAGGCACAGAATGATGCATAACTGTCCATGATACCCCTGAACACAATGGAGTTGCAGAACAGCTCAACAGAACACTTGTTGAGTGTGTGAGAGTGATGATTCATGCCAGTGGCTTACCCAAGAACCTCTGGGGGGAGGCCATTATGCATGTGACTTGGCTCAAAAACCACTCAGTTGACTCATTGTCTAGGCACCAAGACTCCCTACAAAATGCTTTACAAGAGACCACCTGACCTCTCAAAAATCCCAGTCTGGGGATGTCATGTCAAGGTCCATGACACCTCTGGCTCCAAGCTAGACATGTGAGCATGAGATGGACACAGCTGCTGATGAAGATGACACCAACATGGTGTATGCTATGGTGGCAGGGATGGCTGAAGCCAAAGGGCTGGACCCATCAACAGTTCATGAGGCAAAATCCTGAGCTGACTGGCCAAAGTGGCAAAATGCCATAAATGTGGAATTACAGAGCCTAGAGGAAGTGCACACCTGGGACATTGTTGAGTGCCCAAAAGGTGCAAATGTCATAGGATGCAAATGGGTTTTCAAGATCAAACACAACACTGCTGGAGAAATTGAGAAGTACAAGGCCTTCCTAGTTGCTAAGGGCTACTCTCAGATACAGGGCATTGACTATGATGAAACATATGCTCCCATCACAAGACTTGCATCTCTCTGCACCATACTAGCAATTGCTGCATGCAATGACTGGGACATTGATGTATTTGATTTCCACTCAGCATTCCTCAATGGCAAACTTGGAGATGGTGAAGACATCTACATGGAGCTCCCTGAGGGCTACACTGTAGGGCAGGAATTTTTCCCATCCAGTTGGGAAGTTAAATGTCACATTATATGGCTTGAAACAAGGTGCACTTCGATGGTACCAGAAGCTATGTGCCACTCTCACAGATCTTGGACTCACCAGGGCATGTGCAGGACTGGGGAATATTCTATGGTTGCATAGGATCAGAAATTCTCATCCTTGCCAGCCACATCAACAACTGCACTATAACAGGCAGTTCCCCATCATTAATTTGCTCATTGAAACAGGAGATAAGCACTCATTTCAAAATATCCAACCTAGGGCCTATCAGTTGGCTACTCAGAATGAAGGTGATGTGGAATAGAGAAGCCTGCACCATATCCCTGTTGCAGCAGTCATACATCAAGGCCATCCTAATGAAATACAACCTCACTGACTGCAAGCCAGCCACAATTCCAATGGACCCCAGCATAAAACTCTCCTGTGGAGAAATTCTGCAGCCAGCCAAAGAAGCTGCACATGTGAAAAGTGTACCCTACTGTGCTGCTGTTGGCTCCCTCATGCACCTTGCTGTTGGAACATGCCCTGACATTGCATTTTCTGTCTCCACAGTCACACAGTTCAACAACACACCCAACATGACTCACTGGGAGGCCATGAAATGAATCTACAGGTATATCTCAGGCACAAAAGTGCTTGCTTTGATGTTCAGAAACTCAGAACAAGGCCTTGAGGGCTATACTGATGCAGATGGAGCTTCACAGGAGAATTGACAGGCCTATCAGTGGATATGCATATCTATTGGATGGAGGAGCTATTAGTTGGGCTTTGTGGAAACAAGAACTCACCATGCTCTCAACTGCAGAAGCAGAGTATGTTGCAGCAACTCATGCAGCCAAAGAGGGCTTGTGGCTTTGACAACTCATTGGGGAAGTTTTCTGACCACTCAAACATCCTATCCTGCTGTATTCTGACAGCCAATCTGCTATTGCACTCACCAAGGATGGCAGCTACCATGCTCACACCAAGCATGTTGATATATGATACCACTTCATTCATTTTGCTGTGGAAAATCATTCCTTTTGTTTAATTTATTGCCCTACTAATGACATGGTTGCTGATACCCTTACCAAACCCTTACCAAGCATCAGGGTGAAACACTTTGCATCTGCACTCAGACTTTGTTCCAATTGAGGGGGAGTGTTGAGAATGCATTCTGGAGTTATGGTAGCCTCTCGGAGTTTCTCCCTGAGCCTCAGAATTAAATTCTGATGTCACTACACTTACTAATTACCATACTATAAATTTTCCACACTTTTGTTTTCCACCTCAGTGACTACATACACTGAGGTGAGTATAGCTAGATTCCCACTTGTTGACTTGGTACTGATGTAGTGTAGAAACTCATACCTTTGTTAACACTAACATATGGCAGGCCTGCCATGTATATAATGGATGAGGTCTCAACCCATGGACAGGCCCAGCAATGAGATGATCCATGTGACAAATGTTATGGGCAGGCCCATTGGGTATATAGTGGATGATGTGGTAACACACAGACAGGCCCATAAAAGGGGTATGGCATGTGCACTAACATATGGCAGGCCTGCCATGTATATAATGGATGAGGTCTCAACCCATGGATGGGCCCAGCAATGAGATGATCCATACAACAAATCTTATGGGCAGGCCCATCGAGTATATAGCAGATGATGTGGTAACATGAGGACAGGTGTATAGAAGGGGTGCAGCATGTACACTGACATATGGCAGTCCCACCATGTATATAATGGATGAGGTCTCAACCCATGGATGGGCCTGGCAATGAGATGATCCATACAACAAATCTTATGGGCAGGCCTGTCAGGTATATAGCAGATGATGTGGTAACATGAGGATGGGCCCATAGAAGGGGTGCAGCATGTGCACTGACATATGGCAGTCCTGCCATGTATATAATGGATGAGGTCTCAACCCATGGATGGGCCCATCCATGGGATGATCCATGCAACAAATCTTATGGGCAGGCCAGTCAGGTATATAGCAGATGATGTGGTAACACAAGGATGGGCCCATAGAAGGGGTGTGGCATGTATATTAACATATGGCAGGCCTGCCAGGTATATAGCAGATGAGGTCTCAACTGATGGATGGGCCCATGCATGGGAAGACCCATCTGACAAATCTTATGGGCAGGCCCATCAGGTAAATATTGGATAATGTTGTAATACAAGAATGGGCCTGTCCATGGGATGTTCCATCTGAAAAATCATATGGGAAGGTCTGACAGTTGTATCTTGGATGAGGTTGAAACCTATGGATGGGCCCATCCATGGTCAATTCTATCCAATGAATGTTATGGGAGGGCCAATCATGTCTATAGCAGATGGTGTTTGAAATCAGGGACAGGCCCATTGAAGGGATATGATTTCAATCAGATGATGCGAAACAGGCCTGTCAAATATATGTCAGATGAGGGGACAACCCATGGAAGAGCCTGTCCAAGTAATGTTGTGCATGTGAAATGGTATGGGTGGGCCCATCAGGTAGATATTGGATGACATCACAAACCATGGATGGGCCAATAGAAGGAAGATTGCATGAGTTGCAACCAATGGGCAGGGCCTCTGGGATATATCCAATCCAGTCAAAAGCAACCAATGGGCCAGTCCATGGGTTGGTCCAAAAGTCAAACCCAATGGCTGACTGTGCTGCATATGTGGTGGATTCCTCCCCACTCTGCTGACAGGCATCTCCAAGAAGGTCGGGCAAGGTGAAACTGAGATGGAAGACATGCTCATTATTGATATGGCACCTGTCATTGCAACCCATGGAGGGGTCCACTGTTGCTATTGTAGATGATAGCAAAGTATGTGAACAACCAGTAGAGGAAATGTATCCAGCCCATGTCATCACTGAATTGTTGCAGTATTGAGTGTGGCCTCTGGAAATCATATCTGATCTGATTTTCAAGCTGGAATTGAAGGTGCAATATCAATACACTGTTGATAGCTTCAATTGCCTTTCCAGGCAGTTGACCACATATTGGGTGCCAACTCATGTTGAAAGTTAAAAATATTGCAAATGTGGTGTTGGTACTCTTGCATCTCAGGATTTCCATTGGGCCATCTACCTCTTGACCAAAATTGAATGGCTGCCATGCAATGTCCTGCCAACACCTCCAATGATTGGCAAATGCATCTAACAGATGCTGTCTGCCAGTACATGGTGGCCAGGCTGCATGAAGAGATAGTGGATGGCCTGTGTGCCCTCCTGGCAATATCCATTCCAATGCAAATAGCTTGTGAGGTGGATCACATTGTAGCCATCATCATACAAGTATATCGAGAATGCAGTGAGTACACAAGATCCACCAAATGAAAAGTGGTTAAAAGCATCAACAAGTGACCTGAAACATAAAGCAGGGTGTTCAGACCGACCTGGCCCATTCAAATGATATGGAAATTACATGTCCTACAGTGGTGATTGACAAGGAGGGCAGCATCCTGCTATGGTATCTTCCAAATTGTTGGAACATATGTCCCCTGTGTTTGTTTATTTACAGCATATGAGCTTACATAATAATTCTTCGCACTTAGGCAGTTAGTTTTTCCTCCTGCACCTCAGCCTTCTTACCACAGAAGTCTGAGGTGTGTTCACTATATTAACTCTATAGCTACCTTACTGATGTTCTACCTTAAGCCTTTCTTTCAGGTTAGCTTGTTAATATTATAGCCTTCTTACCACAGAAGTCTAAGCCTTTCTTTCAGCCTCCTCTCAAGACAAATGCCATCAGCCAAGCCTATCAGGTTGACCTTCTGAATTTTGGATTACTTGCAATGCTAACATGGGGAGCAGTCAGAAGTTTGGGAATTCTCTTGGACTGCTCAGCATTCCACTTCAATGTAGCCTGAAGTTAAATGGAATGGGAGGATGGTGGAACAATGGGAAAAACTTTTGCAATGATGCAAATCTTAAAGGCACAATTGACCTCTCAACCATGTGGTTTCAACAAGGGCATGGGGTAGGGCATACCCTATTCACACATGGGTCAGGCTGAAATGCAGTTTCAAGCCAAGCAATGATACACATGATCCTGAAATATCACTACTCTTAAAGTCAAAATTGCAACTGAAGGAGGTACACAAATGGCTGCAGTGCATGGCTGGGCTACAAGCCATCCTATTGGGAGCACTGCATATCATGCAGCCGAAAATGTACCTGCATGGATGGGAGGCAATCAGATGACTCAGATCAAAGGCTGCTGAACAGCAGGATGAAGATATGGAGGCCATCTTGCCAATGTGGAACTCAGTCTACAGTTCTATGTCAGTAATGGTGAATTGCACTTCACCTGCACATAAAGATATGAATGGCCAGAAGGTATGGCTGGATACCTTGCTTACTGTCAGCAACTATCCATGGCTCCACTTCTTGGTGCTGGAGCTCAGAATACAGCTGCAGTACAATCCAGGCACTGTAACTGCACTTGCAGGTTTGGCATTGATTCACCAAGTTGATGGAATAGATGGTGATCAGGCATGCCTGGCATATTACATGCAAGAGAATGTCCATTGATACATTCAAGTTCCACTATGTGAAAGGTGCACATATCAGACATAGCAATGGATTTGCAGGCAATGCAGATATAAACACATAGGCATATCAATTTATTGAGGCATATCAAAAGATCATTCTCAATGTTCAGGGTTGTCATTTTGCCAAAATCATGGTTCTTTGCATATCAATCTCTGTCATGCCAGGTGCAGTGGGAGATGATTATATCTACTCTACACAAGTACACAATTTGCATCTAGCCCCATTGGTGTACAATCCCAACATCTGCACCATGCATGTCAACCCCTCAAATAATTCTTCTACTTGTGCATTAAGGTCAGGGAGAAGTGCCTCTACTCTGCATGCATTGTTCTTGTAACTCTCCACCTATGATTCCAATGTCCCATGGAGGCCATCCTTGATGGGGGACTTGTCCAGTGACCAAAAATCCTAAGTATATTATCAGTATGCCCTGCCTATGACAGTTGAAATTCGGAGCTTGTACCCTGAAATACCTTTGCGCAATGGTCTGCACCTCATTGGAGCACAAAACATGCAAGTTGCTTGCATAGTTTGATGCAGCTGTCAACTACCACAGAAGCACAAACCTGCCATCTTCCTGCAGGTGGGGAGTCCACTGCAGCAGTAATTCCATAACATGTGAGCAGGTATCAGACATCTGCACCTCTGGAACTCAAGACAGGGCATTGCGGAAGCTTTCTTCTGTCCATCCCCCCATATGATGCAGCATGTATGATGTGAGAAATGGGAGCTGATAACAACTCTGCATGACTGCTATCAGGATGAGACAGTCCAGCATACTCTGAATAATAGTGTGTCAATGCCTTGCAATCTCTCTAGCACAGAACACTCACCATATCAATGCAGAGATTGCAATACCAATTTGCTGGCCATTTGGCCACAGTCAGCAGTTGTACTAGGTGCTGAATGGCAGTATCAATGCAGCAGCCCATGTACATGAAGATCATGTCCATGACTGACTGCTGGGCCAGGTATTGAGGTTGTGCTGCAAACTGCTGAAGGCCTATCGCAGTGAATGGGTCATAGAAGTTGTCCAAATCAGCAATTTGACAGAGGGATCCCTCTGCTTCCTCATGAAGGTCCATCTGTCATAGTTCCACATAGGCAAAATCTGTTGCCACCCATGCCATTGCATCCATAACTGCTGGATCAAACCAGTCATTTGGGTGGAAAGGGAAATGATACTGGATGGGATGACAGGTGAGCCTAAGCTGATGAACAGCCCAATATACTGCATGGGAGTCAAGTGAGGATAGGAACATTGTCTGGGGTGCTGACTGGCATGATCAGCTCCTGGACATACAAAACCATGCACCTCCATTTCCCACTTCTCCTCATCAGTCAGGTCATGGCCTGTACTGTGTTGAGCAGTTGAATTAATTGCATTCCATGAAATGAAACTTGCCCATTCAGGTGGAACATAGGTGCATAAATTTCTGTTGCAGTCAGTGCTGTTCCACATGGAATAAAACATCTGGCTGATCTTCAAGAATTGGCACCTGGGGATTGCTGATGTCTTCAGCCAAGAATCAGGTGTCTATACTATCAATGAGAATTACCAATGGGGTTGAATGGGCCAATGAACACTTACTGTCAGATGGGGGTTGCAGGGGTAGTTCTGAAGATATGTCCATGTCCATTGCTGTATTTGTCAGATGGCAATCCCAACATGTACAGAATCAACTTGACATATGGGTATCATTTCCATCTGGTGATGTGACTGAATGGTGGGAGTCAGATTCTTGCAAGGAGGGGGGTGGAGGTGGGATGAGGGCATTGTCAGTCTCATCTTCATCAGACTGTGGCAGGGGGGTTTGCTCCTCACTATCATCACTGGCTTCACTAGGTTGTGGCAGTGGCACCTCCTCAGCCATGTCCTCAAGATTGTTAGGAGGTGGTGGGGGTGGTGGAATGTCATCATCAGGAGGCAGTGGGGGGTGGTGGTGGAATGTCATTGTCAGGAGGCAGCAGGGGGGGTGGAAATGGATCAACCATTGATGTGGAAACCTCAGAAAGCCATGGTTGAGGTGGAAGGTGCTCTGGCATCTGGTTATGTTGACCATGGCTTGTCAACCATTGGATGGTTCCTACCTTTTTACCCCTCCTTGAGGGGCCTGCAGATTGCAGAGGGTCCTCCCCCCTGGCTTTGATTTGCCAAATATGAACTACAAATGATTAATGGAATTGTGGTATGAAATCAAATGAACCAAACCTCTGGGATTGAAGTGTACTCCATGGGGAATTTGGTCTGCCATAGTGGATGGATGCTAAACAATTTCACGTGTTGGAAGCTGTTGCCACTCCAAATATCAATGTTCAACACCCAACCATGGGAACATCTGCCACAAGGTGGGAGTTGCAAATGTCATGTTTCCATGCCCAGTATGAAAGATAAATGCTGGCTGCCTGGCATATAATCCAGTAGAAATGCCAACAACTACATAGCAATGGCATGTGTGCCCACAAATGCATGTGTGAGTCAAAATGAAATGATTGGGGCCCTGCATAACAGGGGTAGGGCATGCACCCTGACATGACCATTGCAGCCTGAACTGAATCAATGATTTCATCACCTCTATAATATTATATGTACATGCAGATCCAAACTCCATCTGAGATCATTGCATCCTTGCCCTCTTTCCTGGAGAAACACCTGGATCTGCCAATGTGTGCTTCTGCAATCACTTGGATGGGGGTGAAGGGACATCCACATCTGGCTGGGCAGGGGCCTGACAGACCTGAGGGGATTTCCAGATGCCCTCCATCATTCCATCTCCACCACTCACCACCAATTGCCTCTGTCCTGATTTGGAATCCATACCCTTGCCATTTCATAAAGAAATTCAATGGCCCTTACTGGCAGTTGCAGAATGAGGTTGGGCTACATCCTGTTTAGCATGTCCAGGGTTGATCCATGTCTGGCCTCCTTGCTTCAAGGAAGGCTTCAGCCTTACCTCTGGTTGCTTGTTGCCATGTCCAACTGGATTTGGAGGTGCATCCTGGGTGATTGGAAGACTTCACAAATGATCATCACCCTGGTGCTTGGAACCATCCTTAATCTTTGCAGTGAACTCAATCATCTCAGCTAATAAATGATAAATATGATAGCCTGTCAATGTGATGGAAACAGACCTGGCCTCCTTTTGGAAAGTGTTGGTAATTCATCTGCTGCACCTAGACCTTCCAATTGATTGACTCCATCGGAATCAGACACTTCTTCTTCAACATATGACACATTGGTTTCCTTCATTGCCCTCCCAGGGAATGGAGTTTTATTGTGGACCTGGCAGGTGTCTTTCCAATGCACATCATTGGGCCAAATCAGGGCAGTTGTCTTGTGCAGGAAGGGGGTTGCTTCATGATGTTGGTTGGCCTGTGGCTGCCCATCATCCAGCAGGTCATCATCATGGTCAGTTTCAATGTCTGCAGCTAACTTCCTTCAGTGGAGACATTTCAGGTGGGATGACTTTCCTCCATTACTGACCCAGCCATGCCAATCATGGCTCAGACCAGGCACATCTGCAGCTGTGAAGACAACCAGAGATGCCTGTTCAAAAGTCATCCATGTCACTGCCTTGGACATTTGGCTGCACTGTGTTTGTGCTGCCCTTTCCATTTCCCTGCTGATCTGACTTTTGAGTCCTCCCAGCTGGGGCTTTGGATTGGGCTGGAGCAGTTGCAGGCACGTGGGACCTGGATTTCTGGTCCCTTACAATCTGAAGGGGAATGCCACTGTCCTCTGCTGGTGGCTGCAACTTTCCACCTTGATCCAGCCACTTTTCAAAGTGAAATACATCATCCATGTTCTCTTCCTGTCATTGATGCCAGAAGCTCAAAAGGTCAGTAGCTGCTGAGACTGACATATGACTTGGGTCAATGGTAATGGAGAAATTTGGTGGGAGATGTCAGGTTGCAATCATTGCTTTTTGATGTGTTCTGAGCTGTTTGAATTGCACAGTCGACATTGCATTTCTGCAAGCTCATCCTTCAGGCTGCTGATCAGTGCAACCTACATCTATGGATCTGACACTCACTGTAGTGGGCAGTCATGAACCTGCACACTGTTTTCTGCAGTAAATTGCATGCCAGACTTGTGATTTCACCAATTGATACTGTGCCATCTTTGTTTGTCACCAAAGAGACAGCATCAACTTTCACAGTCCTTGTGGCCTTCTTTCCCAGCCATCTGTCACCTTGGGCATCTTCATCTTCATCTGAAATTCCAAACTCCTCAACTGCTTTGCCAAGGTAATCCTGCCATGGTCCCTCTAGGTTCCAAACCTCATTAAACAAGGTTCCATCTGCAATATCTTGGTTGAAGTCCATGCTAGGAAGGGATCAGTGGTGCACAATGATGCTTGATAAAAATCAGGACCCACATGCATGCCTCCACAGTACCTTCCACATTTTTCCACCCAGCAAAACACATGACCTGCATGCCACAATACCTCCACATCTCTTCTGCAAAATTGTGGCAATACTTGTACCCATATCTTGCTGTGTTTCTAAGGACCCACATTCTTTCAAAAACACTGTGACAAACTGTGCATCTGAGAACTCACCTGGCTTTTATTTTGGGGGTGGGTCCTTCAATCCCATTCCATTTGTCAGCTATGTCCTCTGCTGCTGCCAACTGCTCATTGGAGAGGTCCTCCTGCATGAATGCAGTGAGTGCCTGCTGATAGACACCAATTTGCTTGGTGCTTTCTTCATTCCCAGTGTCCTCCCTCATGCTGGAAAGTTTTCTCTGCACACAGTCATGATACAATTCCTGAACCACTGACCACACAGAATATTTGTGTCTGGACTGGAGCATAATTTGGGGCTTCCAGGCATGCAATGGCTTCTTCAACCAAGCTGTGACAAGCTACAAGTGATTTTTTAGTCTTAGAAGACCCATTCAGAGCTGCAACTGCATACCCTGGCCTTCAGCTGCATTTCTGCATGTGACAACTCCATGTTCTTGTCTAATTCATGCAGCTCCCCCAATATTGACTGCAAGATCATCGGTTTTTTTGTCTTTCCAGACTCTTTCCAATCCTTCTGTCTGTGAACCAGCACCTCCAATTCGTTGATGTCAAAGTTCTCCTGGTCCCCATCCCCAGTTACTGACTGCTCAGTGCCTTGTCCAATGATGTTACTCCCATCTTCTATGTCTGTCAGGACCCAATCATCATAGCCATCATCTGCATCATACTGCAAATCCATGAGGACTTCTGGAATGGAAGGAGGGTATCTATGAGCCCTACTACAATAAGTATTATATTGGCCTGAAGGAAGGCATTATGGTATCCATCACATCATTCAAATTGACTCCCAATTGCATCTCCTGCCTTGCTAATTGACTTTGCACCATCTTTCCACATTCATTATTGGGGTTTCAGCAGCCATTAATTCCATCATGGGTGAGGTGAGCCAATCACACTCATTCCATTGACTACTCTGAGCCCTAAAAGGTTAGTGCAAGATGGGTTTAAGTCAGCTGCATCAGCTTCACATTGATACTGAATCTTCAATCTATCATGCTGGGATCATTGACTGTGAAATGACTGTCAAGCTCTATCCAAGATATCTAAGATGATTCCTACCCACATCTGACTCAATCATACTTACCATCAACACCATAGCCATGGCCAAACACAGTGCAGGAAAGCACATGAGAATGATCAGGCATACACCTGGCCATCAGGTCAAGCAACTAGAAGTTAAAACTTGGACAACCAGCAGTTGGAGCAGATTGAGATTGGTTGAGGTTGTGATTGCACAACCCAATGCCACCTCCACTGTCCATTCACCCCACTCTTCACCATCCAAGCACTCCTGCTTGCCCTCCAAACAGCACATGCATACTGATGAAGATGCTCTTGACATGGAATATGATGATAATGCTCCTCCTGTAGAGCCATTACAGTTACCTCAAAAAAAGGTACCAAGGGATCCTTCATGCAACAACCCAAGCTCATTTCCATTGTCAGACACAGAATGATTACATCTGTGAATGGCTTCTGCACAAAGAGGAGTTCATGAGGGTCCTGTTGGAGCTGGAAGCACCTCCTGACCCATGGAACTGCATAAGTTGTGGAACAGATGGGTTGTACAGATGTGCAGATTGCTTGCACCAGCCCATGTTCTGCAGGGAATGTTGTAGAATGACTCACCAATGCTTGCTTTTTCACAGAGTGCAGCACTGGAATGGGGAGTTCTTTGAGGAATCAGCACTCCATATGGTGAGAGATGCCCTCATTACTTTGCATTGCATTTACAGAGCAGACTCAGACTGGTGCTCAGCTGCACCTCAGGCACACTGGAGCAGCTTGCCTTTCAGATCCATCCCATGTGAATGGCACTGGAGGGCCTGTCAAAATGAATGCCCCTGAATGGGAAGATGTTGATGATGTTCTACCCCACATGCATCAGCCCATTGGGTTGAAATATCTCACTGTCATCAATGTGACTGGGGTGCATTTCATTCCAGTACATTGGTGCCAGTGTGAAGCTGCAGAAAGCTTCCAGCTACAATTACTGTGAGCCAAGCTGCTTCCTGCTACATTTGAAAAACCAAGTACTGCATTTACATTTGCAGTCTTGGATGATTTTGAGAGACAACCTGGAATTTGGCAAATCCAGGATGAACTATTACTCAAAACTGTGACAGATGACTTCTGGTGTCTTTCCTCACCTAGTTCCAGTAAGTTGTCAGACCACAATGGTCAATTTCAGGGCATCTAAGGCAGTAATATGACCAGGACAGATACCAGCAGTTGCTGTGAGTTGCAAGGCAATGGCAACTCCTGAAACTATTGAAATGGAACAGCTTCCTGTGATGTGAGCAGGCTTCTAAAAAAAGGGGAGTTGGGGTTATTTTGTGTGGCATGTCCACAGCCTGGGATCAATGTCGACCTGGCAGAAGATCTGGATCAGTAAGTGTTGGGATTTGGCTCATCCCCTGTCATTAACCTTCTGAAGCTGGAAATATACCCACACACTAGTGATGGATGGAAATTTCAAAGCCAAACATATGCACAACAGGCATCCTGCAGATCAGGTGTAGTTGATGGATGGCCATGGATTCATGGTCACAGATCCAGATTATTGGGCATACCTGAAGGCCACACCCCACATCACAGAGGTACATTTGTTAGACTGCTTCTGCCATTCAATTACTCATGTGTTAGCTAGAAATTGGCATGCAACAATCATAAGGCAATTAATCAGGCCAATGCCCAATGGGGCAGACTTCACTCAGCTGGAATTGGTGCGACAGCATGTGCCTAGCACAGGTGTTTTTACCCACATTCTGTGGTCAACTTCCAAAAAGGGAAGGGTAGGATATCACATCAATGATGTGCCTCCAGCTCATGGCAGTTCAGGCAATTAAACATGGATTACTCATTGGCAAATGCATTGAGCTACAACATGGCAGGAATCAACCATGTCCTATGCTTTTATGATATCAATGCTCATACATGAAAAATTTACACACACAGGTCAGAAATAGTGCATTCATTGACATCCCAGATTCAATGCAGATTATGCTGTGAATTGGAATGTGGCATGTGAAGTTCTTATGAGACAGGTCCAGCATCAGATACAGTATTTTGCAACATGCTTAAGAGCACCTACTGATGGAAGTCCATCTCACTCATCTTCAAGTAGTGGCTCATTGACACCGCAATGGCCATGTCAGCACATATTGTGATGAATAGTGTAGATATGATAAACCATTGCCATGGCTGTAGTGACAATTCTCTGGCTGTGACTGTAGAAATGCCAACCATCAGGGTGAAAATGAATTGAGTAATGACAATGAAGGAGCAGAAGATGGGAAGAGCTTTCTTGTGTGAGAAAGTGTATAGCCTGAAGACAAAGAAAGCCTGCCAGTACATAAAAATAAGTTTAATCTGCTGGCTTGCAATCATCATTAGATGATCTACCTGTGTACAGAATGTGATAGGCCCACTGAACACAACAGTAATAGCAGTGATGAGTGCAAGGCTGAGTATTTGTGGGCTGCTGAGCATAGTTGGTCATCACTGTCTGCCACACACCCAGGAGGAGTAATGTCAAGTGTACAGACTGAAGGGACCTTCAAGCTGGTCAGACAGACATGGGAGAAAGAGAGGAATTAAGATTACATACATCTCAAATGTGACCTTTAACCAGTGGGATGATAAGCAGATTGGTGAAACACAAGAAACTTGGGCTGTTAAACCAGATGGATGAGTAACATACCAGAGTCTTGAATTTCCAGCTGTCTTTTGGAAACAATGAACATTTTGAGCAGTCTCCATATTAAATCTTTTGATAACCTTTTTGACATAGGGAATTTGATCAAGATAAAGTTCCTTTCTTGATTGATCTTGGTGAATTTGAATTCTGAGATATTCTTTTACTTCTCCTAAGTCACAGGATTCCCATTTCTTCATGAACTTGTCTTTCTTGGCTTTAAGAAGATGTTTGTCTGATCCTAGAAAAAGTCCATCATCAACATAGATGAGGAAAATGACAATGCCAGCTTTTGAAGGGTAGATGTAGATGCCAGCATCCACTTTTGATTGAATGTAGCCCATGCAAAGTAAAGAT